GAGAGAGAGAGAGAGAGAGAGAGAGATAGAGATAGAGAGGGAATGGATCTTACCAGTCGCGAAAAGGGTAGTCGGAGTAAGAGGAGATCGGTGGATTTCTGGTATTTCCGGATCTCGCGCAGGGCGACGGTGCCGGGTTTGTAGCGCGTCTTTTTCCGGGTTGGACTTGAGACTGTGGTGATGAGAAGAGAGTGGTCAGTGTATGTGCCGTAGAGGATCTCTCCCAAAGAAGTTGCGATTCCCTTCCACGGTGTGCGTCTTTGCAATTTCCTCCCATGCGATCTCTCCGTTTTGTTTTCACCTGTTGAAAGCAGGAATCTTTCTGCCTGTTTTTTTTCTTTTGGGCGCAGTTCTGTGGATTTCTGCCGTATATCTATTCCTCTCATCTGTAGTCCACCTCGTGATTCTTCCAACAATCCTACTCTTTCCCTCGCGTTTCCCTCGCTCTTCTTCTCCTCCCACCAATCGCATTCCGCCCGGATCCCACTCTGACCCTCACCGTCCTCCAAATCCCTCAGAAAGATGAAGAAATGGAAGAAAAAGGAACGTACCATCACTAGCCCGTCCAGCCGTGCTTTTCCTCACCGTCTTCCCGCCCGGAATTGTCTTCCCACCTCTCCCTCTCCCCGCGCCAGAGGACCCTCCTCTCGTCCGGTTCGGAGTGGAAGTCTGTTGTTGTTGTGGTTGTTGTTGTGATCGGGGTGTCTCTTGGCTGTTGCTGGCGAAACTCGAGCGCGGCGCAAAGGAGGGCCGGTTGCCGCGAGAGGGCTTCACCATTGTTTTTTCCTTTCTTGGATATGTTCACCTGTGTTGGGTTTTGGTCGCGCGGGTTGGGCGCAAGATGTTGTATATGTGCGCGTGTTGATTGTACGTGAGGGAGAGAGTTATTGTCGCAGTAGGCAGTTCGGCGCGTGTCGAGTGATGATGGATGGGATTCGGCGTCACGGGCGCGCGCGAGATGGTGTTCGCTGCGTTTCGGGAGGGTCTCTTGTTTTATTTATTCAAGGTAGAGGGATTATTCCAATTGTGATCGTCGCGCCTGTTCCCATTGAGGTAGTATCGTATGTTTTTGTTGGTGGTTATCGCAGGAATTTGTTTCTCCCGTCGCAGGTGCCAGGTCCGACCGTGGTTTCCCAGAGATGATGAAATATGCAAGGCATTGCGACACGGGCGCGCGTTGCGGGCATAAACATTCATTGTTTATGAATCCCTCCCCAGCCACGTCCATCGTTAGGGTTGCCTTCCGGGTTCTGTAACCTGAGGCAGAAGGCTCATGCGGGGCTGAAATGATGATTCGCCGCATGAAAGAACGGATGAGACGCGATACTGCAGATGAAACGCATATGTCATGCCATACTTGTTTGCCCTTCCCGTCCCTGCAGATTAACATGACAAAATAGGGTTGACAGCCTCGACGAACCGTGGATCGTCCCCTCTAAACCGCATTGGGCCAACGTCGGCGGGTGAGTGTCGCATGTCCACCAAAGTGTACAGTTGTATAAATGTATTATTATCCCAAAGTGTACAGCTGTATAAATGTATTATTATGTATTCTTAGTACAGGATGGTGAAATGTCCCGCCATTACGTCGTCGTCGTCGTCGTCGTATCATGTCCGACGTCGAGTCTCTCGGCAGTTCCTGTAAATAGTATGGTGATGGTATAGTCCATGTAACAACAACAACAATAACAACAAGACACACGGCAGCAGAGCAGGATTTCAATCAGGACAAGTCACTCATTACTCATTACTTATTCCTCCCCGACTCCCGCTGTCGTCACCAACGACTGATAAGTCACCCCAACTGCGCCGCGGCCTCAAATCCCCCATCTGCACATCCACGCGATCTCACACCCACCTAATCGTCGTCCGACAACACATCACCATCACCGTCGCCTATTCACTTAGTGCGATCTTCGCGAACAACCGAGACCCTCTTCCTCGACGATATCGGTTCACCCTACATCTCCACCCTCCGTTCATCTGTCCAGCATCCCCAAGCGAGAAAGAGCAGATAAGAGGAGTCACAAGCAAGACATGGCTGCCATATTAGGCGGCGGCGGCGGAGCTGACGGAGGACTCGGTGGCGCAATGGGACAGTTCCCTCTCGAACAGTGGTTCTTCGAAATGCCCATCTGCACCCGCCTGTGGACCACCGCGACCATCGTCACCGGCGTCCTGGTTCAATGTCAGATCCTCACGCCTTTTCAACTGTTCTACAGTTGGCGCGCGGTATGGCATAAACAACAGGTGAGTTTTAACCCTCTATTGTGTAGGGAAAGGAATACATTGGGAGGGAATAGGAAGGGAAGAAGGAATGAAGAAGAATATCGCAGAACGACGCTCATTTCAGAGCACGAGAACAGGATACCGAAAATGACTTCACACGAGAGACTCATCCCAAACTAACCATTGTGCAACAACCAGTTCTGGCGCCTCCTAACCACCTTCATCTACTTCGGCCCTCTCTCCCTAAACCTCCTCTTCCACATCTTCTTCATCCAGCGCTACGCGCGCATGCTCGAGGAATCCGCCGCTTCCGTCGCACATTTCACCTGGCTCCTCGCCTATACCGCGTTATCACTCCTCTTCATCGCACCGATATTCAGCCAGGCGTTTCTGGGAACTACGCTGAGCAGTACATTGGTGTATATCTGGAGTCGTAGAAATCCAGATACACGCCTGAGTTTCTTGGGGGTCATGACGTTCAAAGCCCCCTGGTTGCCGTGGGTCTTGGTGGCGTTTAATGTGGTAATTCATGGACATTGGCCGAAGGATGAGCTTTGTGGGATTGCGGTCGGACATGGTGAGTTATCCCTCCATTTTTTTCTCCTTCTCCTTCTTCTTATTCTTCTCCTCCTCCTTATTTCTGCTGCTCCGTAATGGGTCATCTTAGCATCCATCGGAAACATCTACTAACCCTTCTTTTCCCTTCTCTGCCATGTACAGTTTGGTATTTCTTCAACGACATCTACCCCTCCACCCACAATGGCCACCGACCAATGGACCCTCCCAACTTCTGGATTCGACTCTTCGAGCGCGGCGCAGCAGCTGTGAACTCGGAAAATGACTCTCCCGAGACGGAGGTCCACGCGGCGGAATTAAACCGTGAACATCTCGCCGGTGCGATACCGGACGTGAGACCTTTATGAGAGGGTTGTACTTGTTTCTTTCTTTTTCTCTGCCATGAAGGATCGGAGAGTATAGATTCCTTTTAAGACAAAGAAACGCAATAACGAATCTCCTTGATGAAAATTGAAACATTTTGGACTGGGGACGAAACGAAAAGACGAGATCTCACTCTCCGCTCTCGCCTTCTTCTGCCATTCTCCCATCACAACCGCCCATATCCTATTGTAAGAGAATTCGCGGCCCAGGAAGAAATATCTCACATGTGACAGAAAAACCCGTCGGTTCCCTCCCGTGCCCTCATATTCTCTTTTCTCAACCGTGATGATCTGTATGAACTCGTTTTCTCCAAACGTCGAGAACGGAGAAGATGTTTGGCGGTGGGAAAAATCGCACAAAACAAATCCTCGGGCGCATCTGACCCTTGGAAAAGGGAAAAAAGAAAAAAGAAAAGAAATCGAAAAAATCGAAGATCGAAGACCGAAGGAAAATCACCTCTCCACACACAATCGTTCGTTCGTTCCATCAAATCTTACTCCCCCTCGCCTCAATAAACAATCCCTCGCCCCTCGCCACCAGCACCACACTCTCACCCTGCAACTGCCTGGCCTCCGCAACCATCCACTCCTTCCTGCCCTCCTTCCGCACAAGCCTCACCGCGACAACCACGGTGCCGGGCGTCCGCAGCGGTTTCAAATACGTGACCTTCAACTCGGCCGTGAACTTCGGGGCCTGGCCCTTGCCCGCCCTGTCTTGTTCGTCGCCCGTGCGCGCGAAACGCTCCCGCTTCTCGTTCGTCGACACGTACACGCCCATGCTCTCGTCCAGCAGCGTCGCCAGCATCCCGCCGTGCAGGATGTGCGGGTGGCCGTTCATCGCCGACCCCAGCGTGAACACGGTCGAGATCTCCGGGATCGGCGACCCGGGGTCCGAGGACGCGGCGGCCGGGTTGCGGTAGAAGTACAGGCAGGTGGAGAGCGCGTCGCCCGTTTTGAGCGTTTGCGCGAGCAGGCTGTCCTCCGTGCTGGACTTGGGGAAGCGGCAGCCGGGGATCCCCGCGACGATGTCGGGCGCCGCGACGAGGGACGCGATCCAGGGGATGCGGAGGACGGATTGGAGGGAGTCGTCGACGGCCATGGTGGGAAGTCGATTTCTTTTGACGGTGCTTGGATTTGTTCTGGATCGTTTTCTTCACTGGCTGGGTTTACTTCAGACTTGTTTTCGGTTTCGTGTTGCCGTCGTTGTTGAAGCTGTCGTCGTGTTGTAGTCGGTGAAAATAAACAGGCTGTTCTTCGCCTTCGAGGCACGTTCTTGGACGAAGAAGCGCTGCTGCTGCTGAACTGGTCGGCGTTTCCTTTCCAACAAATTACCGCATTCCAATCTCCAATACTGCTGTATGCCAGGGGACCCTGATTTGAATCTCTCCACTGACTTCAATATGACAATCCGAAAGCGGATGCGGTACATCGACAATTCAAGTGAAGATGACAATGCCAGCGTCTGCCGTTGGTTTGCGATCGAGGCGCGCTAGCGGGGTGTCGTTGTGGAGAAGCGACCTCGGCAACCAAAATTTGTGAGAGTTTCTCGGAGCTGGAACTCCGCGCGGCAGGGCGAGTCATTGGGATGCGACTCGCAGATAAAATACATGCACCACCACCCTTCCATTTATTTCTGAAGAACCGTTTCCGGTGTTCTAATGTCAACGGCTTCAAACTCGAATTCTTTGAGAGACCTGTATAATACGGAGGAAATTTAACGTCAAACACCAGAGCGCGGTCCACCCCACGGCGTGGTCCACGAATTACGTGTCCATAACAACAACAACTTCAACACGCGATGGCACCATCAAAACGCGTCCAAAAGAGCTCAAACGAAGGGAGTGTACTGCTTGCAATATCAGCTTTCAGATCAGGTGACATAGGATCTGTAAATGCTGCTGCAAAAACCTACGGTGTCTCAAAATCAACGCTGCTTCGGAGATTGAAAGGAAGTCCTGCTCGAGAGGACTATATGCCACAGAATAGCAATCTCACTCCAATCGAGGAGGAGATCCTTCTTAATAGCATACTGAAGCAGGATGCCGAAGGGCTGTCGCCTACGCTTGATATTATACGATCTATGGCCAACTCTATATGCAAAGCCAGGGGAAAACCTGATGTTGGCCGGCATTGGCCTAGCAGGTTCATTTCACGCAATCCATCGCTTATAGTACGGACTGGCAGGACCTATGAATGTCAGAGAAAGCTCTGTGAAACTCCGGCAGTGATTCAGGCTTGGTTTGAGCTTGTAAAGAACACTATCAACAAGCATGGTATCTTACCAGAAGACATGTACAACTTTGATGAAACAGGCTTTCAATTAGGCCAGATCTCAACCTCCAGAGTTGTTACATCGTCGGACAGGACTGGCAGACCAAAGCAGATAAAGCCCTCAAATACCGAATGGGTCACAGTCATCCAAGGAGCGTGTGCAGATGGTTCAGCTATACCACCACTTCTTATCTTTAAAGGCAAGACTATCAACTATTCATGGCTCGGAGAAGACTTTCCGCAGACATGGATGTTTGCAGCAAGCTCTCAAGGCTGGACAAATGACGAGATTGGACTGCAATGGATCCAGCACTTTGAGTATCATACAAGAATGAAGACTGTTAGCAGCAAAAGATTGTTGATTCTAGACAATCATGGGAGCCATACTACAACAGAGTTTACCTCTTTCTGCATGGATCATAACATTGTGCTTCTCTGGATGCCTCCACATTCATCTCATATGCTCCAGCCTCTTGATGTTGCCTGCTTTGGTCCTTTAAAGCAGGCCTTCTCAAAACAGAATCAGAACTTGATCCGCAACCATATCTTCCATATCAACAAGAGCACCTTCATGGATGCATTCAAAGCTGCATACTTTCAATCAATCACACCTCAGAACATCCAGGCAGGGTTTAGAGGCTCTGGCCTACATCCGTTTAACCCTGAGGCTGTGTTATCAAAGCTTGATCCATCATTTTCATCTCCAGACAGGCCCGCCTCACATAGCTCCTGGTATGCAAAGACCCCAAAGACTACTCAAGAAGTCGATCAACAGGCTACATTGATCAAGAAGAGGCTAGAAAGGCACCAAAGTAGCTCTCCATCACCTATTTTTGAGGCATTAAACCAGCTTTCTAAAGGAGCCCAAGAAATGGCTGCTTCTGCTGCTCTACTTCAGTCTCAGGTTTTTGCTTTACAAGATGCTAACAAAGCAATGCATGAACGCAAATCCAGGAAGAGGAAAGCAATCACATTAGATCCTGCCCTGTCAGCCTCTCAGATCCAAGGGATAGTTGAGCAAGAGGAGGTTGAAGCACAAATAAGGGAGCAGATGCCAAGGGCTCCAAAGCGTGCTAGTCGGTGTAGCAAGTGTGGTTCCTTTGCTCACACCTTCAAACACTGTACAGTAGATTGAATAGTATTGTTATATAACACATTTAAGTCTCAAAGCAATCTATTAAGTATTGGTTGAGATAATCAGTGTTAAAGGTGGTAGACACGTAATTCGTGGACCACGCCGTGGGGTGGACCGCGCTCTGGTGTTTGACGTTAGTGATTTACACAGAAAATTATGTAATACATCTACAATGCAAGATACTCCCGTCTTCCCTTTATATGAAAAAGCCTATATTTCCGCCTCATCAACAAAGCCCAATCGCCCTCTTGACCTTCTTCAACACCACATCCGCGCTCTGCCTAGCCTTCGCCGCTCCGACCTGTGCATCCGTCTCGACTTCCTCCTTCGACTTCGCCATCGCCGCAGCATATCTCTCGCGGATCGGACAGATCATCGCGTCCAAGACATCCGCCACGCGGGTCTTGAAATCCTTCATGGACAAGTTCTGTATGTCCGCCGCGAGGGCGACCTTAGCGGCATGTTCATCTTCGACAGGCTGGAACTCGGGATCCGCATAGTACAGGAGATCGACGAGATTGCTGACCCCCGGACGTGTGTCTGGATCGTATGTGACGCCTGTTTGCGAATCGGTCACTGCAGAGCGAATTTTAGCACCGATGGTGGCCTCGTCGTCGGTGAGGAGAATGCGGGATTTGGGGTTCGGGAAGCTTTTGGACATTTTGAGGGATGGGTCGGTCAGAGATCGGACGCGTTTTGCGGGACTGATGATGGTGGTGGGAGGGATGAGGATGGGTTTCTTGGCGAGATGGTTGAAGCCGTTGGCGAGTTCGCGGGCGAATTCGAGGTGTTGAGACTGATCCTCGCCAACTGGAACATGGGTGGTTCCATGCACTAGAATATCGGCAGCTTGTAGGACTGGATATGAGAAGAGGCCCAACTTGAGCTTGCCGCTGTCGGCAGCCTCGTTCTGGGTCTTGTCCTTCCACTGAGTCATGCGTCCCAAGTATCCCATCGACGCTTGACATGAGAGAATCCACATCAGCTCCGAGTGAGCGGGAACATCGCTCTGATGGAATATGGTGGATTTCTGTATATCCAGTCCGATCGCCGCAAGCATTGCGAAGGATTCCCTTCTCCATTGCCGCAACTGTTTGGGGTCTTGTTGAATGGTGATGGCATGCAGGTCCACCAATGAGAATATCAGCCTTGTATTGGCATCTGCTTCATCTTGGAGTTTAGTCCAACCACGGAGCGCGCCCAAGTAATTCCCCAGATGCGGAATACCAGTTGGCTGGATTCCGGAAAAGACGACCTTCGTGGGGGCTGGCTTTGGAATGTGGCTCTCGTGCGTCTCTGTCACGGCTGAGACGATTATTGGCGGTTGCCGAACGGCGGCTTGCTGGACAGGGGTTTGGTACTTCGCGAAGACTTCCTTGGATATTGACTCGCTGCTTTCCGGGCCTCTCTCTTCAGCTATCTTCCCATCTGGCCTTTCCTCTTCCCGCCCGCTTGCTGTAGCTGGTCTCCCCTCTTGGCTTCTGTTCGCTCTAGCTAATATTTTCGATTCACGCAAATTCATTTGAGCGGACTTCTCCTTCACAATACCTGTATTTGGACTTGAGTCTGCGTGCTGTGTAGCGATCGCGGGGGGGGACAATTTTCCATTGATAGCACTTTTTGAATTTGGGCCCACATGCTGTGTGGCGATTACTTTGGCCGGCTCATGGGTGGCACTGCCCGGCTGCGATTTCTTTGCGGCTGCATTAGGATTCGAGTGGCGATTGGGGATGACTTCTTCTGAGGTTGGTGCCGAATCGATGCCATCGGCGTCGGTCTTTCGAGCTGGATACTTATCGTTAAGTTTTATCGCTCTTTTGAGGTGTTGCTCCAGCTTTTTCTCTTCACGAACTGCGTCTCGGAGCTCTTGCTCTTGACGCAATTGTGCTCTGGTGGGCTTCTTCGGTTCACGTGGTTTGGTCTCATTGAAACCAAGCATTTCCGCCTGCGCATCGAGAGTCAGGTCCCTTTGGGATTCACTGGCGGAACTCGAGCCGCCTTCTTCAGGGGCGTACAATTTTGCAACCGCTTCTTCCATTGCTTTTCGATGACTAAACTCTGCGTCATGTTTGCGGTTGAGACGCCTGATTTCTTTGCCCGTGAACGACCTGTAGCCTGCCTTGAGAGCTCGCCTTTCTTTCCTCAAAGCCAGCTTTTGCATATATTTATTTTTCTTCATCTGTCTCATTTCCGTCATGAAACGGTATTGAATGTGTGATCCCTTGAGAAGTAATGAAGACTGCGCGTTCAGCCGCAACGAAAGAAAGTCACGGCATCCCCATCGTGAGGTTCGCAAAGACATTTGCGAAACGATGAGCGATATCTCTGGATACTGGACTTATGTCTTATGTTTTATCTTTGCTATTATGAACAAGAAGTGATGGTATACCTCGAATGTTGCATGGCATTGCGAGTGAATATATGAAGCGTGACGATGTTGTCGAGCCCGGTGGCAGCCCCAGTTCGGCCTGAGGCGTAAATAACCATGTCCGAGCTTCGCGACTTCGATGCTCAAATTCAGCAGAACTTAATCTCGTGCACAATATACATAACCTCGCATCGACCTGCACTCCCCGATGAGAGGTCTTGCATTATTGAAGCGAATCGTGTAGTGACGGAGAGACGGAGAGACACCGCCCCGAATTGCAACGAGGCTCGAGAACAACGTATTGCGACAGCCGCCTTCCTACGCTCGGCAAGCACTTTTCGCCGGTTGCCATACTCATGATCATTGCTGGAACCACATCGGTCGAGGAAAGTCCGGTTCTGCGGACACAATGGACCTGAAAACTTTGGTAAAACGACATGAATCTGGTCTGATGAGCCCTCCACACTGGGCATGGACGAAAGCTCAGGCTGCGTCCTTGAAGTAGCCCTAGGCGCGCTCGAGGTCGGCCAGAACTTCCCGAGATCCAGCGCGGGCGGCAGCCGGGAGTCAGCAGCATCCGACGGCGGTGCCGGGCCGGATCCAGTCCCGTTCTTTTGAGCAGAATCACCGAAAGTCCGATGAGATCGCCGGTGCTTTGGGTCAGTCTGCTCAATATCGGATGTCTATATTTAAAGCTTCTGCAATGCTAAAATGATCGGAACATCACTCTCATGTGCCACATGCTCGATCCACTATAATCGACTACAATTGTCCATCACTACTGCTGTCCAATACTACCACCATGTTCTTTCCCGTGCCCGACCTGCTTCGTCCTACCGCTTATGCGATTGACTTGACACAAATGCTTGTCATAATCTTCGCCTTGACTGCGATAATATTTCTTCGAGTAGTCTATCTACTTCATTTCCATCCCTTGGCTAAATTCCCCGGACCGAGGGCTGCTGCCCTTTCTCGCCGCTGGCTTTATGGCATCTCGGTCAAGGGATATCCCGAAGAAGATATCGCGAGGCTGCACGAGCGATATGGTCAGTTTACCTAAAGTACAGTACAAGTGCACACTGACTCTCAACAGGATCACATGCCGTTCGTATCGCACCTAACGAGCTACACCTGTCCGACACTCGTCTCTACAAAACGATCTATACCTCGAACCACCGATACCTCAAGAACCCCGATTTCTACAAAACCTTTCCATCCCCTTCAAGTTTATTCACTACAGAAGATCCCGCTGTGCATAAAATGCTTAGGCGTAGATTTGCACCATATATGTCGCAAAATTCCGTAGCTAAAGCACAGCCCACGATCATCGCCTCCTTACAGGATCTCGCGCGAAAGGTTGAGGCTCGAGGCTACGAGCATCCCGTCAATATGTACAAGTGGTGTAGATGCTTTCCAGCTGATGTGATCGTCAAGTTGGTTTTTGGGCAGAGCGACATCATCGCTAACTGCGACGATGATCTCAACACCCCACTGTTGGAGGCATTCGACGCTTCGACTACGACGAGCTGGTTACGCGCATACCATCCTACTATTCGATGGCTACAAGACCTCGTTCCCATCGGTATCGGTGCCACGTTTAGCAAGAATCTCCAGAAGATCAAGAAATTTGCCGATCTGTCCGCCCGTGAAGTCAAGAATTATCGGTCCTTGAAAAGCGTGGACAAAACCGACACCCCTGTAATCGCTACGCTTGAGGATCTGCCAGAGTGGCAAATCAGGTCTAACGCTAGCACTTTAATTGCGGGCGGCTCGGACACAACGGGATTCACTTTGGCCTTCGCTACGTGGTCTCTCTTGCAAGATCCAGCTCTAGTTGCCCGGCTTATTACAGAGCTTGATGCCATGTTTGACGCCGCGGCACCCGAGGAGCCATCGCTCGCGGCCCTTCAGGCTGCGCCGGTTCTTGGTGCAGTGATTTCTGAGTCCTTGAGGTGTGGGCTCGCCGTGTCGGGGCGGCTTCCGCGCATCGTTCCTTCCGATGCCAACCTAGTAGTCGATGGCCAACTCGTGCCGGCTGGCACTGTCATCGGCATGTCCGCCTACACCATGCATATGAGCGAAGACATCTGGGGGTCTGACGCCGCAATTTTCAATCCTGAGCGCTGGATTACGGGCACAGCCAGTGCGAGTGATCTTGTCATATTTTCCAAGGGTGTGCGGAATTGCATCGGCCAGTCGCTCGCCACGACCGAGCTATACGTGGCCACGGCATTTCTGTTCCGCCGGTACGAGATGAAGATTGTCGGCGGCCCTTCGCATTGGACGTCAAGCGATCGTTTCACGAGCGAAGCTGAACCTTACTGGGTGAAGATGAAGCCAAGGAACATCGACTTACCACTAACTAAGGAACAGTTGCAGTAGGCGACATGTTACCGAAATTTCGGGATTTTACCTCTTATGTGGCATTTGTGGTCTGTCGGCGTGACTTGTCACTATCTGGCATTCCAAACTCATGATTCACAGGAAAATCAGAAGCACGACACGAGCAAGGCAGGTCGCCAAAAGATGGGAGTCATTTTTGTGCGGCATCTTTTCTTCGGCGTGCTGCCGGAGATCCAAACGATATTATCTCGATGCCTCCTTTTATGTTCATAATTTATGCTATGCAGACTATCATATATCAATGCAATCTTCAAAGTAAATCCCAGGGCGTGGTTCGAGCGCGGTTGGCGTAATGTTGATGATAAGCGATAACAAGAGCAAACCAATGCGAAATTTATGCAGACTGCTCTACGCACGGGCCATGAACCCGATGCAGCCCCAGACGCGGTTGCTGCACCTACGTATTTCCTGACTTGGGAAATTTGCGGATCTTCGTTGGGTATTTTTGTTGTATATTACAGTACCTCCTTCCCGCATTAATCACCTCCAAAATGAGTGCCAATCGCGGCGAGATTCGACCAGATGCATATGTCTTCCTACGACTTCCAAACGAGACGCTGAAATTGGTCCAGATAAAATTGAACTCGTAGGTCTCGTCTGCCAAATGAAGCAACCATTGACATCCAATGGCGGCAGAATGCGATGAATAATCCTGCAAAGCCACGAAAAATGCTGAGAATGGCACAGGATCATCGATGCCGGCAAGATCGGCTCATTCCCAGCAAGCTCGTTGATCGGTCGTCCGTACTACTACACATATGAATTTCTCGAGAAGCAAAGCGGAGAATCGTATTCTCGGTTACGGATTGTCTCGCCTGCAGAACTCAACGCGGAAGCAGGTTTAGACGATGCCGATACGATCGATGACTCAACAGACGCAGATACGACAGGTGCCTCAAATGGCCTACCCGAAGGTCATGACTTGACCGTCACAGACGCAAAGACGGTGTCCAAGGACAATCGGATGACGATCGATCACGCCGGCCGACAAGTCTTGACTCAAGCTGATATCGAAGAGCTCAAAAAGTCGACTGACGGCAAAGAAATCATTGAGAAGATTCTCGCCAACCACACCGGTCTCGATGAGAAGACGGCATTTTCCAAAGCGAAATATATGCTGCGGAAACATAAGAAGTACCTCAAGCGATTCACTGTACTGCCTATGGATCTCAGTCATTTGATAGACCACCTCATAGATAAAGAGGCCTCGCGGATTATGGAAATTCGCGAGGAAGCTCTCGGGCTGATTACTGCTTGGAGTAATGCGCATTACAGTGGCCTGGACGGTCTGTCTTCAGAGCAAGCACTCACCGCTACAGACAGAGGCAAGTGGCTTGTGGTTGACGATACTGGAGGTCTCGTCGTTGCAGCGCTGGCAGAGAGGATGGACATTCTACATGTGCCTGAGCGTGAGCGTGAAATCCCTATTTCTGAGACAACCAACGTGACCGACGCAGCTGCCAATGGAAACACCGCAGAGAGCGGAGAAGCTGCAGCCGGGCAGGAGATATCAGACACTCCCGTGAAAGTCCACCGAGATTTTCCCATTCCCGCCTCAACGAACACCATCACCCTCATCCACCCCGCCGTCCAACCCAACGTCTCTCTCCTAAAATATTTCGGCTACGACACCAGCAACCCAGGTTCGGGCACCGAAGAGCTCGAACACCCACTCCACAATCATCTCAAACCCCTCTCCTGGCTCCAACTCCTCCACCCCGAAGACGACCCGACCTACCAAGAACCCGAGATAATCTCCGAATCGCTCCTCTCAACCTGGAAAAGTGGCAAACGTGGCACCTACTTCAAAAAGCGGCGCCGCTGGGAACGCTGCCGAGCCATCGTCGACTCCACCCGACAAGAAGGAACCTTCGACGGCCTGGTCATCGCCACGCACCTCGAGCTCTCCGCCGTCTTCCGCCACGCGCTCCCGCTGATCCGCGGCGGCGGGACCATCGTCGTCTACAGCCCGACCGCCGAGCCGCTCGTGCGGCTGATGGATTTCTACTCGAAAGAGCGGCGCGCCGCGTACATAGCGCATCTGATCAAAGGGGAGATCCCCGATGCGCAGGATTTCCCGTTGGATCCGCGATTGTTGCTCGGGCCGCATTTGCAGACCAGCCGCGTGAGGAATTGGCAGTGTTTGCCGGGCAGGACGCATCCTTTGATGACGTCGCGGGGCGGCGCGGAGGGATTTGTATTCACGGCGAGGAGGGTTATTCCGTTGGAGGGAGGCGTGGAGGCGAGGGGGAATTTCTCCACGAAGAAGAGGAAGGTTGTGGGATCGGATGTGGAGGCGGTGGTGATTGCGACGACGCCCGAGCCGGGGGAGCCGATGGTCACGTAGAAATGAGTAGGAAACAATAGGACATGAAAACGACAGTGCATCATGTCCGATGAAAAGAGCTCTCGCTTGGATAAACTTTCTGACAAAGGTCTCCCTCGCAGGCAATCTCTACAGACCTAGATCATAGTACACGCATTTGCCCGTTCGGAAATTGAAAACACACGCCTCCCGTGACGCCCCATTTCCACTCCCGCCTTCACTCCACTCCCTCTTCCAGCCCGCCAAGACCTCCTGAATTTGCCCAACATACTGCCTCTCACTAAGCTGCACGCTCTGGACAGCCGACCGCCAGGTCTCCGCATCCGACAAAGTAGTCTGCTGGATAAGATCGAGGACATCATCCCTCGTTTCGACCGCGAGGATCGACGCGGAAGTCTTGATAGCATCCAGTTTCTCCGCCCATCGCTGCTGTGCGGCTTCGACGATGTGGTACTTGTTGCTCTTCTTGCTACCGTGGCGGGCGAGGAGGACTTGGACATTGTTACGCTGGTGGTTGGACGCGGAGGATTTCGTGCCGTTGCTGCTGCTGCCACCGCCGTATTGACTTGAGTGGCTACGGAGGAGCGGGGGAATGCGAGTGCGTGTGTTGGCGCGGTCGCGGAGTTCTTGGTGCAAGTGGGTGACAAGCGTGGAGATGGGGACTTCGGAGTCGCTGCCGTCGCTGCCGTCAGTAGAGGTGACTTTGACGTTGTTGGAGGCAGCGTGGCGGAGAGTCACGATGAACGAGTAATCTGTCTCAAGAACTGTGGAATGGGCGAGCTCGGCACTGATGTCGTGATTCCAAAGGGTAGATAAGATCTTGACACCGGCTGTTTGTAAGCTCTCACCGCCACCGCTCGCGACGACTAGCACTTCGCATCGCTTTGGAAGTCGTTGAGATTGACTCGTGTCTTTCATAAATGCGCCTTTCGATCCACCGGTGGTCAATTTAGCAATGTGTGACACCATGGGGTCGATACCAATGCACAACCCGACCGCGCCTCGTGTAGCAATTTGTCCTTCGGCTGGTCGGTGTTTCTCGATCAGACTATCGTATCGTCCTCCAGCGGCAATGACAACGCGGTTTGTCTTACGTTCCACGACACACTGGAACAATAGACCACGCTCATAGAATTTGGCATTAAAGCAGCTCAGCGGTGCAACCTGGAGTTTAAGCGAGCTCCCAAATTGGTCGACAAAGTTCAGAATCTTGCCCAAGTGGAAGCGACTACTCTCCCATCGAGCCATATCGCGAGAAGATGCGTGTGTGAATAATCCTTGCAGACGATCGAAGGCCTTTTCTGGGGCATCGTGAAAGTCAAATTGTTGAATGTCGTCCAGCGTGGTGTCTGTCAACCCCATATTCCGCAGTTCAGATCGAATCTTTGCCCAGGTCCACTGCTGGAATCCGAGCTTGCTGAGTGTCTCCTTCACAGCGTGTTGATGTGCTGGTGACACGCGACAATGATCTAGGATTGCATCGAGGAGCGTTCCATGGTTTAGGTAGATTGCCACGCCTTGGGAACTATTCGACACTGGAAGCTCTCTGATGACTTCGCCGATCACCTTAATCACTTCAGCATCGTCCAGCGCGATATCGTCATTTCCACAGTTGATAATGTCGAAATCAGCTTCTTCATTTGCTCTGGGAGGTCCGCCGGTGAATGCATCCCGGTACGCGCATCCGAAAGCGAATGTGCATCTGACATTACATGTTTGACGAGCAAGTTGCTGAGCATGTGGTAAAGTCAAATCATAAGGTAACTGCAGAAGATTCCCTGAGGCGTCCAAGAGTTGCATGACATTAGGGTTCGTATAGACTGCCGAACGAGGGAGAATGCTGTCGCGGCGAGTCTCTTCTGCTCCGTGTCTGCGAAATATATTCTCCAGTGTTGTTCGCACAATACCTCTCAATCTGATGCGGACAGAGTCTTCTGGCGCAGTGGTTGCTTTCGCTTCCCACGCTAACGCCTTCACACGCTGCGAGCTAGCAGTATCGTGCGCAAATAGGGCCGACATCATCTTTTGGTGGTAAGGAGATCGCGGGTCTGAGAGGCCGCTGAGAGCTTGTCGAATCGTCTCATCTTCAATTTTGATCGGCAAGATGTCGCTTCTCAACAGTTCTGTGCTGCTCGGACGTTCACTAGGTTTGTGCGAGATGAGATGCTTGATAAGCCGACCTTGCGCAGCTTTGTCTCCGGCGGCTTCCAGTTCAGCGGGTAATTCGAAATCCTTCTCACGGATAGATTGCAGCTCATTGATTCGTTCCATTGCTGTGCTGAAAGCTACGTTCATCTCAAAAAACATGATCCCCAGGGAATACATGTCAACTTTGTCGGTGTATGAGGACCCTGAATTGGAACGCAGCTCGGGTGCGGTGTATAATGCTGTACCTATACTTCTCGTCATGTCAACGCTGTTTCCTTTCAGGCCACCCTGTCGTTCTGGTATTTGATATTGCCCAGTGGTCGCCAGCCCGAAGTCACCAATCTTTGGCAGCAAAGCTACATCGAGAAACACGTTGTCGGGTTTGAGATCCCGATGGATGATGCCGTGATTGTGGATGTGCGCCAGACCTTCTGTAATCTGACGCACATACCGCCACGAGTCATCTTCATCCATACCTCTATGGATGAGATCCCGCAAGGTACGACGTTCGCAATACTCCATCTGGATGTACATAATCGACGATGGCCGATGTGAATCGGAGCGAGGTCTCATCAGACGAAGATTGCCATTGGCATAGCTAGATCCTTTCTGAGATGCATCATCAGTATCACCATCAGCTGTAGATCCTCGCTCGAACGGATCGTCGTCATCTTCACCATCCTCGGTTGAATCACCGCTGCTATCGTCACTGTCATCGACACCAAATTCAAATCCGTGTATACTCGAGGAGCTGACGAAGTCGAGACCTCCTGTACTAGCGTAGCCAAAGTCGATTCGAGGACCATCAGAAGCATCTTCATCCGAAGTTACATCCTCCGATGTTGACACTGCTTCCTCGGGTATCGTCTCTGCCATATCAATCTCTACCCAGGTGGAGAAATACCTCACTACGTAAGGATGATTGAGACGGTTGAGAAGCATGACCTCCGAAAGGACTCGGTCGAGTAGTTGAGGCGCTTGTCGGATCTTCTTCACCGCGTAGATACCACCGTCGAGCTTGTTTCGGGCCTTGACGACTTCGCCGAAACCACCTTTACCGAGTCGTCCAATTTCTGTGAAGTCGCTGAGGTAACGAGACACTGGATCGAGCATTCCCGACGAACCATGACGTGAGCGACGAGTTTGTAATGGACTGCTCACGCCGGAGCTAAGCCGTCTATGGTGAGAGACAACGCGGGGTGGTTGCAAGGTCAATTGCTCAGTCACGGGACTATCAGTGCGTAAGAATTCGGCGGGCAAAAGATCAAAAGCTGTTGGTCGCTTCTTGTGGTCTGTTGCAAAGATCCGATGGAATAGATCCTCGAATGAGCTGGAGAATTCAAGTCTACTCGCCAGGTTAGAAGGGGAATGATACTTTGTGATCACATTCAAGCTCAGAACGAGCTGAACCAGGATCACTCCGAGGTTCCATATATCAGTGTGACGTTGCGAAGACAATGAGTCGTCGAGTTCTGGAGCTGACCACTTCGTAAGAGGCTCGTGATCTTTGTTCTTGATCTTGGCAGCAAAACCGAAACCACTCAGCTTGGCAGATACGATGGGACTGCCTAACAGAACCACAGCATGAATGCCGAGATCACCATGTGACACCCCATTGCGATGTATGAAATCGAGCCCTTCGAGAAGCTCTATTGTCCATTGACGAGCCTTGTCTAGATGAACATCACTGAACGATAGAAGATCTTGTAAGGTACCACGGTCGGCATATTCCTGGCAAATGATCAATTCGGAGGAAAGATGGTCTACTTTGTTTACCCGATAGGCAAGGAGATTCAGGAGACTTGTGTGGCGAAGCTTCTGAACAGTGTTCAGTATGGACTCGAGCTCGATAATTTCGCTTCGATCCTTTGCCACGCGGTGTCGCTTGACGCTCAATATAGGCAGGTTTACAGAGGTGGCGTCTCGAGGCTTGGCCAGGAACGTGCTCTCGTCGCCATTCTGGACCAGGAGGGCTGTGAGAAGCACCTCTTTGAAGGTCTCGGATCCGCTGCCGGTATTCAAGCTGACTGGATTGTCAAATGAAACGATTTCAGCACTTGCTTCATTCGACCCAGGCATAGAACTTTCGTTCGTGTGCTTGACAGGCTTTCGCTTTTCTCGACGATGCACTTCTTCAGATACCATTTGTTTGAGCATACGTTCCTCTTCCGCCTGAGTTTCAAGCAGGTGACGAGCTTCTGCTTCTTCCGCTGCCTTGGCCAAAGTGCTTGCCACTTCCTCGGCGTTGGCGCGTTCGTCTTCTAGGCTGGGCAATGTGCCCTGTTGCCGAGAGATCACAGCATCCTCTAGTGCATCCTGAATCTCCTCGCCAATGATATGAATCATCACTTCGCCAATCAGTTTCAACGGGCGAGTCTGGATGACGTTACGAATTCGCTTCTGCGTTCGTTCATGAAAAGTGTCGAGACCTTGAACTTCCAATATGGGCACAGTCTTTGGGTATGTCGCTGTGAAGGTCACAGAAAGGTCAACGCATGCATCTGGATCAGAGGAAGATCGAAGGTGCAATTTGAAGCTACGATCGGTGGTCTTGCTCCAGGCTCCCTTTACCTCTATGGCTTGATAATCATCCATGTATATCGCCTGTAGGACGGCGATCTCGTCATCTTGCACTTCGCCATAATTGATGGCTGGAGAAACGGCATCGTTGGCGGTCGACGCGGCCTGTGATTTCACAGTATTCAGAGTATTTTTCTTAGTATTCGTCTTTGTCGAGAACTTGGGCGCCATAGCTTCCGCTTGCAATCAAGAGAGCACAATGTTGTCTCACCGGGAGACGACAGAATGAACGACAGCCGAAGCTGTCATCACCAACAACTTTGGATATTCATGGTTTATTTGGAGCTTTATTGTGTTTGTTGTTGTTGTGTAGTAAGGTCAAGAGTTGGGCTCGATCATGCGTCCAGTCACCGTCTCGATTGGGCGATAAGACTGTAGTTGTGCTGTGACGTTATGTAGGCGTAGAACACAGCATGGCCTGCGCTCAGCTCAGCCCAGCGACCATTGGGAACATCACATAGCTCCAGCTCACAACAGCAATTGGAAAAGCCGACGACGTCCATAGAGTTGCGATCAGTACTCACGGAAGCCGCAGAAATCACACACGACACCGACGCGGCCGGCGCGACACTCTCGAACGGAGCGACACAGCCTTCCAATCCACTCCTTCGAAAGCTGCCACTGCATACCGACATCATGGTCATCAACCCGACCTATCTCGCGCAGCGGACGCGCTCCTGTACGGAATCCTCTCGACTGTCCTCGTCCTCGGATGTTCACATGGACGAGGATGAGCCTGTAACTCGAGAAAACATGGCTGACTCGGGATGACAGCGGTCAACTGGAGCGATGCGAAGACGCGAGTTTTGAGTTCCTACCGGGATTGGCTTCGTGCGGTACGTTGGAGATTTCTTCGATCTTTGGGCTAGGATCTGGCGGAAAGCGATGGAGAGAGAATGTGTGGCGGGTGGTTTGGGCGTGGCGGAAAAAAGAAGAGTCGGGTGCAGAAAGAAACAAGAGAATGTGTGGCAGGAGAGTCTGCGGAAGAGAAGGGAATGGGATAGGAGTGAAGAAGGAAAGAGAATAGCTCACAGAGAGAGTTAAGGAGCGCACCGGAATGGCCGAAGGGAGACAAGCAAACTCAAGGACGACGTGCTGACATTTGTCATTTTTCATTCCTCCAGGGACCGGAGATCCAGACCATGTACTCGCTGAACATGCCCGTGTCGGCCATCCGCACAAAAATCCGACAGGAATTCGAACGGCACAGATACGTCAACCAACTCAAAACGACCGACGTCCTGCTGTTCAACAGCCATTCGGAATTCCAGGTCAGTAACCTCGGATCTATCACAGAAAAAAAAGGTGTTTTGCGAGGAGAACAGGATGGACTGACGCATACGCATAGGAAACCCTCAATTACTGGAAACAACTCACACACGTCCTGAAATACTTCCGGGCCGACCAAACGACCGAGACACAATTACCCAAGACTTTCATGCAAGGCTTCATCGAGGTACGTGCAAGGAAATCCGAAGATCCGAAAATCTACGGCTATGAAATTTTCTTTCATGTCACAGACGTAAATTCTGACGCAATCTTTGTTCACAGGGCCGGAATTAAAATGGCAAAACATCATCATATCTCATTGCGTTTTCGGGGTGATTTGTTGTGCGAGTTGCTTTTACACAAAGCCGAGGCGGAAAATACATCGCCCTCTGTCATCGACGACGGCGGCGTCCTGTACATAACATTATAGTACGAAGGTGATCCATCAAAATGCCCAACACAGCGAGGATTCCTCCACATTCCCTCGTGTTCATCGTGGCCGTGCTTCCAATGGTGGAGCCCCGAAACTTCCGTTCGCGGTGTGGCGTCGGTTCACAGCGGATGTCACCATCTGTGCGACATGTTGTCCAGCCGAAGAGAGAGAGAGAGAGAGCCTCCGCTCGATTCCAGTGGCGCCACAAAGCTGGTCGTGACACCTCGAGTCCATTCGTAGCCCCGAGAAGTCCTCGCTCCCGGCTCCAAACAAAAACTACCGTCAGCTCACGTAGCTGCGTTGAAAGCTCATGGGCTGACGCGATCAGGATGCTCGGCATTGAACTGGTCGCGGGCGGTGGTGAATTTGTCCTCGACAACATCGCATAGATCCTCGAGGTCGTCGAGGGCTTTTCGGAGGACGGCGAAGACGCTGACGTTATCTGTACAAACCGGAAGGAAAGGGAAAAGAAATCTCAAAGTCAGTCCTCCGTTTTCTCGCCTGGAAGAAGGGATGTTCGCTCGCAAGGGAGCTGGATCTGAATCTGGATTGTTGGACTCACCCCATGTTTGGATTCTCAGGTTCATGACGGCTTCGGAGGGATGGGGGATGGAGTAACCGCAGAATTCGACGTCCGGACTATAAGCAAGAATGGGAATTCCCGTCAGATGATGAAGTACACTTGATTTCCGGAGAAGAGGAAACAGTTCTTGCTTGCTTGCTTGCCTGCCTGCCTGCTGCTTTCCACTCGCGAGATGAACATCGCGTGGCTGGCTTACTTTTTCGTAATGAGATATCGCAGGGAATTCCCTAACGTGTGGTCTTCCTTCTCGAGCGCGAATGAGGCCGCAGTTTCAGACGAACCAGGAAGCTGTTCGGAGAGAGAAAATATCATGATTAGTTTAGTTCTTGCCTTGTTTTTCCTTCGTTTTCCTTCATTTTCCCTCATTTTCCTTCGTTTTTCTTCGTTTTTCTTTATTTTCCTTCATTTTCCTTCGAGTCTCCCTCTTCCCTGGTCTTTTCCTCCCAGACCCGAAAACCGCATTGCCCTATCCCCGGAAAAGCGCCCCTCGAAAAACACCGAAGAAAAGAAGAAGAAGAAAAAATAGAAGCAGAACCAGAACAAGAGAAAATGAAAAACTCACCAGTCGCAACCGCTGCTTCTCCCCGACGACGACCGCGGCGGTATTTTCCGCATCGACATCCATGGGATCAGCAGCAGCCTTGGGGACATCGCTATCGGTCGCCATTTCGGCCGAAGGAGAAATCTGTACCGAGGGGATGGGTGAATGAGTGAGCGAAAACAAACAAAAAACAAAGACGCTGATGACGGGCCGGTGTTGGATCGCAGGATGTGTCGAGGAGATCTTTATTTCATATGTTATAGCAAACCTTGTACGAATATGCTCGACAGCGTCTGAGAGTGCAGGATAAAGTTGTCCCTAGCGCGCGGCAGACCCCGGGCCGGACCTGACCTGACTGACATGCGCTCTGCCTGGATTTTGGGATTTGGGTTGTTCGACGTCACGCATCGGTCGCGTTTTATTATGGGAAGAAGGGGAATAAGATAAAGACGAGGCAGAGAGAAAAAGAGAAGCAAGAGGTGGAAAAACGAACAGAATCCCGGATTTGCACAGAGATAAAAGTACAGGAAAAAGCGCCCAAAAAAGGGAGAAGAAACCAGAGACGGCGCATACTCCCTCCTTCTCTCGAAAGAAGAAAGAGATCAAAGACAAAATTCCCTTCCTTTCCTTCGGAGGAAAAATAAAAAACCCTTCTTGATTCCCTCCATTTTCTATAAATTTTTCCCATTTCCCGTGTCCCGTCTCGACGGACTGACTGACTGACCGACTGAGTGGGGGAAGAGGAATGTCCTCCCCCAGTCTCCCATCCTCTCCTTCAACCCCAACCTCAACTTCCAGAAAACCAGGATTCCTAGTCCTCGTCGCTGCCCGCGGCCGATGCTCCCTTCGCCGCGGTCGCGCTCGGCGTTCCCGCCGCACTGGTGGTAGCGGGAGTCTTTGGGCCACCCAACTTCAGTTTGAAGCCCGAGCGGGCGGGAGGTTGCGGAGTGGCGGCGGCGCTGTTGTTCTTGGTGGTCGGGGCGGCGGAGAGGCTGCTGTTGTCGGCGAGGGATTCGGGCTCGTCGAAGTTCTGCCATCGGGGGAATTTGGAGGTTTCTTTTTGGAGTTTTTCGAGGCATGCGGACTGTGTTTGGTTTGGAACGTTAGTGGGTTGTTCGAGAGAAGAAGGCACGGTAGCGGTAGACATGAGAGGAGGGCAGGATGGAGAAGAGAAAAGGGAAGGAAAAAAACATACCTCGATCAGATTCGCGTCCTGATACAGGACGCTGCCATCCTCATTGTACTGCCGACAGTTCTTACACAGCAGACCGATATCCGCGCGGAACTGCTTCAGGTTGTGGTACTGCTTCCGGTTGATTTTGTTCTCGATCTGCTTCATGCAGATCGGGGACTTGATTAGATCGTAGTAATCGGGATAGTACTGCTTGGGGGGCAGGTCCAGGAAGGGGTCGATGATGCCGCGCGCGGGCACGCCGGGGTCCGTGGAGGCCTCCTCGAGGTCCTGCAGGGAGTCGTGCACGGTGTCCAGGATGAGCTGGAGGCTCTCGCGGTCTTCCTTGGAGAGCGGGTCGGCGGCTTTGCCGACGCGGCCGCGTTTCTTGGGGGGCTGGGAGGTGGGTTCGGCGGGGGAGTCGAGGTCGTCGTGTTTGCGCTTTTCGGCTTTCGGGGTTGCGGCGACGGCGGACTTCCGGCCGCGCTTCTTGGGTTGCGGGACGACTTCTTCCTCCTCGGAGGCTTCGTCGCTGTCGTCGTCGACGGCCGGGGAGTCACCGCCGGCGAGGAGACGACCTTCCTTCTTGGCGTTGCGGCGGGCGATTCGGGCTTGTTTGCGGGCGATGGCGTCTTCGATCGTGTCATCGTCGGCATCGACGGCGTCAAGCCATTGTTCTTCGGTGAGGCCGTCGTCGTATTTGACTTTAGTGCGTTCTCGCGCACCACGACCGACGACCTCTTCGACCTCTTCGACCGTAGGGCCATCCTCGTTGAGATAGAGTTCGGGCAACTCGCTGTCGCCCAGCAGACGCTGATAAGTCTTATCAGGACCATAGACATCATTCTTGAGACGGTCCTGATCCATCTTCTGGAAGAGCACGAGCTCATCTTCGTTACGGCTCATAATCATATTGAGTTCATCATCGTCCATTTCTTCCTCTTCTTGGTGGGCCTCGCCAGAGGACTCCGCCACTTCCAACATGACTCGCAACATCTCGTCACGCTCCTCATTGGTGGATTTGTTGTCGAATTTACCGGCCTGGATGACCTTGCCGTCCATGTCCAACTTGTATTGAGCTCGCTCAAGAATCTTCTCTTCGACACTGTTGCTCGTGATCAAACGGAGGATACGCACTTCGTTCTTCTGTCCGATACGATGCGCACGATCCTGCGCCTGCAAATCCTGGTGAGGATTCCAATCGGAGTCGTAGATGATAACAGTATCGGCGGTTTGTAAGTTCAGACCAAGACCACCAGCACGGGTGGAGAGAAGGAAACAGAAGTATTCCGAGTCCGGCGCGTTGTACAGCCGCAGCAATTCAGAACGATCGTCAGCTTTGGTCGAACCGTCCAACCGCAAATACTTAATGCCACGGAACCGCAAAAAGTCTTCCATGATGTTCATGATCTGTGTCATCTGGAAGAACATGAGCACACGATGGTTGGTGGCCTTGAATTTCGGTAGAACACGATCGAGCAGTTCGAATTTACCCGAGGTACGCCAGATGAGATCGTTTGTGAGACGGTGAGGGTTCATCTGATCTTCGACTTCCTCAAAGACGAAAGGGTGATTACACAGCTTTCGAAGTTGCATGAGCATATTGCTCAAACCACGCATGCCAGTCTTCTTTCCAGAGGAGTCGAGGACGTTGATACGGTTGTGCTGTACGAGCTGCTTGTAGAGTCGAGCCTGTAGAGCAGAGCGAGGACATTTGATGACGCGTTCTTGCTTATCAGGCAGATCCTTCTCGACATCTTTCTTGAGACGACGCAGGAGGAAAGGTCGGAGGACTTTGTGCAGACGCTTGATGACGAGCAGCTGTTCTTCTTCCGTCAACTCCATCTTGTCTTGGCCTCCGGTGTTGGCGAACGGTGTGTTGAACCATTCATCGAACGATTTGACAGATTTGAAGATGTTGGGCAGCACGAAATTCAACATGGCCCACAATTCCGTCAAATTGTTCTGCAACGGGGTACCGGTGAGAATGAGTCGGAAACGGGTGTGGTAATATTGAGTGATGGTGCTGCTCAATTTGGATTGCGCGTTCTTCATACGATGACCTTCGTCGACAATCATGTGCAACCATTTGACCTTGCTGAGGAGTGGTCGATCCTTGATGACGAATTCATAAGTGGTGAGAAGGACTTGGAATTGGCCATAACGAATCTGCTGTGCGTGAACCTTCCGCTGATTTGGAGGTCCCTTGTAGACGATGCGCACGATGCTTGGAGCCCAGCGCTCGAATTCGTTATTCCAGTTGGTCAGCGTACTCAACGGCACGAGCACCAGGTAAGGACCTTGTTGCTTCTTCTTCTCGATGAGGTAGGTGATGAGCGAAATGGTTTGAATTGTCTTTCCGAGACCCATTTCATCTGCAAGAATACCGTTGAGGTTGTTGTTGTAGAGCGAAATCATCCACTGTAGACCCTTGACTTGGTAGTCCTTGAGGGTACCTCCGACGAGGCAGTCGGCCTGCTTGGTGACCGTCTCCTTGATGCGATGGGCTACCTCGTAGTAGTCGACCTTGCGCTTCGTCTCGTCTTCACTGTCGACCTCATCCTCTTCCGGTTCGGGTTCATCGTCCATGAGCATTTGGGCGTGTTGGCTGCTACGCTGTTGCTCCTTGACGGATGCCGCCAGTTGGTTGAGGAAACCATCCGTCTGTTTAAGCAAGTGGGTGATACGCGAATCCTTGGCTTGACCAAGCAGTTTGAGATATGTCTCCTCATCGTTAGCCTTCAAGGCCTGCAGACGCTGTTTGGCAGTGCGCTCGATTCGCCTTTGCTCTTCCTTCTCGATGTTACTGTGAGTCTGAACCATGAGACGACCCAGCTTCTGTGCCCGCTGTCGGGACTGAACACCGCTGTTACGGATTTCGTCCGAGTGGGAGACAATTGAGCGCATGTATTCAACGTGCTTCTTCTTCTCCTTGCTCTCCGCGGCGTCCCGTTGTTGCTTCTCGAGCTTCTCGGTGACGCGCGCTTCGCGAAGGGACTGTCTCTTGACACGTCGGTACATGGTCCGGTTGGCGGTCATCGATAGAGTATCAGAGAGCATCATCTCCTTGCCGACTTTGACCCGCATTTCGCGCTGCTTGGGCAGCAGACACAACATCTTGTACTCAATCAGAGCACGAAGCTTGGCATTCGCGTTGTCTTCTGCCGTATCCGACTTTTTCGTATCCCAGGCGCCAATGTTCGCGGAAAGCTTGCTCAGCTCCTCCTTTCGGGAAATGACTCGGTTGTAAATGATGGCTTCGCGTTCCGCGCGGGCTTGTTCTGGGTCGAAACCGTGAGGCATGATGCTTGGGATAATTGGCCGGTAGGGTCGGTGGGCATGGTCGGCATAGCTGATGTATTTCACCAAGAGGTTGTGGGGGTCGGTAAAGGTCTCAAATCGATGTCGTGGATTTTCAGACTTTCCATCTGGTTGCGATCCTGTCGCTAGACTTTTCGACCCGTTGTCCAGAGCGAGTGACGCATCGTTGTTACGACTGAAGAGCAGCTCCGCAATGTGAGGAGGAATAGAGTTGTTCTTTTGCAATGCGCCATACGCTGCCAGCTGTGCTCGTAACTTGGCCATCTGTTCCTTGCTGAATCCTGATTCGGCAGTGATGTCTCCTTGCGATGGTCGGCTTTGGTGTGTAGGTCCACCAATGTTCGATGGCAGCGATGTTGATGGCGATTGCAGCATGTTCTTCATGTTAGGATTTGACATGGCGTCGGTACCAGGTAGGCCTGTCGGATTCCCATTGTGTTGCATTTGTGGTTGAACAGCGCCATTTTGCGGAAATTGCTGTTGCTGGCTTTGCTGCTGCTGCTGCTGTTGTTGCTGTTGTTGTTGTTGTTGTTGTTGTTGTTGTTGTTGTTGCTGTTGCTGCTGTTGTGCATCCTGCAGTCTCCTCATCTGCTCGCGTCTCTGATGAATCGTCGAGAGGATCTGCTTGACTTTGATAAATCTGGGGTCATTCTCAGGTGTGCCATTGGCCTTCATCGTCAAGTATTCCGTGTGTAATGCCTGAGCCTGCTCCTTGGTCACACCCATGAGAGGTTGAGCACCAGGCTTCATGCCTGGGTTGCTTCCCACCGGAGCCATACCGGTAGTCGGTTGTACGGCCGCCATGTTGACAATGTCTACTCAAGACACCAAACTCTTTCTCCCTCCACGTCTCTTCCCGAAAAGAACCGCGCAGCCTTCAGAGGTGAGTTTGATATTATGTCGCGCATGTATCGTGATGAAAGGCAAAGAATATTTGTCTCGCGAGGAGGGATCGCGTTCCAAATCAGGACCAGACCGGGGACGACAGAGGAGCGCGAGGAGCGAGTTCGTCAGTCGTCGTGAAGAGTTCCCGTCGAGTTCTGAGAAAAGGTTGCGCCCGATGAACAAAGTCGCGTGCGAACGCGATGCGCTGATGATGATTATTTGTCGGGTATGTATGTGTATGGATAAGTGTACAACGCGTTCACTGTTTCGTCCGCGGGAATTGGAAGATACTGTCAATGGATAATGTTCTCTGGCGCAGGGTTTGACGCGCGGGAATGGCGTGTCGTGGATTTCGATCAGTCCGTGAGGAACAGCAGGAATATTATTGATGTTGGCGACGATAAGCAGAGATGCTTGTCATACGCGTATATCGCGCGCGTAGGTCGACGTGGTCGCGAGCGTCGGCATGAAGAGAGGGCGATGGTGGTTGCCCTGCGATAGGGTCGAATGCCTCAATGCCGGCGTTGGCGGTGGTGATAGTGCTTGGTCGTGGTGATACGCGGGAGTGGTAGTGGTAGTTGTCAGTAGTGGTAGTGGTGGTGGTGGTAAATACCCGGTGCCGTGCGTAAATCCAACCTGGTGCAGCGCTGTGTAGAAAACACGGCGTTCGCGGGGACGGAGCACAATACAAGGGATGGGATGGGATGGGGCGTTGGCGTCGTTGGCGTTGGAGAGTGATTTTCACGCGTGGTGGTGGTGGTCGGACGACGTGTAGTCGGCAGCAGCAGGGAACAGTCAAGGCGGGAGTCACACGTTTGCGCGCAACAGCGGGAGGGAGAGAGAGAGAGACAGGACGGGTGGAGTTGTGCGCTCGCTGCTTGCTGTACTGTACTGTGCTGTACTGTAGTCCAAGTGCTGCTCGCGCTGCCGTTCGGGTCCGCTTCGTTTTCTTTCTCACCTCCGGAATTGCGACGATGGGATGGGCGAAGGGGAAATCACCGTCCAGGCAGGCAGGCAGGCAGGCGGCGGCCGTGGCGACTTTCGGCTGACCCGGTGGCTCACGTGATATCTCAACACCTCCAGCTTCCAAGGCTTTTGCCATTAGTCCCGCCTGTCATGTGCAAAAGTGATGAGACATCTGCACCCGGTTGAGCCACGATATTTGGCCCATCCTCTCAGTGTCAGTGCCCAGGTGATAGAGCGTCTATCTCCAGAGGGCTCCGACAGAAGCAACCTGGGGATCCATGGATAGTGCAATAGTATCTAATAGCACTCCGGTCTGCGGGTTGTCATCAGGTGGGCAATGCACTTCCTCACTACATGTCCTCTCCTTCCTTTCACCACTACCTAGGTAGGTACTAGTATACGCCTGTCAAGATGGTAAAGTGCAACGATGATAAATTTAGCAGACCAACACCTATCTATTTCGCCGATTTTCCCCATCTTGTATCACCCCCCATTCATTATTCCCGGTGTGCAACACCATGGAATTGACCCTTCCCTGTCTCAGATAAGTGACAAACTCCTTCGCGTGTCGAATTGATATCTCAAAGGGTCGTGGATGGTTGTCCGATGGAGTCGCTGCTCGCAAGTCTTCGCCATCTGTGTGTGGGATGAAGACGGGATCAATGGACAGCACCCTCGCTTTCCAATTTTGACCCTACCGGACCTCTTCACGAGGGATCGCTTACACACCACCGGCTGCAAGCATCTTCTTGCGGAGGTTGTTCTTGTACTGTCCGATAGTACCGTCCCATCTCGTGACGGTCTTGTTCTCGCACACCATGATGTCCTTGGCGATCTTGTCGAGCAATCTGTGATTGAAAAGAAGAGTCAGTGATAATTGTTCGTGGGATCGGTCGAATACCTCTTGATGACAGGGGTTCAAGCAGGGAGTACGCAAGAATAGATGATTAACTAACCTGAAATCGTGAGAAACAACAACCACACCGCCCGAGAAAGCATTGATCGCATCAGCCAATGAATCAATGGTCGGGATGTCGAGACCGTTGGTCGGCTCGTCCAGCAGCAACATGTTGGGACCCTCAATGGCCAACAGGGCAAAGACGATACGGCTCTTCTGTCCCTCGGAGAGAGTACCCATGATGGCGGTCTGCGACTCTCCAGACAGACCGTACTTGCCGAGCTGTTGACGCCAGTATTGGTAATCCTGGCTGATGGCCGAGAACTTGTCGCGGACAAAGTCCAGCGCGGACTTGGTCAGATCGAGCTGTTCAGTCGAGTGCTGGCTGTACATGCCCAACTTCAAGTGGGTGTGACGTGAGACAGCGCCGCTGTTTGGTGAGAGCTTGCCAGTGAAGATACGCAGCAGAGTCGACTTTCCAACACCGTTGGGGCCCACTAGCGCAGTTCGGCTGTCCATGTCGACACCAAAATCGAGGTTCTCGTATAGGAGATCGTCCTTCTCGCCTGAGTATGAGAAGGTTACATCGTCCAAAGCAAGCACAGGTGGAGGCAGTTTCTCGACATCGGCGAAACGGAAGGAAAAGACACGGTCCTTGTGTACAGGCTGGATGAAACCGTCGGCCTCCATCTTGTCCAAAATCTTCTGTCGCGACTTGGCTTGTCGCACCAAGTTGGCATAGGTACCAGCCTTGGAGATGAATTCCTTGATGTGCTTGATTTCGTCTTGCTGCTTCTCGTACGCCTTCTGTTGGTTGACCTCGTGCTCGGCACGAGTCTTGTGGTAGGTGTCGTAGTTACCACCATAGTACAGCAGCTTCTTCTCTCGCATGTCGATCATGTTTGTGCAGACACCGTTCAAGAAATCCATCGAGTGGGAGACGAGAATGAGGGTACGGTCCCACTTCTTCATGTATTCCTCAAGCCACACACAGGCCTCGAGGTCCAAATGTGCGGTGGGGTCGTCGAGCAAAAGGAGAGATGGCTTGATGAAAAGCGCCTTGGCGAGCGCGACACGCATACGCCAACCACCGGACATGTCCTTGGTCTTCTTGTCCATGGTCTGCTTGTTGAAACCGAGACCAGTCAGAATCAAAGAGGCACGTGTGCGGAAGGTCGAGGGATCCATTCCATCGATACGCTCATAGATGTCCTCGAGTTTGGGGCTGTCAGGACCCTCGTTTTCCAAGATCTTCTCAGCCAAGTTTTCCAACCGCTTCATTTCGGCTTCGGCCTGGTTGACGACCCAGTCGAGAGCACCAGTGTTTGAAGGCTCAGCACCTTCGTTGAGGAGGTAGATGTCGATGTGTTGAGGGAAGGGGAATTCGCGCTTGGCGATGGCCTTCAAGAAGGTAGATTTTCCACAACCGTTCTCACCCAAGAGACCGTAGCGACGACCGTAGTTGACTTCGATCATGGTGTCGTTGAAGAGCACCTTTCCGTGGAAGACGAGTGATGCGGAAATGATCTTCACGTCTCGGCTCGCCTCCAGGGAGGCAAGAACACCAGTTGTGACTCGGTCAGAGATACCATCTTTGTCCTCTTGCAGTGCCAATTTAGCAACCTTGCTGTTCATCTCCTGCAGGCTTTCTCCTTCGCCCGATCCATCGGCTTCAGCGTCATCCTTCTTTGACTTGCTGGAGGGCTTCTTGTCTTTGGCCGCCGCACGCTTGGCTTCACGAGCCGCCTTGGACGCTGAGACAGGCATGGTGAGAAATGTGGGAGGGATATGTGTTGTGGATTTGGACCGGAGAGAAAGCGAGAATAATACTCCTAGGCGGCGTAATTATTATTGCCAGGGAAAATATTGCCGCTGTGACGACTTTGGTGGGGCAAATGGGTGGGCGTGCGCTATCGATATGCAGATTCCAATCACCGCCCTGACGATGAGTAACGGTTGGTGATAAGGCTGAGGACAATCCTCCCTAGTCTGTCTTCGCGAAGAAAGTGTGAAGCCAAACAAGTGAATGTTTGACGAACTGCTCGATGTATGAAGGGATACGTGGGTAGAAACGATTATATTAAATCACAAAATGGAAGACGATATTGGCTCAACAAACGTGTACTGTACAGTGGTACAGTACGTAACAATAAATTTCCTCGCTAGCTTTTCCGGCGATCATCTCATCAGATTCTTCCTGCATGGAACGCGCGCCCGCCAGTGAGGAACAAAAATAATTCCTCCAGCACAACGATAATTCACATGGTGGGGCCCGAGTTTGCCCGCACGGAGTGACGACACCGCAAGCACACTGCAACTTTAGAAGTATTTCATAACCCTAATGGTGAACATTACCTAGGTACCTGGGTACTTTACATGTCTTCCAACTTGCAACAATCTCCTCTCTTACCACACAATGATAAAGATGGATGGACCGGACAGTATCATCGTTCTCACTGTAGTGGTCACGTTGTGATCTTTCTCCATCCTCGCGATCGTCTCTTTGACAATCCTGCCAGTACATGCATCAGGTAAACAGCAGAAACAACGACAGGGAGGGAGACGACGACGACGATGAGAATCTAAATGTGTTTGGAGAGGAAATTAACATTCTATCCTTGCTATTACAAGGTCACATCAGATCATTCATATATGCAAACAATCGCAATCCGTCACCGTCAATTCCTCGGTAGCTCAAGTCCGCTCCGGCCATCGCTGAGGGTCTTTTCGGACATTTACAACTCGTTCCAGGATGACCAACCTCATAAATCTCACGATTGGAATTCATGGTTTCTTCGAGGCGTCGTGCGAGGTTATCCGGCACAGCGCCAGTGACAGCCACATCCCGTACTCCGGATAAACCTTCCAACGGCTGAAGCATATCCGCGAGGCCTTGGATCGGTAAGGTGACCTCCTCTGCAGCGCGGCCACTGTTGAGCGCGCGATTGCGCTTCATCTCGTCAACGATCGAATTCGCTGTCGAGACGCGGACATGCATCTTGGCGAGCGGTATCCTGGTTGCAACGTGATCCGAAATCTTTGCTGTGTCGCTGTTAGTGGGAGGAGCTGGATGCTCTTCTGAGTTGGTCGCCAATGGATGTGGTGATGGCGGAGACAGTAAGCCATCAACCAGCTTCTGCACCTGACCTCTCAATCCGTACACCAGTCCCTGCGCTCCAACGTTGAATTTGATCATCGCAGTGTATGCGTCGACGTGCTCCACACACACTACCACGCGATTCAAACGGGTCAGATATCGTTGGGGCATCAATTCCAGGAATGGATAACGCTTCGTCGGAGTCAAGCCCGAAGGCAGTAGCCAACTGTAGCGGAAAATAATACCGGCATACGTCACACTGAGGAGGAATGTGTTGTTCCCACCGTAAATCAGATCTGCACATTCATCGTGGATCTGCCGGTTGACACATAACAATTTGACGTTTCCTCGCTTCCAGATGATATGGTATGCGGTGATCGCCGTGGCTCTTGGTCCAATGCCGGTGGCATTCCGTGGCGGACAGGCTTTGTCCAAGCTCGCTTCGGACAAGCTCATCGAGCCGAGTTTCCGACTCAGGACCTCCGTGACATCTTGCGGCTTGGAAATAGTCCTCGGGAGGAGATAGTTATAAACCTGCTGTCTCAGCTCCAGGGGGAGTCGTAGAAATGGAAATTTGGGCTGCTGACTCGCCGGAGAGCGAGAACGCTGCTCGAGTTCATCAAAGGATTCATGGCGGATAACTGAGCTTAGGTGACTCGGGCGATCCCTAATTATCGATCTCGTCTCGTCGTTGGTTACTTCGATAGTACTGCTGATGGTTGGGGCGGCGAAATGTGGCGTGATGTAGTAATCGCGGCAATTGTAGTGGCCGCGGTCCATACCAAACTGTTCTCGCGAGGATTCAATACGTGACGCCCGTAGTTTCTGGCATCACGGCATGAGGCTTGGAGAAACCTGACGAGAATGCATCGACCTGGAAATCGGGACTGACTTGATCATCGAGGAGTGGGATTGAACATGCATTGCGACATCATTTGCCTCAGGCTCTCACGATGCTCATTGTGGACCCCTCTTCTTATCCTTATCTCCGCTAGCGCCGGTCTGAAGTGGGATTTTCCATTCAGAATTTCTGTTCGTGACGGCGACGTCAAATCAGTACGGATAATCCAAGATCTTGAAGAACGCACATCTAGGTTTTACAGACATAGTCTCGAGACTCGTCGAGTAGTTGAAATTCGCATACCTAGTGCGAACGATATAAGACCACCTGCAATTGCCACCAGCTACTTGAAAGAATCGAGTATTCTTTGGTGCGCTAGGAGAAATCTACTTTCGGCACGGCTGCCCGATGGTAAATTTCGTCGACAAATTATTCGCGTAAAGGCATTTCATGCTGCGCTCCCAGCCTTTGTAGACTCAACCCTTCGTACAGACCATCATGGCTTCCGAGACCATGGCGACCTCAAAACCGATCCATACCGTAGTTCTGGACACTGGATCCATCATCAAGAACGAGCCATCTGTCTCAACATTGTTGAGCCAAGCCGAGGTCATCGTGACAGTGCCCGCCATCATTGCTGAAATTAAAGACTCCGCCACACGGACGCGCTTCGAAACGACTCTCAAACCATTCGTGACTCTTAGGACACCCCGTCCCGCAAGCGTGCAAGTCATTGTCGATTTCGCTCGGAAGACTGGCGACTTGGCCGTGCTGAGCAAGCCGGATATTCAAATCATCGCGCTTGCGTATGAACTTGAATGTGAGAGAAATGGCGGCGACTGGAGGTTGAGACGCACTCCAGGTCAGAAGGGCATGAACGGTCCTCCGCCAGGAAAAGCGGAGGCCGTGGCAGCAGAGGACGCAGTTGAGAAGGACGAGAGTGCTCAATCAGCAGCTGAGCCGTCAGCCACGGTTGAAGATGGATCTATAGAGGTTATTAGTGGCGCTCAGCAGTCTGAGACGTCAGAAGGCGTTGCTGAGGAGAAGATTATCGCGCCCGAGCCAGATGCAGTTGGTGCCGCGCAGAACCCGACAGACGTCACTGCAGCAGCCCCGATAGACCGAGAAACAGCGGAGCTCGCCGATCAAGAAGAAGACACTATTCCTGGCCAACAGGATGCAGAATTATCCTCACAACTTGAGACGCTTCAGGTCGCCGAGTCAGCGCCACAGGAAGCTGAAGCAGAGCCAGTGATGATTGATTCCGCTCAACAATCAGCGGAAAGCCAAAACGAATTCGACTCGGATTCGGGTTCCGACTCAGACGACGGCGGCTGGATCACGCCTTCAAATCTGAAGAAAAAGCAAGCGGCCGACGCAATCGGCTCGACCAAAGAAGCCGAAGCACCCGCGGTAATGCAAGTCGCTGTGATAACCACCGATTTCGCCATGCAAAACGTGATTCTCCAGATGAACCTCAACCTACTCTCCTCGGCCATGTTCCGAGTCAAACGCCTCAACACCTACGTCCTCCGCTGCCATGCCTGCTTCAACGTCTGCCGCGACCTCGCCAAACAATTCTGCCCACGCTGCGGCCAGGCCACACTCACCCGCGTCGCATGCTCCACGAGCGCCAGCGGCGAATTTCGCCTACATCTCAAGAAGAATATGCAGTGGAACCACCGCGGCGACCGCTACAGTATTCCTAAACCTGTACATGGTTCCTCGAATGGCAAACTCAAGGGCGGTGGGAAAGGCGGTTGGGGTAATGAGCTTATGTTGGCTGAGGATCAGAAGGAGTATCAGAATGCCGCCCGTGTGCAGCAGAGGCAGAAGACGAGAAATTTGATGGATGAGGATTACTTGCCTGGTATTTTGACAGGTGATCGGGGCAAGAGTGGAGGGAGGATCAAGGTTGGAGCTGGAAGAAACGTCAACTCGAAGAAGCGGTAGATGGATAACAAACCGCAAGTTTGGATCAGGTTTTGGCGCAACTAGGTTCGTTTAGTTTGGCGTTCGGTCTTATGAATTTGTGTTCCGTTGGCGATTCATGCTTCTCGCTCGCCAATTCAATCAATCATTTCACTCTATTTTATCATCGTCGCCATGAAAAGCACCTGGGCAGCCAGGAAGACGAAGCCGTCAAGTCTTGAATGTGTTAGGGTACAAGGGTTGGCTTTGGGGTTAGTGTACGCGCTTCAGCTCGCCGGCGAGACCCAGTCCGCGGCCCAGCCAGTCCCGATACGTCGTGAGAATATTTTCGTTCAAATCGTACCAAAGTAATCCAACGTTCTAACATACGCTGTTTTGCTAGGCGTCTTATGTTGTTCCTGCGAAACGGGAATGTGGACCGATGACCTCAGCTTTAGCTCAGCTCATGGACGCCGCAATGGCTGGACTAGGCCTGAACGATAACAGTAAACAGTATATCATGAGTTTCAATCCTTGACACCTGCGCAAGGAAAGGGCCGACAAATTCACGACATCTCTGGGCAGTTTTCCGTGCTTCACAGTCAGCATCATGTCCGCCTCAATCACGGATCTCCCAGCTGAACTCCTTGCGCAAATCATGTGTGAATGCAGTCCAGAAATCAAGACAGTATTACACTTTTCGTCAACGTGCCGAAAAGCACAGCAAGTTTGGCATGAAAATACGATTTCGATTGTATGTAGGGTTTTTCAATTCACGAGGTCGGAGTTGATGGACTTTTTGGAACTTGCCAGGTTGGAAGCGTCGCCGCCGGAAGTGCTGTCGGGAGAAGTGAAGGTGGGAAATGGATCTCAAGCGACATTCACGGAAGTACCGCATCAAGAATCCACGAAAGGATCAGCGCCGAAAGATACGAAGACTGAAGAGGCCTTGCAGGCCTTGAAGCTGGATGAAGCATCCCAAGATTCGACTGTACATGCCGATCTGAATGCCACTATCCGTCACCACCTGTCCTGGCTTGAACGCGCTGCGTTCGGAGTGCGCGTCTCCCAAAAAATGTTCGAGGATAGCCGCGCAGAGTCAATTAAAGCCATTAAAAGAGACCCTAGTTGGGATGAATCCGACCCCAAGAGGTTTGAGAAGTGGAATTGCTTCAGAAATCCACCAAATTACGTCCAGTTCTTCCGATTGTTGCGACGTTTTGTTGTCGCCTACGACCATCCATCACTCCTGCCAGATGTATACGCCGATTTACACGGTCTTTCCGACAATGACATGGACGACTTCGGCACGATCGCAGACTACTTTGATTACAAATGCGACGGACATTGGGATCACATGGGAATCGAACGGCAGAAAGGAGAAGAGCCCTGGTGGACATGCACAGGTGATTCTGGCACGACTTATCTGCCGCGTCGATGGTCTTTTGCGGTGCATATGTTGTGGTCAGAAAGCTTTTGGCGCCCAGAACCGCCGCGTACCGATCAACAGCCATCGGATGACGAAGAAGCCCAGTGGAGGTATGAAAGCACGTGTGAGGCTTTCGGCAAAGATAGAGTCACGTTGATGTTTGGCGGGGACAACATAATACCATGGACCGAAGAAAGGCGCAAGGCCAATGCCCGGTGGAGAGAAGTGTATGACAATGCTCAGAAGTCATGAGTCTTTGCTTTCAAAGGCGATGAACTCACTCTGCCAAACATTTAAACTTCCAGAGCATCAAAGAAGAATTGATCGTGCACATCCATATGACAGATCTTAAATTGTATTTAATCAGGGCAGACTGACTGTCGATCCCCTCTACCGCCTAAACACCACGATCCGCGCCGAATGATGCCGAGCCATGTTGCGGCTACTGTCACGCGTTAGATGGGAGGGTTGCAAATACGATGCTTCGCCAAACTCCTTGTTCGGATCGCACAGCAACTCGACCACGACACTCTGACCAACAAAAGCATGACTACACTCATGTGGACGAAAAATACGCGTAACGATTCTTGTTACATTTTGCCGTCGTCGACTAATAACGATACGCTTGAAGAGCCAGCAGTATGATACCAGAATCTCGGCGTATCCGACGAGCAATCACTTTCCAATCGCTGTCAACTCTATATCTCCTTGCCGGCATGCCGCAGGTCCAACTTCAAGGGCACCTGCCTGCTCAGACTACGAGCGCGTCCGAGAGCTCGTCGTCACATACCGGCGGACGACAAGCTGATGAGAAAGGGCAAGATCAATGGCCGTGAGCTTGAGCTTGAGCTTGAGCTCTTGCATGGGATGTAGTGTGGTACGTAGCCTCTCGCGCGCTTTCGACGCTGACATGGCCCGCATCTATCGCTTTAGTACCACTGGGTATGACGGTCCAGCCGAGCGATCTTGTGAAGGTCTGACAGCCTCGGGGAATCCAGCCCTGCGCAGAAGTTAGCGACCGGCCCAAACCTTTCTGGAGGAGTAGAGCTCACCAATACGTCTTCTTCTGGAGTTGCGCCGCAAGGTTCCTTGATGACCATTTTCTCGCCTGAATATGCGACAGTAACCACTCTTACGGGGGAGTTCTTCTTGGGAACCGTATCGCATAGCGCCCAGCCTGCAAAGACCTCGCCACAAGACCCTCCGTTCTGATGTCCCACGGCATGCTGGGCGCCTTTGGTGTCCGTGACAAGAAACCCACAATCCTGCAAGCCCTGTTGAACCGCCGAGGGGCACACATTGCTCTTGAGCCCTTTCCAGTAAGCAACTGACTGGCTCGTCAATTGTAGATCGATCTTGGTTGTTTTCGGGTCGTAAATAAGACCCCTTCCCTTCATGGACGACGCCAAGAACACATGATTATCCTGAACGACCGCAGTCATCACTGTAGGCCCATAATTTCTGGTCACATCATTCCTGAAGCTTTGGCTCCCCGGCCCTGCTGCTGCTTTATCACCCGCTAGCCGACCGCGCATGGCTTCATGCGCGGTGTAAGCCAGGTGAACGATATTCTCATTCGACAGTACCGTGCCCTCTTTGAAGGTGACGACCGAGCCATACACGCCAATCTTGATTTCAGCAAGCTTTGAATGGAGCCGAATCTCTGAGGAGTATTAGAAGAGGCCGGCCAAGATGTTGGAGAAACGTACTGAGGTCTTCCCCGGTGATGGCGAAGCCTTGCAGGGCTAGCGAGAGGAACGTAACGAAGAGCAGAAGCCTTCCTACGATCGACATGGTGGTTTCGTGGAGGAAGCTCTAAGCTTCGCGAATGAGGCACGCAGGTTCTTTGGTATATAGTGGTAGTTGTAAATCGAATGCTGGATTGTGACAAAACTACCAGGGCAGTGCGAACGAAGCCTTTCTTATGCACCCAAATGGCCCAGACGCGTTCTTGCCCATTGTAATGAAGCTGGAAAACGACAGATCATGACAACGACTTGTGCTGTGACCCAGGATGCCCAGGTTAAGCGCTTAATGTTTCATTACGAGATCGCGAGTAAAATACGGTGCGACGTGGTAAGAAAGCACTCGCCTGCGTTGCTGCCCGGCCAAATCGAGTCCAAATGCTTAAGTGGATGATCGACCATACCATGGGAAGATCATTGCTAGCAGCAGTGCGGCGAAGAACCTAACTAGACATCGTTGTCTGAGCATGCTTATGCAACGCCGCAAGGCCTTCGCAACACGGCCAAAATTTCGTAAAGTAGTACTTGACCTACATAGTTCAGTAATCTAGGCTGCACACAAACGGGTCTAAAGTACCACTTCCTTTAGGTCACACTGTGAGAGACAAATTTCTGCAACGGCCATGAAAAGGCAGATCTGGCTCTGTGACAGAGTCGAACTTGTTGTCTGCACAGGTGTTCTTTCGTTGCGGCACGAACGGCGCTTCCGACAGGCCCAATCGAGACCATTTCGCGATGGGCGGTGACAAGGCGACACACGATACTGCACATTCTAGCGATCTCATATGATGATTTTCAGATCAGTCTGCGCGGCGTCCGCATTATGTGCAATTTTTGCATTGGTGTCGCGGATCATATTTTCGTCGAGCTTGCTAGGAAGCCACGAGGTGCAGCGGACACGGAGCGGAGCAAAGCTTGGACCCCCCTGATGTGTCGACTCGGGCTTCCAATATGAATATTCACGAGAGAGTGTTCGACCCAGCAGAAAGATAGCCATTGCTGCCGGAAGCTGGAGAATTCACTCGATCTAACATGTGATTTAGGTGCCCAGGAACATTCTCATTCTATTTCTATTATCGAGATATTGCCCGCAACCCCAGAACTCCGCAGAATACTGTAACGACACATCGTCTTCCGCACTGCTACAACTCAGGAGATGATCTCTTCTTTCGAACACCAAATAAAGCACTCAAGTAACCCATAGCACAACGTCTCAGGAAGATCAGACCCTGGCCAGATGATCTTGATTTGGCGAATCTTGAGCTTCACCTGGAAGCTTCAAATCAAGGCGCTTGGGGCTTGGCCTTGCTCACCACGTATGTAGCTTGCTTGACACTGATGATTTGGAGGTGATCTGACTTCGCCTCTGGAGTGTTGCTTTTGATGGTGACCCACCCGAGCTTGCTGTTGAAAGTCTTACAACCCTTTGGGATCCATTCCTGTAAAGCTGTCAGCGAGCCCTTTACATAGAAATTCAGAGGCGTGGGACATACAGGTGTAGCATCTGGGTCGGCGCCACAAGGGTCCTCGATCATCATCTTTCCACCCACAGACTTGACAGCAACGACTCTTGTTGGGCCCGTGTGAGCACTCGGGGGGTTGTTGCAAGCTGCCCAGCCTGCCATGACCTCTCCGCAAGAGCCTCCATTCTGGTGACCAACAAGAGAGCTGGTACCTTTGACCAGAAACCCGCACTCTTTGAGACCTTCTTGGATTTCTGCTGGACACACACCGGACTTGAGATTCTGCCAATAGCTAGCAGGTGCGCCGGTCCCTGGTACGAACACGTCTTTGGTGGTCGCGTCGTAGAGGAGACCCGATCCTTTCATTGACGATGCCAAGTACACATGATCGCCCTTCACGAGCGCGGTCATGACCGTGGGTCCATTGCCTCGGCTGACCTTCTTCATCAATGACTTGCTGTGGGTTGACGATACCATGTCCTTTGCAAGCTGCTCACGCATGGCTTGGTATGCAACAAAAGCCATGTGAACAATCTCCCCGTCTTGTGGGTTTGACCCGGGCTTCAGGGTGACTACAGAGCCATACACTCCCACATAGTTTTTGGCGAGGTCTGCATTGAGTTGGATCTCTGGAGGACATCAGCGAGACTCTACAAACAGGTAGCGGCAACTTACTGAGATCGGCCGCGGTCCAGGCAATAGCCTGTAGAGCCAACGACAGGAAGGTGGTGAAAAGGAAGAATTTGCGCGTGGTTGACATGATGAAGTCGTGCGGCAAGCTCTAAGCTGCGTAAACAAGTTTGTGGACGAGGCTTGGTCTCGAAATGGTAGTTATGGGCGAAGTGCTGAATCGATGATGAAAACCAGAATATCCCGGGCGAAGCATCCCATTTAAATACCGAAGAGATATCAGCCAATCCATTACTTTTCGCGATGATTGTCTATGGATCATGATCGAGGAGTATGTTGGAATTCAGGATGTTCAGACACAGCGCGTGATGCTTCATCGAAGGATCCTGAGTGCTGGACGACCTGGCCAGCTAGAGTCATGTCCTGCCAGCATGAGATGCTGCTCGGCCAATTCGCCAACAAACTTGAACATTATAACCAACCTGTGTGGACAGCATTCGAGCCGTCACACCATTAACCATGATACAACACGTGGGAGCGTGCGGAGAAGGTTAATTTGTTGCTGGCATGAGCGTGCTCGAACACCGCCGCAAGGCCGCCGAATCTCAGCCAAAGTTTCACGAGGCACCACTTGATCTACATCGTTCGCCATACTGGGCCGCTCACAGGCAGATCATAAACGTGTCATGTTGGTTGAACGATCTCGTAAGGAGTAGCTCCAATGGTGGGAATAGCTGTTGGAGGTAGCTCGGCAGACTTGGCTCTGCACCGGAGTTGAGTTTGTTGTCTGTTCGTTTGTTGGGTCGGCGCTTCCAATAGGCCTAATTGACCATTTCGCGACTGGTCGCAGGAAGGAAGCAAATATCCTGGGCGCTACTTATGTCGGACATGCATGGGTCTCATGGAAGTTTGCGCAAAGTCCACCATGCAGTATGTGAGCCCATGCACTAATTGTATTGATTATGTATCATTATCGCTCTGCAACGTGAGGTCGTCGTCGTCGATCTTAAATAGCACGTGAACAGGTAGACGCGAATAAGCGCGTTGTGCTACGGTAAGCTGAACGCTAGTACGGGACACTATGTAAGTTGAGCTCGCAACGCTCGGATACGGCCGAGGTTGTCGAGTCGGGCAGACTGACGTCGGCGAGGTTGAAACAGAGCGTGGAGGGCCCAGAATTGGCCGCTGGTTGCCATGTGTAGGAATCGGATTTGGCTTGAGCTCCGACGCCGACTGACCACGAGACCCACTGGACCCATACAAGAGAGTCGACGAGCGCAAAAGTCATTCACCATTCTCTGTGAAGGACTACATTCGCATTCACATCCAGACCTAGACAGCACATAGAGAGCGAACAGGATACTTCTCACCACTCTCCATTGACCTGAATTTGCTCCGGTTCCACTACGAATACAACATGCCTTTCAACACTGCGCTCACCCGCAAGCTCGGGATCAAAGGTTCGTGTAATGTGAAAGCGCACTGTGGATTTGCAGGACGCTGACCAGTATTCGCCAAATAGTCCCTGTTGTCCAAGGTGGCATGCAATGGGTCGGATACGCCGAACTCGCATCCGCTGTCTCCAACGCCGGCGGTCTCGGAATTATCACGGCGCTTACTCAACCCACTCCCGATGACTTGCGCAAGGAGATTCGCAAGTGCAAGAGCATGACCAAGAAGCCGTTCGGTGTCAACCTTACCCTCCTACCCTCGATCAACCCACCGGACTACCCAGCGTATGCGCAAGCCATCATCGACGAGGGTATTCGGATCGTGGAGACTGCAGGAAACTCGCCTGGCCCGATCATCAAACAGCTCAAGGCTGCCTCGCCGCCTTGCGTCATTCTTCACAAGTGCACCACTATCCGACATGCGCTGAGTGCTGTGAAGTTGGGAGTGGACTTCCTCAGCATTGATGGCTTTGAGTGCGCCGGACACGTCGGCGAGACAGATATCACAAACTTGATCTTGTTGAGCAAGTCACGACAGGTCGTGCCCATCCCATTCATCGCGTAAGTGGTCTCGAGCGACCTTGCAATGCAGGGAGAGGATATGCTGACAAGTGTGCCACAACCGCAGATCTGGTGGATTCTGCGATGGATACGGTCTTGCCGCTGCGCTGAACTTGGGTGCGGAGGGCATCAACATGGGCACCCGATTCATGTGCACCGTAGAGGCGCCCATCCACTGGAACATCAAGGAGGCCATCGTTGGCGCCCAGGAGACAGACACACAACTCGTGTTGCGCAAGTGGAGGAACACCTCCCGATTGTTCAAGAACGAGACTTCGACTAAGGCCTACGAAATTGAGAACGACCCGAAGACGACCGAATTCAAGGATGTCCAACCGTGGGTCAGCGGACAGCGAGGTCGTCAAGTATTTTTGAACGGTGACAAGGACTACGGTGTAAGTTTCATCCAGGACAGGGTATTTCCAACCTCGGACTCGGACTAATCTTATCACAGGTATGGACTGCTGGTCAAGTCGTTGGTCTGATCAACGATATTCCCACCTGCGCCGACCTGGTCTCGCGGATAGAGCGGGAGGCTGTGGAGAGCTTGAAGAAGGTCCAGAGCCTGATTGTGGATGAGAAGGACATCCCTGCGAAGTTGTGATGGGTTGATTGATCATGTAGAAAAGACAAGATTTATGAACAGAATTTCCAATAAGGTGACCTCCATCGGATGGCCAAATCTGCACAGAGCATCAATGTAATCTGCAGGTGCCCCGGTGACCCAGGATCCATCGTCACATGCAATGCAGGACAGAAACCCGTGTATCCGAGCGTCAGGAACATTCTCCGATCGGAAGTCGGTCCGCGCCGAGACGGGCCACGGTTCGGTACGCTACAGTAGTGGACGGAACTACCCGTCTCAAGGTCTTTCCCATGCCCACGAAAGTCTGGGGTCTCAACTTTCGAGCTTTTGCTACAGGCCAGAGAGCCATCGCAAATTCACGTCTTCCTTGTGCGACCGCAGACTGGCACATCCATGGACACGACATTCCAACCTTACCTTTTTTAATCGTTCTCGATTCGATGATCACCTGATTTTAATCGCCGGTAAAGACTTTTTCAAAAACATCATCAACATCGCCATCATTGTCAATGCGCCGAGAATAACGACCCATCTTCCACCTACGATTAATTCACCAAAGTCGCGCCTGCACGCGACTCAAGAACAATCACGAATCTTCACTTCACATCACCCATTCATGCAAATCTCGACCGCACCGAACGCTTGGAAGGATACGGAAGTTCTGGCCCATTTCTGAAACGCTTAAATGAATTGAGAACGCTTTCTTCATTTCGGAAACGACACCTTCGACGCTGAGTCGCCCTGGGCGATTGCTGGCCACAAGCCAGATCGTTCACCATGGCGGAGCGCTCGCTGGAGACGTTGGAGGGGAGGCTCCGGGATCCAGCGACCGATCTCAAAACAAAGGCGAATCTCTTAATTGAGCTGCGCGATTCACTTGAGATAGTCAGCCAGGCATCTGGATACTCCAACTTCCTTACGAAATTTGTGCCTCTCTTTTTCACAATCCTTACGGATACACCCATATGCGTTGCGCCAGATGATGCGCTATCAGAGCGCAAGGTGCGCCAGCATGTCCTTGAGATCTTGCATAGGTTGCCTGTCTCGCCGGATCCGCAGGTGATGGAGCCGTTTGGGGAGAAGATCATTGACAAATGCATGCAATTGGTGGATGTGGAGGCCGAGGACAACGCCGTATTATGTCTGAAGATCATCATGGACTTCTGTCGGCATCATGTGAAGACTTTGCCGGTTGCGGAGAAGTTCTTGCAGCTCATCCTGAACATCTTCGACAGCATGCCGCAAAGAATCAAGGATACCTTCGAGACTGGCGCAGCGCAACCTCCAGCTTCCAGTGTGCAAATACCCTCAACGACTAATGTAGGAACGCCTGATACCCCATCAGCCTCTGGAGCGACTGCGAGCGGGAACACTGGCACTACGACCGGCGAGTCTTTGCCGACAGGCAGTCAGAGTTTCAAAGTGATCGCCGAATGTCCGATCATCGTCGTTTCGATATTCCAGAATCACAGACAAATTGGACCGAAGCAAGTGGTCAAATTTACACCTCGTATCAAGGCTGCGCTCCTTCTGCAGGCCCCAGCGCAGAAGAAGGCGCATGACGAAGCCAAGCAGAACAACACGATTTTCACCGGCATTGCAAAGGAGTTCAAAACAAGTCGTCAAATTACCGCATTTGGAGACATGATCACAGCGCAGGTCAAGACCATGTCCTTTCTTGCATATCTACTTCGTGCCTATCAGTCAACGATGTCGGATTTTTTGCCTCATCTGCCAGATCTTGTCGTTCGCCTTCTCCGGGATGTACCGCGAAGTCACACTGCCACACGCAAGGAGCTTCTTGTTGCAATTCGACATATTATCAACTTCAATTTCCGCAAGCAATTCCTTCCTGTGATCCTCCCACTCCTGGATTCCCGGACACTCGTTGGAGATTCGTTGACAGCTGATGCCACATTGCGACCGTTGGCATACACAATGCTTGCTGACTTGATCCACCACGTTCGAGAGCAATTGACGTCTGATCAAATAGCTCACGTAGTACATGTATACGTAAGCCATCTCACCGGTGATGATGGCGTAGAAGTCCCCGGAACGAGCTATCAGACGATGAGTGCAAAATTGCTCCTTAATATGGCCGAGTGCATGTCGAAGATGCCCGAGAAGAAGGATGCTCGGTACTTGATGATCACCGTATTGAATGGCATTGCAGATAAGTTTGCAGCCATGAACAGGGCATATCCAAATGCTGTCAAGCTCTCCCGACAACAAGCAGAACAAAACAACTCGGGAACAGAAGCGCCTGCCGAGTCGTATCTCGCTGTCAAAGAAATGAAGCCGGATTGGGACGAGACGGACATCTTCAACGCCATGCCAATTAAAGCCACGAACCCGCGGGATCGGGCCATGGATCCTGTGACCGAGAACAAATTTCTGTTCAAGAACCTCCTGCAGGGACTGCGACAATTTTTCACACAATTACGAAACAGCAATCCTCCGAGGATAAAGGAGGATGTGGATCCATCCAACGCACCTCCACACTGGAACGAATTGTCTTCAGGATTTGAGGCGGAAGAGGTGAATGTTTTGGTCAAGCTTTTCCGTGAAGGTGCGAAGTGTTTCCAGTACTATGCTCCGTTGGACCAAGCTGGCTCAGGCGATGGCAATGCCGAGACCAACAGCAGTTTATCGCAGACAGCCAATTCCAAAGAAGAGAAGGATCTCCTAGAATCGTTCGCCACGATCTTCCATAATTTGGATCCTGCGACTTTCCACGAGATCTTCACTTCGGGCACGCCGTCTGGTCTAGAGTTCCTGTATCGCCAAAACTTCCGGCACCCTGCGCTTCTTCATGTTCCGCAATTCCTTCTCGCAAGCGAGGCAACAAGTGCAGCGTTCTGTGGAATGCTGCTGAAATTCCTCATGGGCAAGCTTGACGAGGTTGGCGAGAACGACAACACCAAGACAGCTGTGCTATTGCGCCTCTTCAAGCTTTCGTTCATGGCTGTAACATTATTTTCCACCCACAATGAGGGCGTCTTGCTCCCTCATGTTCGCGATCTAATCACGCGCTCGATCGAGCTCTCAGTCACGGCCGAAAACCCGACCAACTATTTCCTTTTGCTCCGATCACTATTCAGAAGTATCGGTGGTGGTCGATTCGAGCACCTCTACAAGGAAATCCTTCCTCTTCTAGAAATGCTTTTGGAAGTCCTCAACACGCAACTCGCTGCAGCCTCAGACGGTAGCACTCGCGATCTCTTCGTGGAATTGTCACTGACCGTGCCGGCACGTCTCAGCCATTTGTTACCGCATTTGTCGTATCTCATGCGACCGCTCACAGTTGCGCTTCGAGCAGGCGAGCAGCCCGCCACACCAAATTACCGTGGCAATGGAAGTCCGAGCGACAGAAGTATCAACCCTGCAGGTGTCAACGAGCTTACCGCTCAAGGTCTTCGGACCCTTGAACTGTGTGTCGACAACCTGACTGCCGATTACTTGGACCCGATCATGCAGCCTTGGATGTATGAGATTATGGGCAGTCTCTGGCGCATGTTAAAACCAGTGAGCGTTACGGGCGCCACTATGAACAACGGTCAGCTCACAGGTACCGGCCATATGGGAGCTCATACAGCCGTGAGGATTTTGGGCAAACTGGGTGGACGCAACCGCAAATTCTTGACTGCTGCACCCGAACTTGAATGGCGCACATCGGCGGATGATGCTGCAAGCTTTGACGTCCATTTTCTCAGCCCGCATTCGAGCAAGAGCAGTCGCGCCATGCCAGCACATCTTGGAGTCGACGCTGCTATCGACAAGCTTTGGGACACGCCTTCAACAGCGGCGGGAAAGAAATCAGACGAGTTTTACAAGCGACATGCTTTCAAGCTCATCACGTCTCATGTCAAGTTGCTGGTCGGCTCGGACAACCTTCCCGACGATCTGGCTCGATTGATTCGGCTCCAGGCTGACGACCTTGCGAACAAGAGCTTTGACTTCGGTTCAGATCTTTTCTCTGTGTCAGAGCCGGGTGCATCAATGGCCAAGAGAGACGAGCAGAAATATAAACTCCTCAGACTGATCAAAGCAGTCATCCATGCAACCAGCATCGACTTCTTGAAGCCTGAAGCTGACAAGATCCTACTTTCTGTGTATCGACATTTCATGGTCGTCGAGCTGGGCACTGCTGTAGCCAGAGAGAAGCATGCAAGTCGCCCCTTCGATGCCAGATCTGGTGATGGTCCGGTGTTTATCGACACCGTGATTTTGGCACACGCAATTTGCGACAGCTTAGCCTCGTCCATCAAGGATGTACGAGAATCTGCCGAAAAGGCGATGATTCTCTGCTACAAATTTGCATCTACGATCTTCGGATCAGAAGCAAAAGTGGAAAGCCTCCCGTTCTTCGCCAAGCTTGTTGAAGTGCTCAGTCATGCTTGTTACGAAGAAGAATGGTTCACCAAGAATGCTGGTTCCATCGGTCTGGCGATCATTCTTGACGTGAAGAAGCTGCCCTTTTCTGATTCGTGGATCGCTGGTCGCATGCACGACATGCTCAAGGCCTTGCTTTACGTGGTCAAAGACATGCCCCAAGAGCTCCCAGCGAATATCCGCGTGCAGGCTTCTCAGGCAGTCATCGCTCTTGCGACGCGTTTCGGCAAAAGTGGCCTGGAGACCAAGGCTGATCTCGAGAGCAAGGATAGTAAACTCAACATCCTTGCTAACCGGCTTATCGGTGAGGTCAACCACATGAATCGCCATGTCCGTGAGACCAGTCAGACAGCATTGAAGGAGCTCGCCACATCCTTGGACATGCCGTTGGTCGAGCTTCTCAATCCAGTGAAAGAGCTGTGCATTGCACCCATTTTCATGAAGCCATTGCGTGCCCTACCCTTCGCCGCTCAGATAGGTTACATTGATGCCATCGACTTCATGTTGACGAGCCAGGGCGAAAAGGAGATCATCATCTACGACGGACACTTGGATCGTCTCATCCAGGAGACTATGGCTTTGGTCGACGCCGAGGATGAAAGCTTGGCACAAAAGCCGCAGGAATATCGCCCGGCCGATAGCATCGTCCGCCTGCGCGTGGCGGGTCTCAAATTATTGACCACTGCAATTAAGATGCCTGGATTTAACGCCACAAATACGCCTGGCCGGCAAGGACAAGCGCAGACACGTGTGGCACAAGATCGCGCAAGAGTCATCAGCATTTTCTTCAAATCGCTTTACAGCAAGAACAAGGACGTCGCTGCTTCGGCAAATGCTGGTCTACAACATGTTCTCTCTTCGAACGCCAAGCTGCCTAAGGATCTACTTCAGAATGGGCTCCGCCCGATACTCATGAATGTTCAGGACGCCAAACGACTTTCTGTTGAGGGCCTGGAGGGACTACGAACGTTGCTGCAGCTCCTCCACAATTATTTCAAAGTCGAGATAGGAACCCGGCTCCTCGATCACATGAAGTTGATCGCTGACAAGACCACGCTTCAACGAGTGTCCTTTTCCCTGATCGAGTCTCAGCCGAAGATGCGTGTGGTGACCGCCATCTTCAGCGTCTTTCATCTGCTACCAACTCAAGCATCGCAATTCCTGCCCGATCTTGTCCTTCGTGTCATGGATCTCGAAGCCACACTGCGACGTACACGAAGCAGTCCATTCCGAGCGCCGCTCATCAAATATCTTAATCACTACCCCACTGAGACCTGGGCGTATTTTAGCCGCAAGCTGAAGGAAGAGGCCCTCGGACGCTTCTTTGCGCAGATCCTGACTGATTCTGATAGCGGAATTCTCAGAGAAAAGGTCACCTCCGAAGCTGATGTCCTTGTAAAGTCGATCACAGCTGAACAAACCGATGCCGATCGTGCGCAAGCGTCTGTCAATGCTATCCATGTGGCGCATGCGATCTGCCAGTATCCAGAGACTGAGAAGCCATTGCTCGAGAATAAGGCGACCCGTGACGCGTTGTTGAATGCAGCGCAAATGCTCCGCAGGCAACAACAGCAAAGGAAACTGCCGAAGAACCTCCGCCTCGCTGCGATCCAAAGCGGTAGCCAGATCATGGAAATTATCACAGCATACCTCGCAAAGCACCCCGAGGATCTTGATGGATTGTTCAACGTTGTGAGCGCGAGCGCTAAAGGCGACCTGCGGCCTTGCCCTTCGCTGTACGCGTTCTTGTACACCAACGTCATCATGAGCACCGTGGTGAACCAACAGAGAGCGATCATGAACCGTTGCATTGACATCTATGCCTCAAAGGACGCTCCTCAGAAGCTCAAGTGGTTCGTGTTCCACCACATTTTCAACCCGATCCTTGCAAATGACGCCCAGCGGAATTGGTCGATTCTTTTCATCGAGAAAAATAAGGGCACACCGCTACTAGATCGGTCTCTTTTCGAGCAAGTCCATTCCAAGCTGTGGAAGGGACTTACTGAGCCCGAGCCTGAGTCCACCGACGGGTTGACGCTGGGTACTGATCACACTCGCATGGAGCTCCTGCAGACTTCTGCGTTCTTAATCAAATACCACCACGAATTCAGCTTCGACTTCCGAAAAGACATCATCAAATTCGGCTGGAACTGGATCAAGCTCGATGATCACATCAACAAATTTGCAGCTTATGGCTTGATTGCATACTTCATCCATTTCTACGATACCCCAAGCAAGATCGCCATGCAAGTGTACAACGCTCTGTTGAGAGCGCACCAAGCCGAAGGTCGAAACCTGGTCATGCAGTCACTGGAGATTATTGAGCCTGTCATGAAGAAGCGCTTCGGTACACCGGCCCATGCAATTTTCCGTGTTCCTAAGAGGATCATCACGGAAGAGCTGAACAACACCCAACAGCTCACCTGCATCTACCATTTCATTGTGAGACATCCTGATCTATTCTATGAATCTCGCCAGGAGTTCTCGTCAAGCATCATCACGACCATGAACAAGGTGGCGCCGGTGCCCAACTCGAGTGTCGAAAGCAGGAAGCTCGCATTGAATCTGTTCACGCTGATCTGGCAATGGGAAGAGCGAACGGTCAGGGAGCAGGGATCTCTGGCCACAGCCGACGCGCCCAAAAAGGGCGCTGTAGCGAACGTGCAGCTACGTCTCATTTTCATCAAGTACATGGTGCACTTCATTGCGACCAGCCCGGAAAGATTCCCAGCATCATCGCCGAAGCCAGATTCGAAGGATAAAGATAGCTGTGCTGTAAGCCCGCCGGCACCGTCCACAGAGATCGTGACTAAGTCTTTGGATATCCTTCACAAACTCCTCTCAGCTCCATACTGGGATGATGTCGACATCGACAACATGATCCCCAAGGTCACGGAGACATTCCTCACAACCGATCAGAAGACTGATGAGAAATATGATGTCTGGCTCACGCGGGTCATCAACACTACCCAAGTCGTCAAGGTCATGTTGAACTCGCGTTCAGACGAATGGGTCCTTGCTCATCTGCCGCTGGTTCAGAAATTGCTCGGAAAAGCTCTGCGCAGCGAAATTCCAGAATATCAAGCCGCAGTGCACAATGCGGACCTGGCTGAGAATGTCAAGCCGAGACTACCCCCAGTACTGCAACGTGCCCTCGAACCTATTCCGATCGTTCAGTCTGAGGAAGATCTTCCTGATGCAGACAGTCCCACTGATGAGTTCATCGGATTCTTGAACACGATGGCTGGAGACTTGCTGAATAACGGCAACCATGTGCCCGCAATCAATATCCTTTGGGCCATGGCTCAACGCAGGGCTCAGGACATTGATACCCATATCCCGGCGCTCCTGAGAATCCTGCAAACGAAACTGGCCAAGGACCACATTACACATTCAAGCCCGAATTCTGTCCCGCCAGGCGAAACTCGACCTGCTCCCCCAACTGCTCAAGAAGCGGAGACAACTGTCCAGATGGTTATCAAAGTGATCGAAATGCTTTCAGACAGGATGACGACACTGGGCGAATCCCGCCGACCGTACTTGAGCGTTTTGGCATCTCTTGTGGAGCGATCATCAAGCAATGAGATCTGCGAGAAGATCCTAGCTCAGGTGGAAGAATGGGTTTTCAATCCTGCCGAGCCGGTGCCTACGCTCAAGGAGAAAACTGCCGTTCTGCAGAAGATGCTTCTCTTCGAGAACCGTGCCGACCACACGCTCTACAACAAATTCCTGAACCTGGTCATTCGTATCTACGAGGATCCGAAGATAACTCGATCGGAGCTCGCCGTTCGCCTGGAACAGGCGTTCTTGGTCGGCTTGCGCTGTCAAGATGTTGAGATGCGCGCGCGATTCGTGACGATTTTCGATAAAGCCCTGAGTCGATTCCCGAGCAATCGATTCTTCAAGCTCATCTGCGAACAGCAGTGGGACGTGCTTGGCGACTCCTTCTGGCTTAGCCAAGTTATCCAGCTCATGTTTGGGACTCTCGATCAGCAGACCGTGCTGCACCTCGCAGAGGATGACTTTCGTTGTCTACAAGCTTCACAAGCTTTCAATACATACAACGGGGACTCTCGACTCAGCGATGTCATGGTTGACGATGGCTTGGAAGAACTTCTCGCCCACGAGCGGAACTTCATGGTTGAGATAGGAAATGTCCGCTCCCGGGATGTTCTGATCCCGTTATCGGAGCTTCAACATACGGATTGGCAACTCGCACATGACATCTGGATTGCTTTCTTCCCGATGTGTTGGTCAATTCTTTCCCGAGAGGATCGCGAGGATGTGGAGCAAGGCTTGATGCAAGTCCTGGTCAAAGATTACCACCAACGTCAAATGGACCGCCGCCCGAATTGTGTCGCCACATTGCTCGAAGCAATCGCGAAGTCAGAAATTCGCGTCAAGTTCCCACCACATCTGATGAAGTACCTGCTCAAACAGTATGATGCTTGGTACGTTGGAGCGACGTACATGGAGGATCTCGTGATGAAGCCCATTGTCGACACACCAAACGTTCGCGAAAGTGCTCTCGATGCTCTCGTGGAAACCTACGCAGGTCTTGAGGAGCGAGATCTATTCTATGGTGTCTGGCGTCGTCGAGCAGCCTACGTGGAAACCAATGCTGCCTTGTCATACGAGCAAAACGGCATCTGGGACAAGGCTCAAACGATGTATGAGCAAGCTCAAGTCAAGGCACGCACAGCGTCACTGCCTTACTCGCAGGGAGAATACATGCTCTGGGAAGACCAATGGGTTCTCTGTGCGCAGAAATTGCAACAATGGGAGATACTCGGAGAATTCGCCAAGCACGAAAATATCAACGATCTCTATCTAGAGGCCATGTGGAGAAACTTCGAGACTTGGAACACTGCCGAGAACCGTGAACATCTTGAGAATGTGGTTAAAGCAGTTTCTGATGCACCCACACCGCGCCGGCTTTTCTTCCAATCTTTCATCTCGCTTCTCAAGATGCACAACAAGACTGAGACGCAGCAAGAATTTGCGCGGATATGCGACGAGAATATTCAGCTTTCAATTAAGAATTGGCACAAGCTACCTCGTCGCATTACGACAGCACACATTGGCTTGCTTGAGAATTTCCAGCAATTGGTGGAGTTGCATGATGCTAGCGTCATCTGTCAAAGTCTGGCGCAAACAACGACCGCAAATCTCGATGTCAAATCGCAGGAGCTCAAGGTCCTGCTCAGCACATGGCGTGATCGCCTGCCGAACACTTGGGACGACATCAATGCTTGGCAAGACATTGTCACATGGCGTCAGCACATATTCAACCTCATCAACAGCACCTATCTGCCTCTCCTGCCGCAGAACGTGCCCAACAATGCTGCTGGAAGTTCTTACGGTTACCGTGGATTTCACGAGACTGCCTGGATCATCAATCGCTTTGCTCATGTCGCTCGCAAGCATGAGATGCCAGATGTATGCATCGCGCAGCTGGGCAAGATCTACACGCTGCCAAACATTGAGATTCAGGAAGCTTTCTTGAAGCTTCGCGAACAAGCAAAATGTCATTACCAGAACAAGAGCGAGTTGACGTCAGGCTTGGAAGTCATCAACAATACCAACCTCAACTACTTTCAGCCCCAGCAGAAGGCCGAGTTCTACACCCTCAAGGGCATGTTCCTGAGCAAACTCAACCAAAAGGATGATGCGACTGATGCGTTTGGCACCGCTCTCTTCTTCGACATCAAACTACCCAAAGCGTGGGCGGAGTGGGGCAGATACAGCGACAATTTGTTCAAAGAAGATCCCAAGAATCTCGAGTTCGCTGGTAATGCCCTGAGCTGTTATCTTGAGGCTTCTGGACAGTACAAGAGCGCCAAATCTCGGAAACTATTGAGTCGTATCCTATGGCTGCTGAGCTTGGATGATGCTTCAGGCACTCTGGCGAAGAAGTACAATGATTTCAAGGGTGATCATCCTTGGTGGTACTGGGTCACATTCATCCCGCAGTTGCTCACGAATTTGTCCAGAACTGAGGCTGAGGCCGATATTGCTCATGTCATCCTCAATAGCCTTGCAAAGACATACCCGCAAGCACTTCACTTCCAGCTTCGCACGTCGCATGAAGATATGCAGGTCATCCGCAAGGGACAAGAACTACGTGCGGCCAAAGCAAAAGCAGCGGAGAATGTCAAGCAAGAATCGCCTGCTGCTAATCGTCCGGGCAGTGCCAGCAGTCCCCAGGCACAATCTAGACCTGGCACAGCGAATGGCGAAGCTACCGCAACGCCTGCCGCGAACAAGGATACCGTCATGACAACCGATGAAAGCACAAAGAAAGAGGAGAGCAAGACTGAGGAGTTGCCCAAGCCGAAGAAGCCATGGGAGCACACTGATCGATTGGAAAAGACTCTTCGCACCGCCTTTCCATTGCTCTATGCGTCTATGGAGGCCATGGTTGAGCAGATTCAACGTCACTTCAAGTGCCCACCTGATGAAGATGCTTACCGCTTGATCGTTGCGCTGCTGAATGACGCGTTGAGCTACACCAATCGCTCACCCAACTCGTATTCTCAGGATGCTAAGCTACCACCATCAACGGAAGCCAACATAACGCGTTTCGCGGAGTCGATATTGCCAGCACACATTCGGAAGAGCTTTGAGGCTGATTTCGTTGCGAACAAACCCACGATGCAAGAATACATCAACAAGTTGCGGAAATGGCGTGACAAGATGGCTGAACTGCTGGATCGTAAACCTTCCAGCTTCCACCTCGCTGAGACAATCCATCTCGTCGGATTTCGCTTCATTTGGTTTGATGATGTTGAAATCCCAGGACAGTACCTGCAGCACAAAGATAAGAACCAGGACTTTGTCAGGATCGAGCGTTTCATACCCGTCGTGGATCTTGTTCGTGGCGTGACTGCTTGTCACCGGCGCCTCAAGATTCGTGGTCACGATGGAAGCGTCCATCCATTCGCGATTCAACATCCTACTCCTCGCCACAGCCGCCGTGAGGAACGCATTCTGCAGCTGTTCCGGATTTTCAACAGCACTTTGTCGAAGAAGAAAGAGAGCCGTCGTCGCAACCTACAATTCCACCTGCCGTTCATGGTTCCTCTTTCTCCGACAATCCGCATGACCCAAGATGACGCTTCCTACATAAGTCTTCAGGGAATTTACGACGACCACTGTAGACGACATGGCCAGGACAAGGATGCCCCGCTTACTTTCGCGATGGAGAAGATGCGCACGTTGTCGCCTCAGCGGCCTGAACAGTGGGCCAACGTCCGACTTGAGTCACTCAACTATGTGCAACAGCGATATGCAGAGAAAGATCTCGTCCGTCAATACTTTTCCACGACTTACACCTCCTTTGACGACTTCTGGCTGTTCCGCCGTCAATTTTCTTACCAGCTAGCAGCTCTAACGTACATTACTTTCACCATGTTCATGACTACTCGTTACCCGAGCAAGATGCACATCTCGAGACGCACTGGAAACGTTTGGGGATCCGAGCTCCTTCCATTCCTGAGCCCGCAGCGACCCTACCTGCACCAGCCAGAGCCGGTTCCCTTCCGTCTGACTCCCAACTTGCAGGTGTTGATGGGCCCGATCCACACCGAAGGGATTTTCGTCGCCGCCGTGATGGCCATCGCGCGCTGTCTAACCTCCGACATCACCGCCCCGATCCCCGTCACATCTGCAGCCGCCAACGGCCAGAACGGCGCCGCAGCATCCACCACGACCATCACCGACAGCATGAACAGCGAACTCGAGCATCATCTCTCCATCTTCGTCCGCGACGAGATGCAGCACTGGTACATGGCCTCGCACCGCCAGGTCGTCAAAGAGGACGAGATGCGATCCAACGTCATGCGCAACTCCGAGGCCATCGTTAACAAAGCAGTCGCCATCGCGAAGGAACCTACCGCGAACAATATCCCTGCCAGTCAATGCGTCCTCGATCTCATTGCCAAGGCTACAAATCCCGAGAAGCTGGCACAGGCGGATTTGCTTTGGATGCCGTGGTTGTGAGGAAAGAATTTATGCTTGTGATGAATTGGACAAGACAAAAGTGTGTGTACTTCCAACATCTTGTGTATTGGTACGAACGCGAATCGGAGGAGGCAGGCTTTGGGAATGGGTTTATTAGTGTTCGTTTAGCGCGGCGTTGAGGGTGGATGGTATACCAAAGTTCTGGATGATGGACCTTTTTCAAAACTATTGTATTTATGGAAAACTTCACATTAGCAAAACTAGTCAATTGCAACAACCTTTTTTTCTTAGTATCAAGCGCATCTTCATTAGGGACATAATCTCACGACAACCTTAAATCCACTTCAAATCTCAGAATCGAGCGCATCGTTGTAATTATCATCGACCATTTCACAACAACCTTATACTGTGTTACACTTCACAACTCGAAAACCAACGTTCCACAATCGACACCTCAACGCCCTCTTCACCATCGCCCGTGCGCCGCGACGATGTCGCGCATGTGGGAATTCGCCCATCTAAGCGACCACTTCAAGGACATCAACAGCCTCGACCTCGTACCCCGCACGGCGGCGTCCGCAGGTGTCGCAGGAGGGCGCCTTTTCATCGGCGGCATCGGCGCCCTCCACGAAGAACCCGATCCCTTGCCTGCTCGCAGAATCACGCATGTCCTCTCGGTCCTCGACCACGATGTCCGAGAGAAGCGGCCCCTGACTGGTTATCGCCATCTCTGGCTGCAAGTCGAGGACAGCCCGGAGGAGAATCTCCTCAGGCACTTCGAGAAGACGAATGCGTTCATTGCGAGTGGTTTGAAGTCTCGTAGCCGTAGTAGTCAGAGGGACGGGGAAAGGGATGGTGGTGAGGGCGACGGCGGGGTTTTCGTGCATTGCGCCATGGGCGTCTCGCGGTCTGCGACGATCGTTTGTGCGTATCTCATGTGGGAGGGGAAATGCTCTACGAAGGAGGCGCTTGAGCAGTTGAGGGAGGGCAGGAGTTGTTGCCGACCGAATGATGGGTTTATGAAGCAATTGGAGGTTTATGAGAAGATTCTCAGGGCGGAGAGTGAAGGTGAGAGGGAGAGTATCTATGGGGAGTGGGTGAAGCAGCAGTATTCCCATGATCGGGAGAGGTTGGAGATGGAGACGAGACGGTCGAAATTATGAATGTTGAGAGTGTAGATTTGGTATCTGCATTTCTCGGCGCGATGGATGTGGGAGATGCCAGTGACGACTGCTCCTCTATCTAGGATCATCAAGCTTTATCCCAGAACTTGCATACCTAGATATTCAGTCCTCAATCGCCAACTCTCGTACCCCCAACAGATCGCATCTTGCCGCAAATCGAGTGATGATGAATCCGCAAGACCGTTTGAGGAGCCGAATCATGTCTCCGTGACTGTTGAAGCATTCTCCTGAGGTTCTCGTAGCAAGTCATCAAGGCGGTCGGAGGCGATACGATCCCGATGCTACCCATCAGTTCAAAACGCATGACCGAGACCAGTGACAGCATGCTAGTATTTTCGAGTGGAGGTTTTGATGGTATCTCGTGGTGGCAGTGCAGCCATCATGCTCGATGGAACCTGCAGGAGGCCGTGCAAAGCTTTCACGATACATGAGTGCCGGATTCCACGCACGCGCGTCTATAACACGCTGAATGCCTAGCCTCACAACGAGATTGAACTAACCGCGACAACACAAATTGGGACGTGACAAAGGAATTATCTCTTTCAGATTATCCTTCATCCACAAGCTTGGATTTCCAGATCTCTCATGGCAGATAATGCGTCGCAAGCGGCCGGCGTTGGCAAGGATCCGGCTGGTACTCCTGCTCGCGAACCCTCTTGGGCTAAATAACGTCCGGTATAGTTCACGCTGGAAAGATGTGATGGCAAGGATGAACAGTCAAGGAGCAGGTCAGTATACGGCAAAGCACTCACATGGGATTCTGATGATGCAGACGGCCCGCGCATTCGCCTGCTTCGCATCCGAGAGGTGATGGAGACAGCACCGCTCTGCTGTGATCTGATTATACGCCCCTTGTTCGAAGGGCAGGTCTCATATATTGCATTGTCATACTCTTGGGGAGACCAATCGAAATCAAAATATCTCTACCTGGGAGCTGAGAAGCGCCGCTTCAGAGTGTCCGCCCATCGATATGCACACCGCAATTGAACGTCTCCGAAGTCGGGAAGATCACATTGATGTCTGGGTCGATGCGATATGTATTGATCGGGAGAATGGCCTTGAGCGTACTATGCCGAATTCCCTGCCGCTTCTCATCATTCCGACTGGGCGTGGTGTGGATGTATAGGTCTATATCCCTTTCCGCCTCACCTGCGATATGTCGCATCCCTGAGGACAGTCACATAGCTGTATGTGCCAGCCAAAGTTTCCGAGAGGTATGAGATCAGTTGTATATAGGAACGTGTGTATAAATTATGTGTATGTATATATGTATTTATGTATGTATAAGTGTGTATAGTATGTATACGTGTAAGCAGGTATTTATGTATATTTATATGCAGGTACAACTACAAAGGAAAAAGCCAAAACAAAGAAATGCCGATGCCAATTCGGCCGGCGCCGAGGCAGGATCCGTTGAAATGCAGGGACAGAAAAACAAAACACCTACGCTCGCTTCGTTCCACGCGCGGGTGTGCGCTGGACTGGCGGGCTGGCAAAGGGCTGGCAAAGGGCAAAGTCGGGGTGTGGGATGGACGGACGATCTGCCCCCGTTTGGCGCTATGTGTACCTAGAATATTGATTGCCCTGCCCGATATATTGGACGGGGCGTCTCAACATTCTCATCTTCGCTGGCTGGCTGGCTGGCTGGCGGCGGTGAAGACCATCCACCATGCAATTCCCGCCTGGGAAACTCCTTCCTCAGTCAGTGCATTTTCCACTTCCGGCGCGACTTCTCCGCTCTGGTGCATATCCGCTGCACCTGAAGACCACACAGCTCATCATGTATTGCATATGGTGCTGCAGACAAGGTATCTCGCGCGCGCGCAGGGAATGCAGAGCAGGCATTGGCGTCGTCGTCGTCGTCATCGTCGTCGTCGTCGTCGTGGGTTTGCGCCGTAGTTGTTTGTACATCATCACGGCACTGTGCAGCACCTAGGCAAGGTATGGTATGGTAGATCCCTTCCTTCGTACGCGCTCTCCCAGCCAGCTTCTCCCAACGAGCTTCTCACTTCCGGGAAGGGGAGAACGAGGAGGACGAGGTGAAGACGATGGAGTGCATTGCTGCCACCCAATCAAGAAGAGCATACATATCCCTGTTGTTCCTCAATATACCAGGTACCCAACATCTACATCCTCATCGTTCCAGCAAAGACCTTCTCCTCCTGTCCGTCTTCGATGGTGCTTTACACGTGCCGGCGCACGTCATCAATTCCACATGAAGATCGGAGAGTCGATCAGCGCCGGTAGACGATGACCGGTCGATTGAGATCGTCGGCATTTGCTTCACGCCGGAATGTGTCTCTATCAGATCGGTCGTTTGTGGCGTTTGCACCGTTCAGCCCCGTTCAGCCCGTGCAACGATGTACCTGTCAGTAAAACAATAATAATCTTGGGATAAATGTAATGTACTGTCCTGTACTGTACGGCATGCCTTGGCGGCGACGACGGAGAAGGAAAGGGCAAGGGCAAGGCTGAGAAAAGCTGTGGTCCCTTGTGGAATTGTGAAACATGCCGTACATACCTACCTGTGCGTGCCCAGGTATATCCATTCATTGCCCTTGTTATTTCATTCGCCCATCGTGCTGGCAGCAAGTAAAAAACGATATACGATCTGCAACTGCAACAGTTACACCACGGCCTGGAAATTTCCCGAGTCGCCGTGCAGGATAAAATTCCTTCATGAATGGGCGGCAAAAGAATAACAACCTTGGAGGCGGAATTCATAAGTGGTCGGCTGTCCCAACCTGGAATCCCATTGACCTGTTCGTCATTCACTTCCGCCCTCGCCTCGCGACATTTCTTACATAACCTTGCAAGGTTTGCTGCATTTGCATCATTTCAATTCAATCCACCTCGATCGAACATCTCAGCTACACAATAATCTAAGCCCACGATGCATTTCCCAGCCGAGGAAGACCACGCCGAGCAGGGCGAACTCATCGCCATCTCCGCCTTCCTGTCTCCCGCACAACTCGAAGCATTGCAGGCCAATCTTCAAGAGTCACCGCTGGTGCGCACATCTGACGAATACAAAAGCAGCCGAGGACGACCTGCACAGCTCAGCGCTCTCCGCAACGACTCGATCACGGATTCATTACAACTTGAGACGCAAAAGTTCGCCTCATCAGGTGTAACTTCCTCACGCGGCCTCTCCCCACTCCCACAACCATCCACATTCCTTGAGCGGGTCTCGAGGCATCAGGGTGATCTTCGATGCGCCGTCTCGGGTGGAGCTTCTCCTGCTCCGTCGGTGGAGATCAATGGCGACGAATTGATCATGGCCGACGTGGCCAGTGTGGCATAGTATGCTTGACGCTCAACTGCTCCATTGCGAACGACAGGACTGACTCGTTGTCGTAGCTATGGCGCCAAAGTCCACATCACAGCCGACGAACACACTCGCCAACGGATCGCCGACAGCGTCAACTTCCTTAAGGAACACCTTGACGATGGTGGAGTCGTGTACGGTAGGAAGACTCGTCACTGCGTCGTGCATTTCCCATACTGACACACCCTTCTAGGCGTTAATACCGGATTCGGTGGCAGCGCGACCACACGTAGCGCAGACCTGGTCAACACCCAGAGAGGCCTCGTGCAACTTCTCAATTCGGGGATAATCTTGACTCCCGAGGATAAGAAATCCGAGGTCTTGTCTTCTCTCAACAAACACGACATGTCGCGGCCTGCTGTTCGAGGCTCCATGCTCGTCCGCGCCAACTGTCTCCTTCGAGGCCACTCGGCTGTGCGCATAGATGTGATCGAAACTCTCATCAAACTGCTCAATCTCGACTTCATACCTATGGTTCCACTACGCGGTTCAATCTCTGCATCAGGCGACCTTTCGCCATTGTCATATATTGCTGGTGCACTTACCGGAAGTCCCGACATTCTCATCGACTGCCTTCTTCAGGATGGAAGCCGAGAGATCATGACTGCAGACAAGGCCTTGGGTCTGGCGGGATTGAGGCCGATCGTGATGGGTCCCAAAGAGGGTCTAGGTATGCTCAATGGCACATCTGTCAGCTGCGCTGTTGCTTGTCTTGCATTGCACGAGACGCAATACCTAGCTCTAGCTGCACAGGTATTGACGGGTATGTGCACCGAAGCCATGGGAGGTTGTGCCGACAACTACCACCCTTTCATCTCTCGGATCCGTCCTCACCCTGGACAAATCGAGACCGCCGCTAACATCTACTGCCAAATTTCGGGCTCGCGCCTAGTCTCTGGTAAGACGGGCGCAGCAGGCGAGCTGTATCAAGATCGTTATGCCTTGCGCACCGCATCTCAATGGATCGGCCCTTACCTCGAGGATCTCTCGCTCTCGATCGACCAGTTGACCATCGAACTCAACTCGACCACAGACAATCCTCTCGTCGATCCCATCAGCAGGACTGTCCACAACGGTGGCAATTTCCAAGCCGTGGCCGTCACCTCCGCTGTGGAAAAGGCACGTCTCGCCTTGCAGATGATCGGAAAGTTGCTCTTCGCCCAGTGCACCGAGCTCATCAATCCGATGATGAACAACATCCTCCCACCGAACCTCTGCTTCGATGATCCAAGCACATCCTTCACCTTCAAGGGCGTCGACATCAACATGGCGGCCTACATGGGTGAGCTCGCATTCCTCGCGAACCCGGTCAGCTCCCACGTGCAGTCCGCCGAGATGCACAACCAGGCGCTTAACTCGCTCGCTCTGGTCTCCGCCCGCTTTACCCTCGACGCCGTCGAAGTCGTCTCGTTGATGACCGCCGCCTACCTCTACGCCGCCTGCCAAGCCCTGGATCTCCACGCGCTCTTCAAAGAATCCTCCAAGCTCATCCTCAGCGCCGCCCGCTCCGCCTTCGACGCCCACTTCCCGCTAGAATCCGCCTTTGCAAACAACCCCTCCGCCGCCGAAACCTGCTGGACGACCCTCGCCGCCGCGATCCACGCCGGGCTGATCGAGTACAAGATTAAGAACCGTCTCGACCGCGCCCGCTTGACCGCCGAAGCAACCGTCCTCCCTCTAACCAAAGCCCTCCTGGCCATCAACCCCACCAACACCGCCATCTTCGCCAACCTGACCACCTGGCTCCCCACCCTCACCGCCATCATCGCCGACTCCCTCCTGACCGCCCGCCAGCGATTCGCCTCCGCTTCTCCCGGCGGCCCCACCACCCTCCGATATCTCAGCCCGGGCTCCGCGCGCATGTACCGATTCATCCGCGAGACCCTGAACGTCCCGCTGCACCGCGGCTTGATCGAAGATCCCAATTTCCCCGATGCGGAGCTGCAGGGGATCACCTTGGAGGATCCGGAGAAGGAGAGGAAGACCACGGGGTCAAGGATCGGCGTCATCTACAAGGCGATCCGGGAGGGTTGTCGGAAGGGCGGCTTTGGGGAGGTTGTCGTTAGTTGTCTTTCTTGATTTCTTCCTTCTTCGTGTGCGGGTTCGGCTAGAGTGTGGAGCGGAGGAGGCATGGAGTCGGGAATGGCGTTTCTTCGTCGCTGCGTTGTAGTTTCCACGATACACCCGGAGTTTTCCATGGTCTTTTTTGCATCGGTTTTCATCGTCACGCATTCTAGTCTATCGCGGTTGAGGCTTATTGTCAACCCCCCCATCCTTGCTTGACGGAACATTTGCGTGCCGGAACACGAAACTCCCATACTCGTACTTTCGAACACATTATCTTCCTCCATCTATCAGCGAATCATTCTCCAAAAACAGCCTTACATGCTACTAGTCCCCGTCCTTGAAGGAGCCTATTTTGGCGGTTCAACCGTTGCCAGCACCTGATCGAACATGGATGTATACCGACGCATTCCTTCCGATATTCGCAGTATTTTTGACATATTTTGCGCGCGGTATTGGACGATTTCTGCTCTTCGCGAAGGATGTCTCGCGATTCTGTCAGACCGTGCCAAGACTTTCCGCTGGTAGGCCCGGAGTCCAGATCCGTAGTAGCTGACGTCTTGCTCCTTCGGGGGAAGATCGGGTTGCACTACCGACGGGCGCTTTCACGTGGCCGAACCCGACGGACCCAAATCATCAGTGGTTCGCTGGACGTTCCTCGAGCAACCTTCTCGCATTTGCCTTCACGAAATCTCACATCATGGCTTTTTCGCTGCTTGCAATCTTGAAGCTCTGCAGGCGCACGACAACAGACTGCAGAGCGTAATGTATCCAGCGGAGAATCATCTATCCCTCTTTCCCGACGGCTCATACGCATGCATCGGCAACCCCGGACCCTTGGAGCGGCTGCAGTGAGCTTTTGTCCAATGGCGACAAGGCTGAGCGAGGCTGCGCAGCGCTGCGCCTCGATGCGCCCGAGCCTGCTCTTTCCTTATGTTGTGCCCTCTGGCTAAGTGAAACCTTTTCTTACATTATTACTTTCCGCATTCTCAGCGATCCGAACGCCACAAGAAAATATCGTGCCGTCTTTGTCATGTTTGACGTATCGCGGTATACTGTCGGTTGGGTCTGTGCGATTCCGACGGAGCGTCTAGCAGCGCGGCGGATCCTAGACGAGGAGCACGACTATACTGAGTATGAGTCACCGCTGAACGACAACAACACCTACAGCTTCGGCAGCATCGGTCGACACAACGTCGTGATCGCGGCGCTGCCGTCTGGGGAATATGGCATAAGCAATGCCACAGGCGTCGCTCGAGACCTGTTGAGGTCGTTCACGAATGTCAGGATTGCTTTGATGGTCGGCATTGGAGGCGGCGCACCGCTCGTTGGCCCTGGACTAAAGCAGAAACGAGACATCCGTCTCGGCGATGTCGTAGTCAGCAAGCGAGGCGCAGGACAGGGTGGAGTCCTTCAGTACGACTTTGGCAAAGTTGTTCAAAACAGAGCCTTCCTGCCTACTGGTCACCTGAACCAGCCGCCAGCGTTCCTCCTTACGGCGCTCGGCGCTCTCGAGGACGAGTACAAGTTTCCAGGAATCAACATTGATAAAGACATATCAGTTCTCCTTGCGAAATATTCGGAGCAGTCCAAGCAAGGAAGACTTCTCCAGAAGGAATACCGGCGTCCAGACACAGCGACCGACCGGCTTTACAAAAGCGACTTCATCCACCCGGATGACAACCAAGAGTGTTCCAAAACTTGTGACCACATAGAGAATGTGGTGGTGCGAGATGCCCGGGATGACGAAGAGGACGTTGTTATACATCAGGGGCTGATTGCATCGGCAAACTCCCTTATGAAAGACGCACACCTTCGTGATACGTTCGCGAGAGACTTGAGCATATTGTGCTTTGAAATGGAGGCAGCCGGTCTGATGAATCAGTTCCCGTTTCTTGTGATCCGGGGGATCTGTGACTACTCGGACACGCACAAGAGTAAGGAATGGCAGCGATACGCGGCGTTGACATCGGCGATGTATGCTAGAAGACTTCTGCTGCGAGTCGCACCAAACCGAGTGGAAGCAGAAACGAAGCTTAGTGAGCTCCAGAAAAGTCTTCAACAGGGTATGTAATTAGTCTTTCTTGTTTAGTGATCTCTAATGCATTTTAGTATTGACACAAGTTGCTTAAGTCAATGAAAAACTCGATCGACAGAATACAAGCGCTTTACAAGCCGGTATTGAGAACTGGCTTGCGGCTCCGGACCCGTCTACCAACTTCACCAACGCTATCAAGCTCCGTCACGCAGATTCAGGGCGCTGGATACTCTCCTATAATCACTACCGGGAATGGCGGGAAAACAGATTTCCACTCCTATGGTTACATGGCATCTCAGGTTGTGGCAAGACTGTACTTTCATCCTCGATTGTTGAACATTTAAAAGCCGACCCGGACGAGCATCGTCCGATTCTATACTTCTACTTCGACACCCAAGACGTGCGAAAACAGAAGTTAGATCACGTGCTCCGATCGCTCATCAAACAGCTTTGCTATGTCCAGAATACTAATCGTACAGGTCTAGAGGACTTGTATAGTTCTTGTCGGAATGGATCCGACCAGCCAAGCTTGTCAGCATTGAAAAAGTGCTTCAAGGACATGTGTACAGACAAACCTGTCGTGGTGTTGTTAGATGCCCTAGACGAGTGTCCTGTGAATGAAAACGCTCGAGAAGATGTCTTGGCCTGGATTGAAGATGTGTGCAAGGATATTTCTGCACAGCTACTCGTCACGAGTCGGCACGGACATGATATTGAGACGGCAGTCAAAAAGTCCGCTCGCCACAATGCAAAGATCGAAATTGCAAAAGATTTGATCAACAACGACATTCAAGCTTTTGTTCACTCTCGTGTCTACGATCCCAACGGCAGCTTGGGCAGATGGAGGTCTCGACCAAAGGTTCAGCGCCAGATTGAGATGAAGCTAAACGAGAAATCGGGTGGAATGTAAGCAAACCGTTTCCTACGCATCTCACAGTTCTGACGATTAAAGGTTTCGCTGGGTTGTATGCCAGCTCGATGAGCTCAAGAATTGTATAGATCCTGCAAGCCTGGATGCAGCCTTGCAAACCCTTCCTAAAGGTTTAAACGAAACGTACGATCGCATTATCTCTAGCATACCAGAACACCAGCAGCAGAATGCTATTCGCATTCTACAATTCTTGGTATATTCCGAGAGGCCTATGCGCGTAGAGGAGATAGTTCACGCTATCGCTGTACATCCCGACAAAACACCCGCATTTGATCCGAATAATTGCATACCAGACCCGAACGAGGTTACCGTGTATTGCCGAAGTTTGACACAGATCTCCCACCGGACATATTGGAGTGAAGATGTGACTGAGCTACAGCTTGCTCATGCATCTGTCAAGGAGTATCTGCTACTCCGGCGTGAAGAAAACCCTTTCCAGAACGCCCTTCGCGAATCACAAGCCCGGGCTTCTATAGTCGAGATTAGTCTGGCCTACCTGTTCGCGGCTTCGCAGAATAACGAAAACAAGGATCGGAATCAGCAGCATCCCTTCCATTATTATGCAGCGCGACACTGGACAGATCATGCTCGACTTGCTGAGAAACATGGCGAGGCAGTGTTGGGATTCACCTCGAAACTCTTTGCAACGGACACGTTTTACAAGCATTGGCTGGAAAGCTATGATCCCGATCCGGGACGCTTCTATCGTCCACACGGACTAGAGTTTTTACCAGCTCCAATTTACTACGCATCTTTGTGTGGTCTACTGAGATCAGTCGAAGATCTGATTAACAACGGCGCCGACATTAACGCGCAGGGAGGCCATTTCGGTAACGCCCTCCAGGCTGCATCAGCTATCGGTTACACCGAGATCGTCCAGCTGCTACTCGATAGGGGCGCCGACATTAACGCGCAGGGAGGCCAGTTGGGAAACGCCCTCCAGGCTACAACAGTTCACGGTAATACTAAAATCGTCCAGCTGCTGCTCGACAACGGCGCCGACGTTAACGCGCAGGGAGGCCATTTCGGTAACGCCCTCCAGGCTGCATCAGATCGCGGTTATACCGAGATCGTCCAGCTACTACTCGACAAGGGTGCCGACATGCTCGACAAGGGTGCCGACATTAACGCGCAGGGACGCCTCTATAGTAGCGCCCTCCAGTCTGCATTAGTTCGCGGTTATACCGAGATCGTCCAGCTCCTACTCGACAAGGGTGCCGATATTAACGCGCAGGGAGGCGAGGGCGGCAACGCCCTCCAGGCTGCTTCAGCTAGCGGTTACGCCGAGATCGTCCAGCTCCTACTCGATAAGGGTGCCGATATTAACGCGCAGGGGGGCGTATACGGCAACGCCCTCCAGGCTGCATCAGCCTTCGGTCACGTCGAGATCGTCCAGCTGCTGCTCGACAACGGCGCTAAGGACGATACGTAGGGAGGCTAACATGTACTAGGTTACCTGTACTATTACAGAATTTGCTCTGAATATAACCTTTGCTAGCGCTCCTTCCAAGATAGAAATCCCGTGCATCTCGAGTGTGAGTTCACACACAAAGATCTTCCCAGGTCATTCATTCAGCCGTTACTCTTGTGACTTCTGGGCAACCATTGATGCACCAAACATTCTGCGATGATTATCCTCCACGTCAGTGGGCGAGGATGCCGTTCGAGTGATGCCCTCAAACATTCTTCCCTCGCGCGTCACGTTGCGAACGTGTGTGATGCTGTAGTAATGCTGCTAGAGCCCTCAGCGTACGATACTGACAGCGCGTTCTCTACCAAACATGTTGCTAATCAGGTCTTCTTAACATCCGAAAATGGACGGAGTCAAGGCCAGTATCGAGGATCCCTTTGCTCACAATTTGCGCAAGACATCGTGACCGAGAGTGTAATAAGCCTTCGAATTTGAGGACTGGCACGCAGGTGTTCTGTCAAGCAGGGAAGGGGGTTTGAATATACATCTCTCACCATGACCGTTCTTCTTGAAGATTCATCGCTGTGCTCGTCCTCCTTCAGATCCAGTACTTCATCCCTATCCTCTCCATATACCCATGAAGGAAGCGGCGCTGGGAATGTCTACGCCGTCTCTCCCAGATGAAACTTTATCCGCGTACTCTCTGCGGAGGAACAACCAATCCGTCCTAGTCCCTTTCCCCGCAAAGACGAGATGATCCGTGCATATTATCAACAATCACGCGTCGTCAACAGCCCGCTCATCATCTAAAGCCTTTGGACTCCTCCGGGATTCATCATCACCCATCAATCACAATGACTCTCCCGATTTCTTCGAGTGCGCCCGCTCTTGGGTTCGTCTCGAACTTCTCGGTGACTTCGTGCGGTTGCAATGATGTATTGATTCACTATAGCCCCAGCGTCGGGGTGGACGAACTTTGAGTACGAAGGTGTTTGTTGGACTGGACGGTGATACATCGCACGGGTTTGCGCCTATTGCCGTTTGGTTCGAAGAATCTTGAGATTGAAATCGAGACTGGAAGAAGGGAGGAAAGAGATTTGCAAGAGGATCAGAGAAAAGATTCTGAAGAGTTGGGAAGCAATCGGACATCGGAACGGAGAAACACACTGAGATCGAGAACGTCAACACACCGGCAAAATGCAATTCGAATCGCTCCCAACCGAGATTGTGACGCACGTCTTTCTTTCACTCAGAGATATCGCATCTGTGAGCGCATTGGCCTCGACTTGCCATCGCTTCAACGACATCTTCAATTCGTCCAAGCGGCTACTCATCTTACTGGAGGCTGCAGATGCCGAGCACGGTCCCGTGGAAGATATCTTACAACTCTTGACGCAAAATGCGTCTCAGCCTGCCCATGTTCGACGACATGTGCCCGTTTCCGAAGTACTCCTGCAGCAGGTCATCAAGACGGGCCGCATCGCACAGCGCTACGAGGAGATCTACCCGCTCAAGAAATGGAAGGACGACTATTCTAACCGTCGGCTGCTCACCGAGCTCGAGCGCCACAGGCTCCGCCGGGCAATCTACCGGATCTGGCTATACACTCGCGCCTTCCACAATTCGTCGCACCTGCGCACGACGCGGTGCATTCCCGCCGTCGTGCGCGAACGCGCCGCCCTCCTCCAGAACTTCCCGACCGACGAACTCGCCGAAATGCACGACGCCCACGTCCTGCTCCGCGAGCTCATCGCGAACAAAATCTGCCCCTCCAACGGCAAAATCCGACACCGCTTCCGCAAGCGCCATCCTGAAACCCTGCATCACCACCACCAATCCCTCCTCGTCAACATCCACCTCAACTATCCACCCCCTCCTCTCTCCGTCGCCGCGACGAGCTTCGCCGACCGCTACCATCCAAAACCCTACGGCGCCTCCTACTCCCACCTCCTTTCCTCGCCCTCCGCCCGGCTCGCCGCGGACCCCAGCGGCAGCGCCGAGGGCTGGGGTGACGACATCACGCACTACTACGTCGTCGAGGACATGCTGAAGCTGTCGCCGGAGACGATTCTACTCTTGCGCGACGCGGGTCTTCCGCGTGCGGACATCGAGGCGCACGTCAGGGCTCTGGGGGACTGGTTCACCAACAATGGCGAGACGTTCGCGGAGACTTTGGCGAACGTTGTGAGGGGACGAGGGATGGAGTGGGAGGCTTTCGGGGAGGCAGTGGAGGGACGTGGGTTGGGCGTTGTTACGGATGATGAGGATTATTGAGGCGTGCAGACTGGTGTCTGTTGGCAATGCGGGATTTCGAAGCGCGTTGGCACTCCATTACGATTGGCTGTTCGTGATCGGATGGAAATCCGAATGTCGTGCAGGGCATCGCCTTCTCCGAACAAATAACAGAAATGCTACATGTGAAACACCATAGGCGGTGAACAGGCACCGAGATCGCTTATTATCGGTCTTGCATGGTGTTCCCCATCAATCTGGGCCGAGATTCCCGAACCTCGTGCCCTTCGCTCCTCTCCGGCTGTAATGAGAGCCTCTTTCGCCCGATAGACGCAAACTGTACGCGGAAGTTCACCTCGTTGCATTGTCCTTCTCCACTGGTTCGCGATGAGTAGTTCGCGAAAAGCAGATCACGGATGAGCAATTTCGTCTCATAATATGACCCATTTCCTTCGGTCACATGTACGCCTCTCTCGGCAAGCCACTAACCCAAGATCCTCCTCCTCGGATCGAACCGAAGCCAGAGATGAGACTCTAAGCGAGGTTTTGGGAGGCATACCATGGAAGGGCAGATAGGCGGATCCGCTGTCAAAGCTACAGCTTATGTAGTATACGCTTTTCATTCCACCGTGGTGAAGGAATAAAGAATGAACTCGAGGACGAAGTATTTCACGTCGCCTGGCGTCTAGCACATGAATCGAACCATCTTAATAGCTCCATTGTGATGTACTTGATGTGGGAAATTGTTATCGCAAATTAATTTATGGGTAAGACTCGTGAAGTCTTGTTTATATTTGCCTTCCCACAGCGTAGGAACATGGATACCTTTACTGCCACTGGCCATGATCTGTGGTGGACGAGCGAACGTTGAACCCATCACGCCCCCTCTCGTCTCGGATTCTGCCGCGCCTTGATGCCAACGACAGCGGCTCGACCAGATGCCGCAAAAAACACGGGAAGTGCCTCTCTCCCTCGCTCCTATGCGCGCACACAGTACAAGCACAGCCGGACTTGCCTCCTCTCCCCAACCAAATAGCCGCCTGTCCCGAGGCCCAACAGACGGTAGACAAGCTCACTTGCATCCCAGTAGTACCATGTCTCGGTCGGGACGCCACCAATTTGTCGCCCCCGGAGATGAGTGCTCTTCGCGATGCGGACGTCGCGTTTTCTCGCGCTGGCACGGTATTTTCCCACACGGACCGATGGCTCCGACGCTAGGGATCGTCGATCATCCGATCATTCGCGCGCGTCGCGATGACCTATTGCGGCCATCACGAGGGACGTTGGATTTGGACTATAAGGAATTCATACGAGGCCTGGATGCCTGACACAGCTGGATAGATGGTAATGCTGAGCTGGCAGATTCGTCTCTGCTGGCGGATACCTTCTGCGCGCTTCTTTTTCTTCCTCACGGCTGCGGTGGAAATCCTACAGTTCAGCAAAGAAGATTCTGTCGACTGTGAAGACGACGCTGATGATACCACTATCGAGGAAACATATCATGAGATCACGAGTGAACAAAATAATCATCTCGCCTTACCTCATCGCTCATCCTCGTCCAAGAATAACCCGGGAAGGGCCCTGTTCCTCATCATCTCCCGCTACCGGAATCTCCGGAGGTCAGTTCCGTCGGGACACCACATGCGCCTCTGACCCAACCATTCTGCCCCTCTCCCGCTCGCGGTCGAGCGCGCAGGCCCGCGAAGACAACATCACATCCCATCGCACCCGCGGAAGCCGGTACCCCAAGATCCGCCGCACAGGGCGAAAACAAAACTCGAAAGTCGGGTCGAAATCTTATTTCGCTCTCCCCTCGCAGCCGGGAAGGATCAGACCTGCGAGCCCCTCTTTGGCTCCCTCTCTCTCTACCTTCCTTTCTTCCTCCCTGATGTGTGCCTGTCCCGTCCGCCTTGCTTTCGTGTGCTCCGATCTCCGAATCGTCGGCGGGCCGCCGCGCGGGATGGGGCTGTACCATGGAGCATTTGCAGTCTGTGTAGGGCAGATGATCATGGTTGTTATTTTCGGCGTGCGTTTCGTTCTTTCTTGAAGGATTTCTGTGTGGTGTGTCTTTTTTGGGAGACGGCGCTGTCATAACACTCGTTCGGCGGCGCGCCGCGAGAGAGAAGATGGGGCGCGATTTCTCCTCTGGGGATTTTCCTCTTCCTTTGTTCCTCCTCCTCTGCTGGAACTTGGCGAGATTGCTCTCTTTTTTCTTCTCCCTCTCTCTCTCTATTGGGGTCGATCGATCATAATTCTTCTGGCTCTCCGTCTTCACCTCATGCTTGATGACTCCTGACCATGGCTTCGGAGATGATCACGCCGCCGGCGGAATCGTCCTTGGCCATTCGTAACGATTCAGGAACCGCTCGATGTGAAGGTTTGCAGAATCTGGTCGGGCAATGGAAGGAGACCTCGGCGCTACTGAACAAGCGAGATGTCATCATCGGTGTTAGTCCCACCTTACATCATCGGTTTCTCGAAAGGACGCTCTAGATTATGGCAAGGATTATTCTGACAATCGCGGCTGGCGACCACCATACAGGATCTCCTCAAATTAATCGAGCCGAAAGCTTCGTCACCGGATCAACAGCTTCTCCTTGAGCAGGAACATGAGAAGAGTATAAGGCAGCTCAGTCAAGAGTCGACGGCTCTGAGGAAACGATTGACGGATCTGGAGAGGAGACATCAGGCGATACAGGACATTTTCGTATGTGTCGGATGATTCGTTGAGGAGTACCAGCATTCGCTAATCATGCTCATTAGACGGGAGAGCCATTTGTGGTGGTAAGCGGGCAGTTTTCGAATCCTGGAGTAGCGGAGAGGCGCTGACAATCTTCACAGGTACTGTTAGATGGAGAGCTGACACTGGTAGGTCGGCATTGTTCTTCTGCCCATTTGAGGGTTGGGCTGACCGCGATTCAACTCATAGTTCAACGACAGCTACGTCAAACTCGGTGCCGATGGTGGGCGACAAGCAGCAAACCATCTCGCTGGATTGATCAAGCAGCACCTCGCCAAGGACGATGGACCATTGGAACCCTCATGGAGGATACACATGCACATTTTTGGATCGGTACCGAAGCTGGCGAAGGACTATCAGAACAACGGACTTGTGCAAAATCCTGCGACCTTCAACGCCTTTATCAAAGCTTTCAATCGTGAACGCGGGTTCTTCCAGGCGATGGATATCACTGATCACAAGAATTCCGCCGATCATAAAGTGAAGAGTAGGTCATTTCTGACGAATTGGAGGACGCTCGGGCGACTAACTTAAATTTCCATGCAGGAAACTTTGAGCTTTTCTGGAACAACCGTCTTTGCAAATATCTCGTCCTAGGCGGTGGATCGAAAGATAAAAGCTACGGCGAGTTCCTCCGCCAATATACAACCAACGATGAGGATCTCCAGCGCATCATTATGCTGGATCGAATCAACTTTCCCAAAAACATGTCGACCATAGCGTGGAGAATGGCCAGCATCCGATCTCCTTCGCTCTTCCACAACAACAACATACTCGCCACGGCGAACAATGTGCCAACCACGTCATCCTCAAATAACTCCAAAATTACCTCCAGCGCGACGAACGCCTCGGCCACGACTGCAGTCAAATCGGCACACTTGACATCACCGATCGCCATCAAGGCGTTGAATAGCCGTCTCACACCACCCGAATCTCCACTCTCCACCCGAACAGTTCGCACAGCGGCCGGCCGCAACGCCAACCGCAAACTCTCCTTCTCCCATCTCACCTTCCCCAACGTCAAAAGCAGCCCTTCCCCGCAGAAGAAGGGCGCGAGAGCGAAGACTCTCGTCTCCCGGGCATCCAAGCACTTCTTCGTCAAAATGCCCACCCTCATCAGCGTCAACCCACCCGTTCCACCTCCAAGCATGGCCCTCCCACCAACCCCATCCTCGACCTCCCTCGTCCCATCAACCTCGACCTCAACCGCAGCTCCAGCACCCTTAATCTACCTAAACGCCAGTGGCCACCGCCTTGACTACCCGGCCTCTTGCGCCGCAATGCGCTACGATCCACTCCTTCGCGACGATTTCCGCAATCGCGAGAAATCGCCCTGTTACGAATACCATCTCCTGCGGAATAACGTCACGGGAAACGTCTCGATGTCATCCTCGTCGAGCCCTTGTCCGCGCGCTGACAAGTGTCCTCATACGCATGGCCCACCGATGACGTCGAGATCGGCGCTTGAGACGTTGGCGTACCTCGCGCGGTGCACGCCGTGTGAGAAGCAGGGGAAGTGTCGGGATGCGAGGTGTGTCAGGGGCCATGTCTGTCCGATTGAGGATGATCTGTGCTGTCCTGAGGTTTGTGACTTCGGGGTCGAGGGACATGGGGTTGATCCGGTGGTTGTAAAGAAGGTTGTTGGAGATGTGTGAGTTGTGGAAACCTTTGTGTTGGCTTTCTCAAAAATGCGCATTGGAGCGCGGATCGATGAGGGATCGGTGGCAATTGGGCAGGTCGTTATCGGCGTTACTTGCTGGTTTATCTCCTGTTGGATTCCGGTTTCAAGGCTTTGCGGTTGCGTTTCGAAACATGTGGTCGACCGCGTGAATCTTGGCGTTCCATTGATTTTTACTCGAATTCCTAACGTGGTAATGATATTCATTTCAACCTAAACACCATCATGTCTTCGATTGAAGATCGCAGTCGGTAAAAAATTGATCCGCCCTTCGCCGCTATCGGTAGTATTCCCTAGACTACATTGCCCTGGCTTCAGATCATGCACTGTCCTGTCAGCAGTACTTCTCCCCCACGACTACCTTCTCGTATGGACCTCGACGAATGATAACGTGTTTGGTAGAAGCGGACTGTAACCCAGCCGCGCCTGTTGTGGTCGCCGTCGAAGTGGGCGACGAGTTTGTTGATGAAGTTTCAGAATCAGTCGGATGCATCGATGTATCCACGTGCTCTTCAACTGTCGCGCAGATGCTCCCTCCAGGCTCGTGGATCAGTAGATGAGCCTCTTGACAATCATGCTCCGCTGTTCCAGTGCTGTGAACGGTGGTCGCCTCCACCTTGACGATGACGTCGAACGTCCTGAAGTACTTGATGCCACCCGATGTCCCATGCATTCTCGGGGCCGAAGCAGAGTTCCAAGCCAATAGTACCATTTCACTGATGGTATCCCAGGAGCTGGACGTTTCCCTGCACGCGACAGTCAACACAATATACCACAAACTAAACCAGAGGTAAATGATAGCGATGCTGAACTGGAAATAATCGGCTGGGAACTCCCAGCGCCATCCGAGTCCCTCCACTGTGACATCGATGTGATTGACGATTTGGTCCGGGACGGATTGCGGCCCACTAAGATTCACTGCGTTGAAAGTACTGTGGGGATCGAGGAGCTGACGACCGTAAGAGCGGTCGGGGTTTGAAATCAACCGATCGATCGGGTGCGGACTCCACAGACGTAAAGGACCTGTCATATTGTAAGCCTGCCAGACAAGTCTTCGAGATAGACCATCGGTGATTGCTCGTGACAGTGTCTGTTCGAGCAAAAGTTCCCGTTCCATCGTATGATACAGATCAGAATTGTACAATTGAGCATCTGTCATGTTTCTCGGCAAGTCTGTTGCTGACTGAAGTGCTTGGCGGAGATCCCTCATGAGCGTTGTCAACCCGGCCATCGCGAAGACGTTCTCCAGAGTGGAAGGCCGCCAGCCGTCTTCGGCAGCAGGAACGTCCGGGGCGATTGGGGCCAGCGCCTGTAACCACTCGACCGAGACGTTGACGAAGCGGGCAAAGTCCTTTGCGGATGAATCTGAGGCGGCGAGATTGGTCTTGAGGAGCAGTCTGCTCGCTGGGCTGCCATCGGCTACCCATGAATGGTTGTTCGATTGCAGTCTGCTCACCGTTCCTGGCACCCAAGCTGAAGTTATCGCGCAAGCCAGCACTGCTCGCGTATCCGAAGACGCAGACCAAGGCAACTCCAGAACAGCACCGGCCGTGACGGCGCCAAACACATCGGAGTCGAGCGGGATCCACTGCAGGCGGAGATGCGAAGAACGAGTACGTTGCAGGTGGGAGATTTTGGCTGGTTGGGTGTTGTTGAACGGACCGCAACCATAAAGCCGATCACCTTTCTTCACACGGAAGTAGACTGAGTCATCTTCTTGCGCAATGTCTTGTGCTTCGGAACAACAAACAGCGCTCGTAGGGAAGATGTCCGTGGAGGTAAATTCGCTCTGGCTCGCGTACTGATAGTTGCTTTCATATGTAAGGGTTCTCCTCCCTCCCGTGGCTGCGACGTCTTTCGTCGCAACAAACCAATCCGTGGCCAACAATTCAAGCATGAGGGCAGAGTATGCCATCGGTTGGGACGTCTTAGCTTCCCAGTTGGTGCTCAGCATGGAGGGCAAAATGTCCGTCGGGCCCTGAATAGGATAGCTCCAACCGGGAACAGAGTTGTCAGCTTTGAGTGCCAAGGGGAGGTGACGACGAATCGAACTATAGCCACTGCATGGGCAGATCGGGTAAAGTGTTGCATTTGGTAAAGCACAGATTGGATGCTCCATGCTTGTGTCAACGACGGAAGGCCAGAGCTGGTCAGGTGTCAGGGGGATAAAGTAATCTGTGCCCCCAGCGGCGAAGCTGAGTGTCCGCGGAGTCAATATGAGTGCTGTTGACGGTCCAACAACGACAGCTAGGATAGCAAATATCAGAATCAACAAGACGAGACGAATCCGAAGAAACTGCTGCCAAAGAGTCGCTATCCAGTTCCTGGAGTAGATGTCTTTGATCAGAGCATAAATCCATGGCATGCTGGGCGGCCACTTGGTACGGCAAAACGAGACCATTTCTTCAAGCATTGTCCTCAGATCATTATATATTGTCGAGATAAGGCTTGATGCCGGTATGAAGAACTCGGGATGAAACAATGTATGTGGCCCCATGCTGAACCAAAAATGCGATGTCAGAAGTCCAAACGGTACACCATCGCGGCTGAGAATGTCGTAGTGTATGACCTGGAGGATAATCGTTGCCAAGCTAGCGACACACAATATCTCTTGTAGCTTTGCTCCAACCTGGAAGAGGATCGGGATAGCGGCGTTCAGCAATTCAGATTCTGAGTATCCATCCCCAATGAAGACCTGACTGAAGTTGACCCAGAACATGATGGAAAAGGCCGCTATCGGGAACCAGTGTACAGCGCTGCTGGAAAATGCAACAAGGAATGAATTCACCAAGATTTTCTTCGGTGGCTCAGACAGAGTGGGAGATTTGGCATGTCTCCGGTAATTGAAGCCGCGGAGTCCGAACGCTCGCCTCAGAGCACTTCCCGGTCCGGGCTCTGGCTTCGTCAGATGTTCCCATGCAAGCTGCAATCCGCGAAGAAACCGATGGAACGGTTCACAGAGAGAGCGCATGAATGCCGATAGCAGAGATGAAAGGGTCGTTGTTAAATGTCGACAGATTGAACTGCCAAGATGCCACGATGTAGTATTGTCGGTGATGCGGTCAAGAATCTGAGGAGATGCTCATTGTCGTCAAGCAGGAACTGTATTATATATCATCATATAGATTCAAAAGCCAATGCTCCAGGACAAACCCAATGCACCTGAGCCAACACACACATGATTAGGAGTGAGCGTCAAATCGAAGCTGCTCGCGTAGCGGCTCTAATTCATGATTCACGGCGCTAATTTGCACAGCCATGCGAACGCGCTGCAGAGGCCCAATTATGGGGGTTCAACATCTTGAGATTGCCTGATTTGCGATGACCGGACTGCGTCTGTGCCCAGCAGGCTGTCACGGGACCCAGCGATGATGCAAACCTCACAGTTCGCAGTGTCCAGGGCATGAGGTGGACTGCACCGTAAACATTCGATCCATTCCGGAAACCATTGGGTCTTTGATAGAAGCCAAGCCGCCCCTGGATGTTTGACCAATCGGTCTGATCCAGGCGTTCTTGGCGGCGTCGATGCCCGATATCGACTAAGCAGCCAATGGCGGAACTGTTACAGCTATGGCCTGATGCGCATGGTGAAGCGTCACGATCTTGAGCGGGCTCTTTCCCTCGTATCTCCTTACGAGCAGAAAGAGGAGCGGCGAATTCGCGAAGTTAGGTTTACTGCGCCAGGCTATGTGGATTGTTTCATAATGTAGAAGCCTCGATGACCAAGTGCTTGGCACGGATTCAGGCATCGGAAAGGCAGTACTCTGCTCAGCCTCAACGCCATATGCCGCGGTGGATGACGCGATGTCTGTTGGCGAGAGGATCATAGTCCACAACCAGAGGAGCAGTGGGGCGGCAGGGATGTTCTGACCCAAATCAAACGCATGGACCCGATGCATCGATGACCTCAATACGTCGGATCATGAGTTCATCCGCAATATTCGAGGCAGCACGACGCTCAGAGAATTGTGAAATGGAAGATCTGACATGGAGTGGGCTTGGGGATGGGACGAGGTCTACTGTAGTGATGATAAGGTTGCCCAAGTGTAACGACGAACCCAGATCCCGTTGACACCGGCGGGCGGTAAAGCGGCTGATCTACAGGAGCAATTTCGCGTGTGTCTTTCCAAAGTTCTCCACCCACACGTGGACACTCCGTGGATATCTCTGAGTTTTTGCTGTGGCACGTGCATGGTCAGGTATACAATCCGCTACTTTGCGCGGTACGGATTACCGACTACTGTGCAATGCGTCTGAACTCCGTGCTCGCTTTTCGTTCGCACACCGGCGCAATCTATCCAATTGCTGCATTGTAGCTACGGTACAATACAAACAACGCGGTTGATTTCCTTATGAACGATGTTTGGACCCCTCGCGCATTCGGCCAGGCTGATGGCATTCATAAGAAGTGGGAAATAGACAACGGATATCTCGCAATCCTCGAGCTTTAGCTTCAGCTTGATACTCCTGCGCATCGGAAAGTGTCCAGAAAATCACCTCCGTTCGTGAGGCATCCTTGTCGCTCGGGCCATACCATGTGGTTCATAATCATGAAATGCTGCAAACTTCTGATCTTCTACGCTTCTCCGATGTAGCCTACGACTTGTACAGTACGTTTCGGCCATCAAATCACAAAATAAGCATGTCGCCAAGAGCAGAAAGGCAACTGGACGCGATGGTCGGGAATCGCAAAGATTATTAGTAACGATTTCAGAGAGGGTTTGAGCGACTCTGAGAATTGCCCAGACTGCTTAGGAATAGCTCCTTGGACCGTTGGCCCGGGAAGTTCGCCGCTCCAACAGCTGCTCGCGAGCTGTAAATTCAGGCAGTTGCTAGAGAACAGGCTTTCACGTAGCAGCAGGTATGATAGCTACTATAAAGTAAGAGGGACCATCGTCGGACAGAATGTCGAGGGTATCACTGATTCCAGGACCGTATCATCCAGTAGAATGTAGAGACCGTCTAGGCACAAGTACTCTCCGACCCCAGCTCATCATCAGGCTTTTCAAATAGACCGAGATATTGATTTCTCCGTGCAAGACAGGTATGTGGTCAAAAAATGGAAATACTCCCATCCGGATTTCAGACTACATTATATCGTAGCAAAGTATGCAGACGGACTGATACAGGTCCTGCGAGCATACAATATTATTGACCGTCATAAAGTGTAACATCCATGTTGCAAGAAACGTCTCTGGCAACCCTAGTCCAATTCACCGTGCCATCAATGGCGCAAACATCTTGCAACTTCGAGAACGTCATCTGATCTACCACGAGCATCTAGTTCGATATAGGCCGTCCCTGCCAGTTTACATAACTTCATCGTGATGCAGTCAAAAGCGCTTTTGCAGATGATATGAGCGACACGATAGAGAGCAAAATGATACGTGTATATATATGATGGGTATTATCTATAGTTCTTAGAATACTTGGCGTTTGTAGTTCAAGGGTAGAATTCGAGCTTCCCACGCTGGCCACGCTAGGTTAGGGTTGTGCTCGAGGCCCGGGTTCGAGTCCCGGCAGACGCAATTTTATTTTACCCCCTGGAGACATGTGCTCCCGTTTTTTGGTCCCATGAAGCCTATAAATGCTCAGGGAATTGGTAGGAAAAGTTCTAAGCCAAGGGGCAAAGAATTGGGAGAGGGTCGGTATTGGCGCTAGTTCCCAAAGTCCGGCATGGGGCTCGGCCACGGAATGGTCCGGGATCACAGCTTTCGGAGGCGCTAGTGCGGGCCGAGTCATGAACTCCATCGAATGCACCTTCTGGCCTCCATCGCAAAGTAATAGACAGTGCCGAATTTAAGTGCCGCTGTCAGATGTCTCAAAGAGCCTTGAAGCCTAGAGCTTGGTTTCCCCGTTATGAGCAGGTCGGGCAAATCGAAAGTTGCCGGAATGCGTGCGTCATTACCACCCATACTATTGGCCCACTTCTTGTGCCACATATCTCCAGCGTCGATGCTCCGAGATCAATGGTGATGAGATGAATATGCTCTGAGCCGTAACGTTGCCTCCAGACCTAGACGACGACAGCGAAGACATGAGCGACGAGCTTACCGCACTGCCAATCATTGCAGTAGATGGAGAGAAACGTGAGAAAAGAGATGAACAAATGAAGGAAGCATCCGTCATTTGAACAGGTCTAATGTGGTTCAGCGTCACACGGTTTATACTAGCGAGACGAGTACATTTTGAAAGGGAGCGAAACAGCGAAGGCACTCAGGGAGCGAAAGTTTTTCAATTATGTTCAGATTTCATAACCCTAATGCAAGGCTGCACCGGCGTCTCGAATCACCCTGGCAAGGCCGAGCAATTCTTCGTCCTGCAGTCGCTTGCCGACGACCTGAAGGTTGATGGGCATGCCGGCCCAATCCTCGGGATCATAGCGATTCCAGTAGAGCGCATCGAGATCACCGGGAAGAGCCGTGTACGGCTGCTCCAGCGCGGTCTTGGGGTCCTTCTTCGGATCGACGAAGTCAACGGGGAATACGACACAGGGTCGGTCGAGGAGGTTCCACTGTGTCGTGTAGCTCACGTGGTCATTGAGATCGTGCTTGCAGCTTGCCCAATTGCTCACGGGAGCGATGATGGCATCGACGGGTCGACCGGTGCCGGTCTGGCTCGTGGTGTTCTGCCAGTAGTCGAGATACTCTTTTCGATACTTGCTCTTCTCCTGGTTAAGTTGCCAGGACTCGTAGGTGGATAGGTGCGTGGGTTCTTTGCCATCGGACATGAGATTGTACATGACGGGCTCGCCTCCTTCTTCACACGTCCTCTTGATGTCCTCTCCTCCGTCGGCGCTGTAGATGCGGCCTATGATGTCGTAGCAGCGGAGATGGTCATATGGCACCCAATCGATGACTTTGTGACCAGCTGCGATCAGCTTCTCCTTGACCTCGCGAAGGGCGCGGGTGATTGGTGGGTGCGGGTGGATGATACAGTCGTCCCATTCAATCGCAAAGCAGAGCTGGGCCTTGCCGTCGCCGGAAAATACCTCGGCCGGCTCAACACTACCTGCTTTGAGCTGCAGGTTCTTCAGCGCGTATGCATCTTCGTTGAATGGCATGCTGACCAGGATCGGGTCCATCTCCCACGGTCGTTCGGCCAGCACGGCTCGCATAAAGGTCACCACGCCTTCCAGAGAGTGCGTCAGAGGCCCAATCACCGAGGAGACGCTCTCTTGGCCCAGAAAGGAGTTTGCCGCGCCCTCGTAAGGGACTCGATGCATCGACGGTCGCATACCCCACAGGCCGTTGAATGCAGAGGGGACACGGACCGATCCACCGATGTCAGTACCCAGACCGAGCGGGCTGCCGTGCATGCCGACAAGGGCGCCTTCGCCACCACTACTGCCTCCGGGAGTGAAGCTGCGGTTGAAAGGGCTGACCGTCCGTCCATAGATGTGATTGTGCGTTTCGCAGCGCATCAGGCTCTGTGGGATCGAAGTACGCACATAGAGCACAGCACCTGCCTTGAGCATCACGTCGGTGATGACACTGTTCTGCTTGGCAGCCTTGTTGATCCAAGCCACGTAACCCATGGTCGCGACGGTGCCTTTGATGTGGAACTGATCCTTGAGCGATACGGGGAGGCCATGTAGCAGCCCCATGGGCTTTCCATTCTTGGCAAGGTAATCGTCGCATTCCTTTGCCCTCGACATGGCCAGGTCGGGAAAGAAGTCAGTAGCGCAGTTGGTGAGCTGCTGGGCGAGCACTGCCCGTCGCAGGAAAGCTTCGGTACATCGCACCGACGAGAGCTTTGCCGTAGCCAACAAGTCCAACAGCTTGTCTATCGGCGTCTCAGTAATAGTCACGTCTTCTGCGGAAAGGACCTTGGAAGGGATTGATGTCACATTATCTCTGGGATAGATCGTGGTCGGCTCAGGATGATAAGGTTCCGCCTTGGAATAAGGCAGAGGCAAAGATTCTTCGGGCAGTTCGGGCACTCCAAGAGCAGAGAGATCTACGAGGTATTCTCGAGGGATGGCGGCATCACGCTTGACGCGATGAGCTTGCGCTTTCGCAATATAGTCAGCCATGCTACAATGCCAGAAGTTTCGGCGATACTCATGAAAGTCATGGTCGTGAGATGGTAGACTTCTGTCATGGTCATGAGCTGTTGGACTTCCTTCCGTCCGTCCGTCCGATAATGCTATAGAGATAAGAAATGGAAACGATAAGCGATAGCACAGTGGTTAACAAAGAGTCGAGCTTTGGAGCTCCCGGAGCCCGTCGGCTGCTGCCGTTAATGCCTGAGGCGTCAACTGTTAAGCCCAATTGAAGAACCCGACGCTTGCACCTCCGCATCTCCAGATCTATGGATAAGTTCCAAAGGTTGAATAACACTTGATTAGCGTAGATGCCACGCGATTTAATAGATTGGCTTCCCGCACAATCGCGCTTGCTGGACTACAGGTCTGTTGAACGAGGGGATCATGATCACCCTACCATCGAGATTGACAGTAACCATTTGATTATCACGATCGAATTGCTATGGCAGCACACAACATCTCATCCCGTCCCGTCTCATGCGACGAGACGAGGCGAGGCTAGAAACAGTTAGGAACATGGGCTAGGCCTACATGGTACATGTACATTCAGCACACCCATCCACACTGTACACAGGTACATATTCGTTGTTATTCTTATTCCGCAGCAGCCATGACCAGGCTGAATGCCCATGTGTCCTGCGATACCATTGTTTTACTGCAGCTGCAGAACTGCACCCCCGCTTCCAGCACTCGCAGCGATTGGATGCTTTCTGACAGGATGACGACTAGGCTGAGATACATCTGCAGCCATGTTGTCTTTACGGCATCTCGATTGCGAGTGGAGGCTGTGTAATAATGTCAGCATAATGTGCACTCACCGGTCGCTCGATAAGAGAATGGCTTCGCCGTTCAGGAAATCAAGTGTGAGAGTTTACCCGCTCGCGTTCTCGATCGCGACGTCCTCAAAATGCCTCCCAATCCGCGTGTACACGAAGGGATCAGGGAGATAGATGTAAAGTATGTATTGCGATATTACTTGAGAAATGATGACTTTAGCGCGCTAACCACCTCTCAGCAACGCGGCCGCCTTTTGGCATCATACGTAAGCGTCGCAGAACTATCTTCTATGGTGATGATATAACTGAAACCACGGCAGAAACGTTGTCGCCCACCTGGATGACGAAGAATTGGAGACCGCGGTGACCGAGTTCATTCAAGAGGGCAACTTAGGTCATCTTGGCCCGACGTTCCGAGCCGAGCTGTCGAAAGCTGCCAGAGTGCTCAAATGGCAAGACGCAACAGACAGCGACGAAGCCTTACGGGCGCGAGTACCGGAGCTCACCGAAGCCGATCTCCAAACATTGAAGCGGGAAGGGAGGTGGAAGGACCAACCGTGGGGTCTTTTTCTGGCTGTCCTGATCAATTCCATCGCGGCGGTTGTACAAGGATGGGATCAGAGCGGCACAAACGGAGCGAACCTATTCTGGACGAGCTCGATGGGTATTTCGATTGAACATTGTCTCAACATGGCGGATCCCCAGAGACCTGCAGACTGCACTCGACGGACTCTGTAAGTCATACGTTGAGAAACGCCATGAGCGCAGGATTCAGAGCTGACACCATATTAAGCCTACTGGGGTTTGTCAATTCCGCACCATATATCATGATAAGCCTCGTGTACGTTTCTTCTCAAAACACACCCGTCAGCAATGTGCTGACTTCCACAATCCAAGTGCATGCTGGCTTTCAGATCCCTTGAATCATTACCTGGGCCGACGACTTACGATCTTCATCGGCGCGATTTGCAGCGTCATTGCCCCCCTCGCATCCGCCGCCACCCATTCGTGGCCAGAGCTCATGGGCACGAGATTCATTCTCGGTCTGGGCATGGGACTCAAAGAGGTGACGGTGCCCATCCTCTCCGCGGAGATAGCACCTCGACAGATCCGCGGCGCCCTCGTCATGTCGTGGCAGATCTGCACAGCGTTCGGCATCATGCTTGGATGTGCGGCAAATTTGATATCACTGAGCATCACCGACGACCAGAATTTCGTTTGGCGTCTTCGTAAGTCCAGGTTGCTCGTAACAGCTACTCCATTCTTTCGTATCTTAATCGCAGTACTGATTGCTGCCTCTCACAGAGCTTGGTTCCGCTTTCATTCCAGCCACGCTTCTATTAGTTTTCGTCTTATTCGGGCCGGAATCGCCACGATGGCTTGTCCGCAAGCGGCGTCTCGAGAAAGCCTACCGGACCCTCCAGAGAGTCCGTGGACGCGGGAACGAGCTCCTCGCCGTCAAAGAGCTCTTCTACCTGAACTGCGTTATAGGCCACCAGGACGAGGTCTTCGTGGGAACGAAAGGCTTCCAACGCTTTGTGGAGCTCTTCACTAAGCCGCGCGTGCGCCGCGCTATGGTCGCGGCATCCATCGTGATGATCTCCCAGCAGTTTTGTGGCAGTAAGCCTCTCCTTTCATTTTACACAGACCCCGAAGAGTTTTTGAACTAACCATTCGTCCACCTAGTCAACGTGCTTGCCTTCTATTCTTCGACGGTGTTCGACACGATCGTGCAGACCGACGGGAGTTCCTACCAAGATGCGCGCACCGCGCTGTTCTTCAGTCTCGGCGTCGGCGTGACCAATTTCATCTTTGCGTGGCCCGCATTCTTCTCCATCGACAAGTACGGGCGGCGGCCGTTGCTGCTCGTCACCGTCCCGCTGATGTTCCTCTTCTTGTTCATCGCCGGGCTGTGCACGCTGATCGAGGACAAGAAAGTCAGCTTCGGGGTTGTAGTCGCCTTCTTGTATCTTTTCGTCGTGGTGTATTCGCCCGGCATGGGTCCGATCCCGTTCACGTACTCCGCGGAAGTCTTCCCCATCACCCACCGGGAGATTGGCATGAGCTGGGCTGTTTCGGTACGTGTTATTGCTTGGGAAATGGTTGCTCTATACCCATCAGTGCTGACCTTTCTTCAAAAATAGATGAACAACCTTTTTGGCGCCGCCCTCTCGTTGTCCTTCCCCTCGATTTGGCAATTTTTCCGCCCGTTGGGGCTCGGCACGCTCTTCTTTTTCGCTGGGCTGAACATCATCTCGTTCATCCTGATCTTCTTATTTGTTCCAGAGACTCATTTGAAGACGCTTGAGGATCTCAACGCCATTTTTGATCGGCAGACCCGATCACATGCGGAGCATGAGCTCTGCCATGTACTACCGTGGGCCTTGGATCGCGTGACAGGCCGGAAAGCGTCCGAACGCCCGATCTTCGCCGATTGACAGGATGTTGTGAGCCTTTGGACATTTTGTATATATCATTGCTAAATAGCCGAGGAATTATTTGTCATCAATGTACAAGCTGACTATCATACAATAGAACGAACTCCTCTGTGTCTGTTTCTCAGTGGAAGTCCCATATTGTCATGCTCCAGGCCAAGGGAGAACGCCTTACTGCGGCTCGTCCCGCTGGCCGAAACATTGCTGTGCAGTGGCACATCCGATCAACATTGGGAACAGTGTGCGTCGAGCAGTCGGGTTCTCCCGAGCACACTCAATGTACATATTCCCAGCGCCGCTGACCTCTCCCGACGCTTGGGCAAATTCACGGGCTGTGTCGCGTCCCTGTTGCCTAGTCACGCCAGGCTGAGTGACTGGAGCGGTGGTTTTGGTCTGGGCAGCAGGCCGTGCAGCCCCGGCGTGGGGAGAGAGGCCAAGAAAGACATGCGGAGAAGCAGGCCATCCTTGCTGCAAGGATCGTTTCCTCCACTGGACATTTGGGGGTTAGTAAATCAGTTAATGTCGGCGAAGGAATGGGTCTAGATGCAAAAGCTTACCTGATCACATGAATTCCTGAATGCGTGCTTCTCGCTCGTTTTGAAACACAGGATCCAGAATGCCTCACGCCCATCACAGCTCGTCGTAAGCCTTTTGATGTCCTTCTCATCAGAAATGATCTTTATTGTGACTTTGGTACCACAGAGCGCTTTACGAAGCTTGTCAACGACGATAATGTTGCTGATTACGAATGATGATCCGAGATCCTTGGCGTCGCCTCCAAAGTTTTCCGTACTTAGCCATTCTTCGACGGTCTGCCTGCATTCTATGTGATTAATGCTCATGAATATTAACGTCACTGATTTCTCCTTATAATGTTTCTCATCAAGTGAATAGAGATTCGGGAACGGCTCTCGATACTCAAGATAGAGCCCAAAGAACTTGGGTCGAATCCTCTTGCTTTCCTCTAGGTCTGCCTTTGCCTTGATCAAACCGCCATGGAACAGGCTATATGTCGGCGGAAGGCTGCTGCAAATATTCCTCGTCGCCAATTCAATGGTTTTCCAGGTGCCGTCGAGGTCCGCCACCGCATTTAGCTCTAGCATTTTGATCATATCTCGCATCTCATTGGCCCGTTTTGTGATGGTCTTGTTGTCCCAGAAAGTCTCGAGCGAATGCAGATGGAATTTGAGGTCCTCCAAAGCATTCAGATAACGAGGGTTGTGAGCACTGTTGTCGAATGAGATGTTAGGCAGTGGGATCTCATCCGCCGACCGTTCTATCGCCTCTTTGCTTGCTGCTCGTGATCCTGCGAGGCTTTCGGGTTCGTTATGACGATTGTCTCCATTGTACAGATCATTGCTCAAATCAATGTTCTCATCGTGCTGGTCAGTTGATTGGTGGGCATTGAGTAAGCCCCGCACATAGTGGTACACTTCCTGCAGGATGATCTCTGTGTCCACCTCGACCCTTTCAGGAATTGGTATGTTGATACTGTCACCAATGTGATTCACATTTTGAACGATAGCTCGACTGTTCTGCAAGATTGTGTTCTGAGCCCCTATGTTCCGGAATCGGCGGCTGTTCTGGGTGGTAACGTGGTGGCCACTGGTGTGCAGGCTCAGGAGTCGGTTGATCGCACGCGTCACTCTCTCATGATCGATTTCTTGCGTAGACTCAGCAGAAATGACCCGCCGAACCTCGTTCTCCATCTGGTCTCCTTCGGCGCTTTCATTGCCTGTGCATGATCTGAAAAGAGCATGGGTAGCAGTTGGGCCCATCGAGGCTTGTCTCGGCCATCGGCCTTGTTGTGCTAGGCTGCGTTGAAGTCGCATGTAAGTTACTTCTTCACCGGCGCCGTATTGAATTTCCATGTCGAGGACGCCTAGGATTCCGAGCATACAGTACCATTTGTCTTCGACCCGCGTCGTTTCTCTTTTCTGTATCCACGACAGCTTCTCGTCAACGGTGACATTTTTCGCCGCGTCGTAGTCTCTCAAGACGGTTTCCGGAATTTTGGTAATCGCAGAGATTCGACTGCCAAGTGGAGGCCCTGTGCGCATGGACACGCCGCTCAGTCCATATCCGCTACGGCCCTTGTGGCCAATGATTCGCCAATCGTGTGTCAGAAATACGACGGTTTTAGGGGCAAGCAGCTCTTGCAGAGTCCATCCACGCTGAAACCATACGCTCTCTTCAAACGCGGCAAGGTCGTTCACCGTTTGAACATCATCCAAATATGCTAGACAAACCTCTGCTCGCGTGTACCATCTGAACATAGATCTGATTGTCGTGGCCACCTCTTCGCAGCTTTGCTTGTCGATGCAGCATGTGTCGATCCAGAGCAACTTGATTGTGGGCAAGTGCTCTTTCATAAAGGCGACGAATCCTTGTACCTTACGCCATCCAAGGCGGCGGCGGTATTCGGTATTTCCCAACAAACGTGCCCATCTTCTCTTGACGACATCATCTAGACGCGCCTCGGTTCCGGCAATCCACCGGTGCGACGCGATCGCATAAGGAGGCGGTGGCGAGGTGGGTGACTCGTTGAATTCTTGAAAAGTGAATGTGTCCACGTTGAGAAGTCGCATGATGACAAACGTCGCTTCGATGACATGGTGTCCGAGAAAGGGCCGAGTGATGAGAGGGGGAGAGTTGCAGCGGCCTCATCTTCCATCTCACCTCGTTATCGAAGGATGGCGACTCAGTCTCGTGTGAGGCCGCCAGCAGTGTGCATGTACCTCGATGCATGTAGGATGACGTGCGGGGTCGCCGGGCGATAACTCGTGGCGCTTCGCGATCCATGATAAGTATCTCCCGTTGCTTATGGCGTGGGAAGTATTCCACGCTCATCACATGTGAGCATGAGAATACATGCGGCATATATATAGAAGTAGAAGAGCGGCGGAGATCTGGATACAAACCTACTAGGTAGGTAGTATGATGTTCTCGAGTTGTCGTTACCATATTGTGCCTGAGGCATCCACTGCACTGGGATTGAAGGACATGTAGATGGCGTCGGGAAACTCGAGCTTGTCGGAAGCCTTCCATACGGACGGCGAGGATGGAGTGATGGCGGGCATGGTGGAAGCCTGGTAAAGAAGAAATTGCGATGGCTCCGTATGGACGAACTGAGGAAGTGATTGTTCTCATATATTCGTACACAAACATACACGAGCTTCGTCCGTTCGGCGATGGCCGCGGAGGACGAGTCTCGTTGGAACGCAACCTATATAGAACTTCAGTGTCTGCTCGCTCGCTCGCTCGCTCGAATCGATCGTTTGAAAGAGAAAAAGCCAAAGAGAAGAAAACCCATATCTACCAACGCCCCACAAACGCCGCGCTTGAAAAGCCTGATCTCTCCCGAAAGAAAATAAGAAGATCTCAAGTCATCCGGTGTAAAATGAAAACACGGATAAGAAGGTGAAGACCGGTGAAACATTGACACATCCCGCGAGGCGATTCGCAAAGGCATCATTCAATCTCCATCACCTCCTGTACATCTCCCTCTCCCTGTTCTGCAGTCGCTCCCTCCTCTCTCTTTCGGGACTCCGGCTCCGCGTTCTTCGTATGGGAGGTGGGTCGTCGCGATCACGTCCGGGACCAGGGTAGCCTCGATCGCGGTCCCGGTCTCTGGGGTCCCGGTCTCGAGGATCCCGATCTCGCGGGTCGCGTTCGCGTGAGGCCCGGTCACGTTCGCGGTAATTCTCGTTGTAGCGTGCTGGAGGATGAGGAGGTAGAGGCGGTTCATCGCGGTAGGGACCACCTCCGACACCGCCACCACGAGCGCCAGAGTTAGGCGCATCCAGATCACGATAGAGGGACTCGCGACTATTGCGACGACCACCCCCGCCGACGGCGCCACCTCGATCGCGATCATAAGGGTCGCCGCGGATAGGAGGTGGTGGGCCGGGACGGCTATCGGGTCCGCCTGTCTGGTAGGCAGGAATATATGTGTCAACGTTCGCGCGGCCAGGGTTGTTATTGGGTGGTGGGCCGCCTCGGGGAATGTTCGTATCGGGCCGTGGAGGAAGAGTTACAGGTCGGGGAGGCAGCTCATGCCCAGTGGGTGGAGGTGGAATCGTGCGTGTTGGTACGGCACGATCGCGCTCGGATCGCCAATTTGGATTCCGATTTCCTCCGCTGTCGAGAGGTGGTGGGCCGCGTCGATCGCGATCACGTTCATCATAGCCTCGGGGAGGCGGACCTCTCTCGCGACCATAACCGCGAGGTGCCCGGTCGTTATTGTATCCGTATCCGCCCGGATATGCCTGGCCTTGATAATCTTCGGGTCCCATGCCGACAGTGCCACCCGCAGGAGCCGGAGGCAGTGCGGCGCGCTGCTGCTTTTCTTTCTTGCCACGACGAGTATCAAGTTCGTGACTGTCTTCGTAAGTAGGCAGGTCGCCGGGCTTTGCAGGGAGAGGCGCGACCGTGAAGTATTCGTGCTGTAGAGCATCAAATGCGTTAATTCGTTTCCGCCAGTCGAGGCAGAGTAATTGCTTCAGCAGATTTAATCCCTGCGGCCCGATTCTACCGAACCGCCGGTCAATTTCAGGTCGTGGCGTTACTTCCCATTCTTTACGCCCTTCGCAGCCGGGAAGTTCGGTCCAGCCCGGCATTGTGAGTTCTGACGGGTGTCCCACAAGCCGGAAGATTTTCTCGCATTGGTTCATATCGGTGTGACCTTCCAGGATTGGCTTTTGTTCGAACATTTCTCCAAAGACACAGCCGACACCCCACATGTCAATAGCAGGTGTGTATCGCTTGAGTGTGAGGAGAAGCTCCGGTGGTCGATACCATCGCGTGACTACGAGACTTGTGTATTCCCTCACAGCCGTTCCATTTCCATGTCCTGGCTGGGGAGTTGGTCCGTCGTAATGCCGAGCAAGACCAAAATCTGCGATTTGAAGGATTCCTCTATTTGAGATGAGGATATTGGCAGCCTTCATATCACGATGCAGAATATGAGACTGAACAAAAACCCAAGTCAATCCTGCCCGAATGTTTGTTACGATAAACAAAAGTGACAAAACTTACATCGTGAAGATAACGAACCCCTTCTAGAAGCTGGTGCAGATAGCATTTGATCTGCGCTTCGGAAAATTTGATATCGGGGTTCGTGAGCATACCACTCAGGTCATGATCCATATATGGTGTAACCATGTACAGTGTCGCGCGCTTCTTGCCCGTCTTACCCTTTTCATCGATCTGATTCCGTTCGACTGCCATCTCCTCGAGACGGAGAATGTTCGGATGACAGAGCATCTTCAACAATTTGATCTCGCGCAGTGCGGTGATTGGGAAGCCGTCTTTTTCATTGTGCATCAAAATCTTTTTCAGCGCGACAACCTGTCCTGTGCGCTTCGACCGAGCCTTAGAGACCACACCAAATGTGCCCTCGCCCAATCGCTCCGTCATGATCTCATAATCACTGAGCTTGCCACTCCCACGATATCGTCTTTGAGTCGGGTCGGCCATCGGATCAGCGGCAGGGTAGGGCGCGCTCCTCGAGCCTTGCGGTGTATTGACCATAGTCATCGTGATGTGGTGCCGCGCGACGCTGATTTGCGCATAAAAAGGTTCGAGGTTTTGATGGGCGCTGTTAGATGGTGACTGACGCGGTTGTTTTGTCGCTGTTCGTCATGCTCGATGTTGGGCGCGCGCGCATTCGAAGAGGTCCCTCGTTCTAATAAACCAGGTCCCTGTCGCAAAAGCTGGAACGTGTTCGTCTAGATTGTATGGAGCGCGAAGCAAAGTTCGCAGATCGCGCCGGCGATTGCGCTCAACCCACGGCGTGTCCTGGAATCCCCTCTTGCCACTCCCAGCAGGGTTTTGCGCTCGTTGATGGATTTGGTTCCTGGTTCCACAGACGTGCAGGGGCGCGGAGCCGAGTCCTGAAAAGCCGTATTTGTTCTAGATAAGTTGCATGGAATGTCCAGCACAGGAATATGGGGTGATGTAATCGGCATGACTCGCGTGTCATTTTCCCATGAGGCGTGAACAAGTCCAATGGTACAGTAAGCCCTCCCGTAGCATTCGCTCATAGCTCATTTTGACAGCCCTCCGTACTATTCACACTCCGTCCAACCTCATCTCGAGCTCTCGCGAAACATTGAAACAGTGATTATCCAGACCTCCCCATTACCGCGACCCTACTCGCGCAACTTCGGTACTGTCGTGTGCTCTTACTACACTACCAGATCTCACTGACAATTTGGTTTCGGCAGCCTCAACACAGATCTCCCATCACGATGGCAGGCCACGGTCCTTCCGCCAAACACGGCGGTCACCCGATTCACATCCACCCGGCGCGGCCATTGTATCGCTTCGCAGCTGTCGGACTCGGCGCGTCAATGTGGTTCTTCGTATGTCTTCCATCATGGTTGGCAGCCAACCAAATGTTTTGCTGTTTCACATGAGCGACACCACGGAGGCTAACGGTTAGTTGCGTCAATGACCAATTTAGTTATTTTACCGCGCACGATACGATCTGCCTGTCCTGTTCGGCTTGAGGCATCCTTGGGATCACTGAAAAGTGGAAGGTATGCGGCCATTGGGGGACAAAGGCGAGTCGGAGAAGGCGGAAGAAATGTCTGTGGAATAATAGAGCGCTAGGAGGCTCAGGAGTCGGGTACATGAAACAGAGCAAGCTCTGGAAGTTCAGTCTACAAAAGCGCAGTCGCAGAAGAGGCTTCAAGGTCCAAGCGCAGTGGATCGCCGCAACCAAGATAGATGGACAAAGAAGTCTACGTCGGATGTCAGGTTAGCAACACAAGCAAAATTTGGCCCCTATCACGAGAAACGCAGTCAGTATTGTGTGCAATACTGTGCTTGAAAAATCACTGTATCATCAGACGAAAAGAACAAACACGCGTCTACGCATCGAATTTCCGTGTCTTGATCTGGCAATAATCCTTTCCATAATTTATAGAGTCTCGAAACGAGGCCACGAGGAGTGGCATAATTCCTATCAGCGCGTGTTGAAGTCTACATCTACACGCTTGCAGCGCAGGGACTCGAAGCCGGACATACTTTCACAGAGCCCCGACGATGGTCACACATTGAGTTTACAAGGAATACGAGCTGCACTGCACAGTTTACAGGTTCTATTGAAATCAACACGACGAGCCATTCCCAAAGCCGTGTCTCCGCGTTTAGACTTGCTAATCATACGTATTGAAGGCATCCATGGGACGCCCCACGAATTCTCACAGGAATTCAACAGTCGATTACAGGCGGTTGCCAGGAATTGTACGCTGAAAGCGTTATTGAGAACATGACTTGAACTAGTGCACATTGACAGCTACAGACGTCTTATCATCACGCAAAAGTCCGAAGTCGAACGCTTTTGCACCTACGGAAGGTCAACACCGTACTCGACCAGCAGCATACACCTGCTAGGTTTGCCATCATCGCCCAGAGTGATTGACAACGTCCAATCTGTTCCAAATGGTTTGTCCTTCAACTCGCTGGCGATGACGGGAGTCTTTTTGACATCAAAAGGCGCCGGTTCACCAGCCCCCATAGAGATATTTGCACCAAGTATAGCCACGTCCATAGAGAGCGTGACATTCTTGACCTTGCGATTGAGGCCTGGCTGCCGGGCAAAGAAGGGCAGACGCGTGGAAAGATCTCCTAGATTCAACCTTTGTTCTGTCTTCACGTCTTTCCGAAGGCTCGCCCATGCCGTGGCATATTCTGCACGGACGTCAAAGATGGCTGTACGGCCTATGATTGCGGTAGACTCGGTCGCGACTTTGAAAGCATCGACGACGGCTTTGTGCGCACCCCCGCGGAGACCTCCATCGAAGAGTGCAGTATAACGCATCTGCAGTACGACATCGAAAATTGTCTCGTAGTCGAATTGTCGAAGCTCGGGCAATTCTAGCGTCCATTTCGAGATGGCCCCAGCCCCTTCAAAGGGAAGGTATCGCGTACTGGAATCGCTAAAGTCGAGTTGGAAGACACCTGAGTCGTTCTGTGCGTTGCTCACGGAAATGGCCGAGATTGGCGCGGTCACAGACGCGAAACGACCACCACTACCGGTGCCGTTGCTGTCATCCGCATCCTTGGTATATGAGTCGGGTCGTGCTGGACTGATGCGGTATTCACTCGATGTCAGGGTCAGCGTGCCGTTGAGTGCAGTGTGCGGTCCAACAACACAAGGGACAGTCACGCTGACGGATTTGATTCGACGCATGTACTGCCCTGGGAAGTCCATATCGAAGAGAAGCTCTGGGAGGACGATCTCGCATTCACCACTCTGGCGGAGGAGCAGTAGTTGTGCCGGGTCAAGCATTCGCAGCGAGAACGACTTAGTCACCTCGAAGGAATGGCCACGTTCTTCCAAATAAGCACGCTCCAGACGCTTGAGGTCGCGGAAGAGATTCTCACCAGCTAGCAAGCCGTCATGTGCCGAATCAAAGTATCCAGCTTGAATGTATGCATCAGAGGACTTTTGCGGGCGTTCGTAGCGATATGCCAGTTCTGCTTTCTTCGCCAATGCGAAAGCTTCAGTGTAATATTGATGGTACAGAGTCTTGGTGACACCATCCATCCATCCGTAGAGATCAGCTGTTGAATATTTCTCACGAAGGAAGGTTGAAATTTCTTCGCTCTGATCCATCTGTTGTTGTTGCATGGCAATCTCTTTCTGTGCCATGTCGACGCGAATCTTGGCCGAAATGATCTGTTTGTTAACATTGACCACTTCGTGTCCAGCTGCATTGGCCTGAGATACGCGCTCCTGGAGGGCTCGCTCGTGGCCTGCCTTTGTCGCCATCATACCCGCTTTCTGACCAATTATCTCGCCAGCGAGCCCGATAATGCTAGATGCCACTTTCACTCCTGCGGCAATGTTTCTCGAACCGAATTCGGTAGTGATGCCGACACCCAACGGTTGACCTTGCACCGATGTTTGTGGCAAAACTTCCAGGATACCGGCAGCAGCCAAGACACCGCTCGCCGTGGCACCGACGATATGGGCTTTCTCGTTGTTCTCCATAGACGAAAGCTCAAGACTCGAAAGACCAAGTCCACCCTCCATGATCGGCTTTCCGATCCGGGCATCCAGCTCCTGAAATTCGCGCTCGGCATCGGGTACGGCTGACAAATCTCCACCAACGAGCTGCAAATAGTACAAGAGCCTGCTAACGGCGCCGTTGCGAGCGGTTTGAAGGTTCTCGAGAGACTGCTGAGCATCTTTCAATTGCATGTTTTTCATCTCCATTGAGGTTTTCTGCAACGCAACCTCATGTCGTTGTCGTAGCACGGCTAATCGCTCGAAATCCTTCTTTTCACGGATAGAGAGGAGCGCCTGACCTAGACCACGCACTTCGTTGATGAGCTCGAAAGCTTTCGATATGAGAAGTGTGAGCTTGCAATTCGGCAATGGGCCTTGCAGATCTTGCAGTACGCTGCCAAGGGATAAGCCTTGAGCAGCTGCTTGTACAAGTAGAGCAGGGTCAATGGGTGGCGCAAAGAGAGGAAGCTTTCTGAAAACGCCGTTGATGTCCTGCGAATGGCGAATCTTGAAAAGCCGATCATCGATCGTGTCCGCCAGGGCACGAATGTTGGGATTGTCAGGGATCGCAAAATAGAGGGTCTCGGCCGAGCCAAAAATAGTAGATTGGTACAAGTCACCATCATCAGCTGTCATACCTGCAGCTAGAGGCGTTTGGTTGCTGTAAGGGAAGGATTGCTCAAGCTCCACCAAAGCATTGGAGAATGGATCGTATCGCTTGCAAAGGCTCCAAAAGGTCTCTGGCTTGAGTGGCTTCTCCTGCGGGATTGGCTGTCCTCGTGGCCCATAGACATGTGAAGCCAACACGTATAATTGAATGGCTTGAGGAATACTTTCAAGCGTCTCTTGCTTGAACAGGGAGTCTCCCCAGGCGATGAGAATCTTGATGTAGGTGCTGACGACCCATCTCATGTAGGCCTGAGGTCGGGATCGGGCTACCAAGTGAGGCAGGAACGGGTGATCTGCCCACTCTTTGATGCGCATGTTCTCGCTATGAGAAGGTTAACCACGTATGTATATGACAGCAGATGGTGGCAAACTTACTCTTCGCGGGTGGTAGCCAGCTTGACAAACATATCCTCGATAGATGCAGTGCTGGCCGCGCGGAATGGTGCAAACTTCCAGCATCTTCGAGCATCCACACCGTTGTCCCCTTTACTGACGGACGGATCGAAAATGAGCTGGCAAATTTTGAGTGCTGCTTCATATTGCTGACATTGCAGCAATTTGTCGGCCATAAGCATGGGTATATGCAGCCCAAGCTCCCAATTGTAGATGGAATAGAGCTTCGACCGCTCATTGAAGCTCAGTGTTCTGGTGTCCTTCAGCTGTGACGCATCAAGAGCGTCGGAGGAAGCACCAAATCTATTGACGAGTGCCGTGGTCACCCCTGACGAGCCTAGATCGAGTAGATTTTTGTCATTGACGATTCCGTCAGCCAACTTTTCGACGAGCCTTTTACAATCAGTGGAACCTGCCAATTCAGCCATGAGGTCACCCACGATTGCATTGTAGAAGCTTTCCTTCTTTTTCTCTACGGCGTTGTCATAAATGATAGACGGGCCAAACTTGTCGTCAAATTTAGATCGTGACGAGGATGAAGCCTCGATCCGTGGCACCGCGAGTGCACTGGTATCAAAGGAACCATCCAATTGAAGCGAAGCCATATATGGTGCATTGGTCGACGTCTCTTCGATAATGCCAAAGGACAAATTGGTGTACTGAAATTTGTCCAAGGAAGTGACTTCCTCGGAAGATTTAGAAAGCTGGCCGCCGTCAAAGAGCCAGGTGCCAAGCTTTTCTTTGGATCCGATTGCAGATACCAAAGATAGGATGACTCCACTTCCTGGCACGGTGCCTTGAAGACTCGGGACAAGCGCATACTGGCCAGGATGCACAAAGTTCAATGCAGCAAGCTTGATCTCATCTTTTTTGACAACCGTCCTGGTGGGCGTGTGAACGACCGGATCCGGACACAACTTTCGTGTGGTCCATACGCCGTCTCGACGTTCTGTCCAGCTCAGGCGAATATCATAGTTTTGTTCGGGTGGATCGTCTTTCGTATTTGCGGCCACTGCACGACTGGTTACCTCTAATGTGAAGAGCAAAAGTCTTCCGCGAAACATATAAGGTGCGAGGTGGCTACCGCAGTAGGGGACCTCTTTAGCATCATCATAGCTGAACGTAGGTTTTTCCTTGGCGCCGTCAGACTTGACTTTTATCCACCGCGCGATGCCGGCGATCAAGGGGATCTCGATCTTGATCTCTTCCCAGCCGGCCCAGTAGCCCGAAGCGGCTGCGGCGTACGTGAAATTGTTATAAAGATAGAGAAAAGGCGAGGCGATCGTGCGAGCGAAAACGTGAATGCGCTGCGGCTTGTATCCGTCGGCTTTCTCCACATACATAGCCACAGCTTGTACGTTGGAAATATTGGCAACATTCGAGACATAGCGCCGAATGCTCGTGTCAACGGTGTCGCTCGAGAGATTCTTCTGCATGAGCTCCGACTCGAGCTCCAAGAACTGCGGTGTCTTGTTGTCACGCAAAGCTGGATCGATCCAGTTCTCGGGGTAGAGGAAGATCTTGCGATTGGCTTCCCAAACGCGATATTTCTCCATCCAAGTCCAACGTTTGCGGTCGAGAGCATCGCTCGGCACACCACGATCTTCTTCGAGACCCAGGAAGCATCGTTGAATGAACAATTGGACGCTCGAGGTAGCTTGCACCACACGTGAGGTCTCCATCAAAGACGTCATTTGTACGTCGATGAGGAAATATTCAAAAAGGTCGTCCGCGTCATGGATCTCGTTATCTTTGGTGAGCTCCTCCTGAACCAAGAGATAGCTCACGAGAGATTGACTCTGCTTTTCTCTCAACTTGTTGTTGATCGGACGGACAGCCTTCACCCACGTATCAGCGTCGAAACGTGATTTGGCGATACGCTGGATGTCCTGAGAAACTACGTGGTATGCGGAGTATTCGTCAGATGCAGTGCCCATGGGACTCGCCCAGCCGATTAATGTAGCGATGTCGACATCGAGCTTTTGCGAGAGCTTGATCGATCGCTGGAAACGAGCCAAGATCTCCGCGTCACGGAAGTCCTTCGGCGTTCCGGTGGTGTAGTTGAGCTTGGTGAGCATGTGCGAAACGCTTTCTTCCGGCCAGCTTGTAGCGGAGCAGATTTGAAATCTCAGCTCGTCTTGCGTCGGCTTTTCATCCTTATTGTCGTCCGCCCAGCTGAACAAGTCGATCAGTGAACGCGGCGCAGTAGTCGGAAGCGCCTTTTTGAGAGCGAGGTAATTTTGGATCCTGATACATTCTTGGACATTGTGGATGCCATCGAAGTTGAGGCTGGGTTTCACATCTTGTGGCAATCCCTGCGATCTCATGAACAATACTTCGCGTGATCCTAGACGGAACGATTTGAAAAACAAAGCCAGCTTCTTCATCTTCAGGAAGATAAGATACATCTGCGCGGGTGCAAGATCTGGCAGAAGGGCAGTCTCAGGGATCGCAGAACGCTGGTTTCCACCGATCTTCCATTTGAGGTCGGAAATAGCACAGCCATGCAGCTCGAGTGTATTTAAGCTTGAGGCGTCAAGTTTCTGTGACAGCTCGCTCGACCAGATCTCTGCCTGACCTTCTTTCTGTGTGAACGTCTGACGATCATTGTTCAGGATCATGACCGCATTGTTAGCCCCAGTGCTCACCGCAAAAGAGTAAACATCGTGGATCGAGGGACAAAGGTAGCCTTTCCACCAAGCGCGGAAGGACTTCTTGGGAACATCTTCTGCCCGGCCAGTCTCAGAAGTTCGCCAGAGGAATTCATGATTGACGTTCTTCAGCCAAGATCCGGGAAGTCGAATGGCATACTTCTTATCGCTATTGAACTGGACAGGATCACTTTCGTATCTGGTGGTGCCAGATGCCTCGATGCGTTTGAAAGTGATCAGTCGGCCACTCGTTGACAAGAACAAGGATGCATCTAGTTGACTAGTGTATGAAAACTCGGTGATGCGCAGATCTTCAGGCTTCTCTGGCTGGGTCACGATGAAGACGGCCTTGACCGATTCGGGCGGCACAAAATATCCTTGCCAGCAGTTGACGCTGTCGGAAACCGACTTTAGCACGAAGTCGATTGCCGATTGTGGCGGCGCAGGTGCCAAAGAAACGATCTGATCGAGGAGAGTGCTAGAGCTTAAGTACTTTTGTTGGGTAATCGACATGATCTCTTCAATCAAGCTGAACGTGCCGGGTCGCTTGTTCACAAACCGATCATAGACATTGGCGTAGAGCTTCTCCGTCATGTCAGCGATCTTCTCTGTCCTCGACGGACCTGTCCTGCTGGTCGATCTTGCGCCAGGAGCATTGGAAATCGTTTGCGGGAGTAGTTTCTCAAGAAGTTCCGAGATTTTGTTCTTGATCACGCGCTGAGGTGCGGCTTGGGGATCGTGAGGTGTTATGACACTCTCAAGCAGGGTCCGGGCAAGATCGGCATCGCTGAACCCGGACACGGAGGCTAGAGTCTCCACAATGGAGTTATAAGTAAGTCTTCTCTGCAAGAAAGGGGTAAACTGCTCCAGAAAGAACCGTATTTTGAAAGCTGGAGTTCGTGTATCCGACTGATACTCCTCTTCTTCTTCATGGTCATCTTCGAAGGCTTCGATATCGTATTCGTCTTCGTCGCTCATGAACTCCATGTCGTCGTAGGAATAGAGACTTCGGGAATCTCGTTGAGGTTGAGAAAAGCCTCTGAACGAGCCTGCGCCAGCTTCGTGACGTACAACAACCGTCGATGGGGCACGACTACTAGCTCGTGGTAAAACATCCAGTCTCGGCTCATTCGTACTCAAGCCGTTTGCTTTGATAGCTAGGTTCTCGGCTGTGATTTTCTCTCCGTTGGCCGGTGGTGAAGGCTTGGCCGGTGACGGTGGCTTCGCCGCCGGAGCAGGGTAATCAGGAGCGAGAATGTTGCGATTCACCCCAGATATTTCCTCTTCAATGAGGCTGGCGGGTAGAACTCCCATAAGTGTCTCTTGGAAGATCGTTATCGGGTTCTGCCGGACCTGGGCAAAGCATCTCTTCCACTGTGCCTCCGAGCTTCGCGCGCTGCGCCGGCTAGACCTGCGCATACCCGAGGCGGAAAGATCGGGGTTTGCTAATAGTCTGACCGCGTCCAGGGCCAAGTTGTACTCCCTGTCGCTGAGAATTCCACACACTTTGAGCATACCCTTGGGATTATCTGAAAGCTTACTTTCAGTGGCTGTAATTTTTGCAGGCCCTGTGGCAAAATACGTGACCTTGTTGTGGGTAAGTTCCGCTAGCTTCGCGTTCAGGCTCTTAGCTGTGTCCACGTCGAGATAGGGAGCATCGGCGGCTTCCGAGGAGATCGTCCCTTGTAGCAACTGCACTACTTTCTCCACTGTGGCGTCGTCCAGGAGCTTTCCCATACGCGTCCTGGCAGTCTCAATATCATCTTTTCCAGGGCCATATTCTTTCTGAATAGCCAAGGCGCCGTCAACGAGTTGCTTTGTAATCTTGAGTGAGCCGATCTGCGTCAGCGCCAAAGTATCATTAGGCGTTGACACCGAATCCACGACGAAACGCAACTCCGACCACGGGATGCCAGAGTCGACAATTTTGCGCCAGCGTTCAAGAAAATTTAGGGTTTCGGCTGGTGTCCGACAGGGGCTCCCGCGAGCCCCGGAACCAAAGCCTTGGAAGATCTGATACAAATCATTGATCTTGACGGAAAGGATCCTGGCCAGCAAGGCATAGCTGTAGATTTGTGAGATACTCTTGAGATTGAGCTTGTCCTCGATAGCATATTTCCTCTCCTTGTCATCCGCAGTCTTGCCTAGGAGATAGTCAAGATCGGTGTTGCGAATGTTGAGAGCTGCAATCACTGTCAACCTTTGAGAAGTAATGGTTACGGAAGGGTCAGTGAAATAATTGCCATTGTTGTCAGGCTTGAACGAATTATCAATGTCTCGAAGATTACGGCGGTTGAAAAGCCGATCGTATTGAGATTTCGGGCCAGCTGCCGTTATAGGTGTCCACAAAGTCAGGATCTGCTCAATTGAAACGCCGGTGAGCTCGACAATGCGCTTGATCGCAGCCAGCTGCTCCACGGTACCAAATGAAACATCAGCCGGCGCGTGAACATGTTCTTCCTCGTCCTCGGAGGGTATATTGGAAAAATCCGAGTCAACAAAGTCGTTGAACTTGATTGCATCTTCATCGTGAGTATGAATAACGTCCGCATTAATACCACCGGGAATATCAGAAGGGCCTGGGTCACTAGAGCTTGTCGCTGGAAGTGGTATGCTCAGAGCCCTGTCAACTTCTTGAACAGACCAGGCAAGGGTGCGCCAGACTCGGGTGAAAACATGAATACGGTCCCATTCGTCGACCGAAAGCGGCGAACCATCGAGATGTACCAACCGCACATGATCGATGTTGGCAGTGCCTCCGAGGGTGGCGTCTTGCACCCAGAGGTCGTTTGTCTCCAAAGGTGACGATTTGCAGAGCACGCCTTGGATAATCTGCCAAGTCTTCCCGTCAGTAGCTTTCACGGTGAAGCTGTAATCCGGAAAGGCATTGTTGAGTGTGTAGTCTTGTGAAGGAGCGCCATACGACACCAGGCCATCGACATCGACGGAGCCTACACGCTCGCCGCTTGGCTTTCTGATGAGACCATCGGATGTGAGAGTACCGAAAAGAGTCGTTTCCCTAGATCCAGCAGCATAGATGTCCCCCGTAATTCGAAGCTTAGGGCCTTCGCCCTTTTCCAACACGGCCATTCTGCCCACGAGGGCAAAGTGCTTGGCTAGCCAATTACGGAGAGCTAAGATGTGCGGCGCTATAGCACCAGACGCAATTGGTCCAGATTTAGTATCAATGGGGAAAAATCTCATCAGCTGAGTATTCGAAGAAAGTGCTTGTGCCATCTTCTCGAACGACCGCGCATCATTCGTGTCTGTATATAATTGCAAGTGTCGATAGCTGAGATGAAGTGCTTCCACAATGAGCTTGTCTCGACCAGTCGGAAAGCACGGATTACAGAATTTGGTCTGGATGATCTCGAGTAGGTCAGCGTATTTGATTCCCAGTCGGGGCAGGAGCTCCGCTTTGACGAGACTGGCGCCCGACTCTGCAGACGTGAGTTCCTGAATGGTCTTGAATCCCCAGTACTGCCAGGGATCTTTAAGGCCGATTCGACGACGATACGCCTCATCTGCGACCTCCTTGAGGCCCTCAGTATGGGCGAAGTGCTCCTTCTGCCAGAACACGCCTTTGGTCCAGATGAGAAATTCTTCCTGGCACAATCCAAGTACTTCGCAATACTCTTGAGCGCGTAAAGCTCGCTCTTGGAGTTTGACCAGGCGCTCGTCGGCGTCGTCGTCCACATCGTTCTGATCATGCTTGTGAGAAATGGCAGCTTGACCTTTTCCAAGCTGTAGGCGTTTGGTGCCATCGATGAGCTCGGAAGCTTTCGGTCGAAATTCTTTGACAAGCTCAGCCCTAGTGACTCCCAGAAAGGAGAGAAAAGCGCGCTGTGCGTCCAATGGCTGATGATAAGGAAGACTGGTTGGATAAACAGCACTTGCCAGTTGCCGATATGCCTCACTTTTGAAATTCTGGGGTTGGGAGAGAAGGTCTTCCGAATCGCGACCATTCACATTGTATGCATCAATGATGTTTTGTCGGGGCTGGGATACGTCCTTCTTGTACTCCGGCAGGTGAACAACGAAGGATTCTAACACTTCATTGACCAGATCTATGTAGGGAAGGATTGTTGTAGTATTGTCCGCCGAGAGGTCCATATGCAAAAGGTCGGGTCTACGTCGGTGAAGTCGTTGCAGCACGGTACCAGAGATATCGGCCTCCACGTCTGCCGGACTATTGTCAAACTTGTACTTTCCTTTTGCTGGTACTTGGAGATAATGTAGTAAGTCGACGAAATATGCAGTCGGGCTGTAGACTGTTTGGTTTTCATTTATGACTCGGTAGTCAAGTGGTCCCAAGAGGCTCTCCAAGTCAGGATTCATGCCGTACTGTATCAGCTTATCTCTGACTATGCGTACGCGCGAAGCTCGATTGCCCACAGCAAGAGTCGGCTCGGCCATTGAAGACATAGCAGCGGAGCGAATATTCAATGCCCGCTCTCGATTTGCTTGAGTAATGAAGGTCGCCAAACGCTTTATCTCAGCGATCTCATCTTTGGACAATCCCGGAAGCGTCGCCTCTAGATTGGGCAACGAAACACGCGAAACAGCAGCTGCAGACGAGGCACCGACCGTCCACAGCGCAACAAGAGCTGCTGGAGTAGGGCTGAAGCTTTGAAGCCTGCCCAAACGCAAAATCTGGTCTAAGATGAGCTGTCGTCTTGGGCCAACGATACCGTCCATGAGGCGCGCGTCCTCGAGTAACTTTCGTTTCAAGGGTGCTGATGCCAGGGCATTGTCGTCCAATCGTTTCAACACCGAAACTAGGTCGGTCCTTGTGGCTTCATTGTCTGTCAACAGCTCCCCTCGATTTACCATTCCTTGGATGAATCCTGTAGGTTGGGCCAGGAAAAGGGCCGTTCCAAGCGAACGTGAGAGCGCGCTGTTGCCGTTGACATATTTCAGCAATTCGTCTTTGTTTGCTTGCACGGCATAGTCCCTCAGGGAGGAAAGCTGGAGGTCTTTCTTCAGAGTGTCGAGAAGTACGTGCGAAGCATCACTGCCGACACCTGGCTTTGGTGATGTCTCTGGTGTCGTCGGTTTATTGTTGGCGGTATCTGCAGGAACTGTTCCACCTTCTGTAGCCATTGTGCAATGGCGACGATGAGAAATTCGGGTATAGGTATAGGTAGCTCAAAAAGTCTCCGAACGAATCTCTGGGAAGATTTGTCAGTAGCATTAAGGATCAAACTTGGACATCGATGAGAGATAGAGATTTATTGAAAGGCCCTTCTTGAATAGCTACGATCAAGGGACTGCCCAATTCTCCCTTCCCAATGGCGTGGCTTCTTCGACGACCGGATGCTATGCTTGGATACTACCACTGTCATTACCTTGGCAGAACAGCGCCTCCTGTCGGAAGCTACGACGACGAGTACACAGTACATATGTGTAACTGTACATCTACCTGTAGGCATCAGGCCTGTTGCGGCCAAGTATCGTAACTCCGCGCAGATGCAGGAGCTCATTGTAAGGGTCCTGCATAGCCACGTGCATGTTTTGGGGAAGTGACATTGTGATAGTGTATCACAATCGACGCCTCGCTCGGTGTTTCCGATGGGCTGATGGTAATGCATACGAAATCAGTATTATTGATGGGGTGTCTCTTGGCCATCTCCTGATGTTAAATCTAGGTGTTTTGTAAGAGCTGTGTGTTTACTGTGGCTGGCTGAAGGCTTGTGTCCCCCGCGCAGGATGCTGCAAGCTGTTTCGAGATCCAGACAATCCCCCGAAGCGAGACTTATAACCCGTATGTGGGAATAATGTCATTCTTGCATGCATGTGAACTGACGGACTTGCCTTTCGGCGGTATGCCTAGCAAGGTCAAGATGAGTGTAACGACATCGAGAGGGTTCGTGTTCCGATCGTTTGCTGCACAAAACCCCTTTGTGCTCGACATTACAGTATCGTCCAGAAGCAATAGTATAGCGTAAGGAAGCTCGTATAGTACACCGTACTTTCCCATCGTTCTGCCACAGTCGCGAGGTTGAAGAACTTACTGTGAGAAGTACCTGCCTACCTAGATAGGATGAGAGCACCTTTGCCTGAATCAAATGATCTTTCCTTCGTCGAAGCACAAATAAGTGGGCAGCCTGTCTTCGCTATCCTCCAACCACGATGACCCGATCATGCTATGGGACGTGGCTCTCCCGCACCACAAGCCAGGCGATCTACTGCATAAAACATACGATGTGGTGCGATTGCGGACCTGCGGAGTATACACTTGAGAATAGTGACAGGTAAGAGCTCGCTTACCATGAATCTGAGCGCATCAGGAACGAGCACACCGCACGATATGCTGTCGACTCCTTACACTGTAGAGATGGTTCTCTTCCGTAGCGCCACACGCGCTCATTCCGAATTGGTGGCGTCGTTAGGTACTCGTGCCTCTGCAAGCAAATATGCATCATGAGATCTCGTCGATACTTGGTATGCATTAGTGGTGCCTCATACACAGCTTGAGGACAATGGGTGCTGCTCTTGAATGTCGCATACACAATCATCACCGTCCATAGTTCCGATCCTGGCCTGGTACAGCTGCTGGGCAAAGGAACATCGCAGGGGCAGTGAGTTTTGTGCAAGTTCATCTTGCTAGACCTCAAGCCCAGCTTTGGGCTGTGTTTACAAAAAAATTGCCAATTGCTCATTGAAGGTAAGTATCGCTTTCGTGCTTCTTGACTTTGTGCTTACTTGTGCTTGTCGCCGGTAAATTTGTCAACATTTCCATCATTGACGACTCACGATCTCGAGTGGATGAAGGCAATCCGCTGCTCTTCTATTCAATCAACTCTGCAGACAAGCCTCCACTTCGTTCCAGGATACAGTGACAAACATGGCAGAAGACAAAGCAGGCGAGACTACTACATCGACGGGATCAAGCAACGATGCATCTTCCACCTTTGGCCCCCCGCCGGCCATTGTGGCACCTTCGGGAGGCGGCACTCTCAGAAGCATGGGAGATAGCTTCGCGATGAACAATTCTACAGGAACGGGCTCTTACTCAATACCCATCAAGATCACTGCGGGTCGCAACGATTTTCCGACATCTCTAAGTCTTCGGTATAGCACTGGGCAGGGAAATGGTTCATTCGGAATAGGCTGGAGTCATTCATTCGAGCAAGCCATAACTCGCAAGACCAATCCCTCGCTCCCGAGATACATCGATGATGACGACTCGGATGTCTTCGTACATTCCACCTTTGGTGATCTCGTTCCTTGTCTTGAGCGTCAGGGTCGCGAAGTTGGGCCCGTCTTCGTCAAAGTTCCTGATAAATATACCGTCAAGCAATATCGTCCACGATTTGAACAATCATTCTCACGTATCGAGCTCTGGACGAGCGTTGAAAATCGGCATGACAGCCACTGGCGTGTCTTTTCGCCTGACAATGAATTATCGATTTATGGAAGGAATACCGACTCAAGAATATCCTTTGATCAATCTTCCTCGAGGACCTTTTCATGGCTCTTATCAGAGGAATACAATTGCTATGGAAATGTCCGACAATTCTTTTACAAAGCCGAAGATGACAGCAACATTGATTTTTTTAAAGCCTGCGAGTCAAATCGCAACAAACAAGTACGAAGCCGCATGCGTTATCTCAAGAAAGTCTGCTATGGAAATCGTCAGCCGGTCGCAATGGGATCCTTGACTAACGGCTCCAAGACCTCATTCATGTTTGAGATCATCTTTGATTATGGCGAGCATGATCAATCCGTCCCGACTACCGAGGAGAAGAATCCTTGGTCTGCGAGGAAAGACCCGTATTCATCATACCGGTCTGGTTACGAAGTCCGTTGCTATCGCGTTTGTATGCGAATTCTCATGTTTCATCACATTCCAGAAGAATTGGGCTGTTCCGACTATCTCATTCACTCGACTGACCTAATGTATCACGAGTCGGTTCATTGCTATAAGCTGAAGTCGGTGCAAAGCATTGGATACATTGCAAGTCCTCAATTGCGTCCGAGCGACACACCTGTGGCAGTGGAGCAATACGAAAAGCAAGGCTTGCCTCCTTTGCAATTCGAATACACTCGTGGTGTGACAAAAGAAGAGTTGCAAGCTGTTCAGCCAAAGTATTGTTATGACATTGAGAGCTTTTCCGATATCGCGTCGTTAGGTTCAAGTACGGTCTCATGGGTTGACATCATGGGAGAGGGTATTCCAAGTGTCCTGATCACATCTGGAGACGAATGGTATCTGAAGCAGAATTTGAGTGCTGCAAGCCGTTCTCGACAAAGCACGACGGTAGCCAACACCTACGAACTTCGTCTGAGCGCCCTGAAAAGCATCCCGATTCGTCCGTCGTTAAGGGGACAGAATGTGTCTTTGCAAGACGTCGGTGCCAACGGAAGTCTGGACTTGCTGTGTCAGGACGACACTACGCAAGGATTCTTCAAAAGCCGGGCGCCAGAGTCTAGAACCGGTGAGGACCTGATTGTCTGGGATGAGTTCAAGCTTTTCAGTCAATACCCGAACTTTGATTCGGCTACCTTTGTTCGGCATCTAGATATGACCGGAGATGGAACAGCGGACGCGTTGGTGTTTGCGAATAACGAGCTGATGTGGTATCGATCGCTAGGCGAAACAGGATATGATCCGCCCAGTCGCGTTGTTGTCGCCCCTGGAACTCTCGATTCGCCCGTTGTACTTTTGTCTCAAGAAGACCAATCGATATATCTGGCGGATATGAGCGGAGATGGCCTGTCAGATCTCGTACAGATCCGCAATGGACTGGTGAGGTACTGGCCCAACACAGGGAATGGCACCTTTGGCGAAGCAGTCCACATGGACGCAAGTCCCGTCTTCGACGACGATGCAGCCTTCTCGCCGACTAAACTTTACCTAGGCGACATTGATGGCTCTGGTACCACGGATCTAGTCTACAATCGTGATGGTATCGTCACGATATACTTGAACGAGTCAGGCAACGGCTTCAGTACACCTATCGCGTTGTCAACGATGATTCCACATACACAAAACCATACTCTCTCCATGATCGATCTCTTCGGCAATGGGACATCGTGCCTCGTGTGGTCCTCGGATCTCCCTTCACACCAAGGCCAAACATCACTACAATACATCGACCTTACAAAAGGCCTCAAGCCACATCTCCTCTGCAAAGCGTCGAATGGCCTCGGGGCGGTATCAGAGTTCTCATATGCTCCTTCGACATCGTATTATCTTCGAGACAAGATGAGCGGAAGCCCATGGCTCACTCGTCTCCCGTTCCCGGTGCATTGCGTTGATACGGTTGCCAAGACCGACCTCATCACCGGTCGAAAGTTTGTACAGCGGTTTTCGTACCATCATGGTGCATATGACCATGATGACTGCGAGTTTGCAGGCTTTGCTATGGTCGAGCAATGGGACACAGATCTATCGTATGTTGTGGCAGGTACTGAAGATGCATCGAACTGGACTACGGGTCTAAACAGCGAGCCTGCTCACACAAAAGCTTGGTACCACACGGGTGTCTTGAGTCATGACGAGCTTCGCGTGTCTCTCGCCAGAGAGTATCATCGCCCGCTCAGTACCGTATCATCCTCCACGTCCTCCCCGGAGGGTAGCGTAGGTTACACGTCCTCCATGGAGGATGACATAGTCTATGAACAAGGCGATATCACTGCTGAAGAAGCTAGACAAGCAACACGCGCGCTCAGGGGCACATTATTGAGGGAGGAAGTATCTGCAGGGGATGCAAGCCTGACGTCGAGCCCACCATACCAGATCAATGACCATGCCAGTACAATCAAAATTCTGCAACGCTGCCTTCGGAGCGGAGTGATGGCCGTCATTCACAAGAGTGACAGAGAGTCTGTGGTCACGAACGTGGAGCGACAGACGAATAGCGAACCGAAGATCAGTCACTCCATGGTTCTCGCTCGAGACAAGTACGGTAGAGTAACAGAGGAGGCTCAAATTCATTACGGCCGCAATAAACCGGACTTGTCATTATCGGCCACAGACCAGAATATTCAAGGCAAGACAACCATAGAGTACACGTTCACAGAGTTCACGAAGGACGTCTACGATCCAGGTCGAGTATATCGCTTGCCCGCCCCGCTATCAATGAAGAAATTCGCTCGAGAGATAACTCTCAATAAGGATAAGCGATATGTGCCCTCGGAAATTCGCGGCATGTTCAAAGATTCTGAAAGCAAAGACAGCAATTTGAGGCAACTTGTATCACATACCGAGATACGTTATCGTAAGGACGACCTGACGGATGTGACAAACACGCTCGAATCTCTAGCACTTCCTGGAGCTGCCTACCATCTTTGTCTTACGCCTCAAATGCTTGCAGAATGGAAGCCGCCGACGAAACTGCAAGACCCGGCATTGTGGTACGACACTCTCATTGCCGAAGGTGGTTATGTCAATCTGAAGCAAGATGGAAATCTTTGGGTAAAGGAGAATGGTCCTTTGTATCACCCGCAGCCTGGAGCAACGCCTAAAGATGAACTTGCGCTAGCATCGTCGGCTTTCTTCAGCCCGCGCCGCTTCGTCGATAACTATGGCAATGTGTCAAAGATTGACTGGGACTCCTTCTACCTAACGCCTACCGCCATGATCAATGCCTTGAACGAGGGCATCATGAGCATCACCGATTATAGAGTGCTTCAACCTCGACAAATCATCGATATCAACGGAAACCAGACACGATTTGCATTCGACCCGCTTGGGAATCCCACGGCAACTGCAGTCTCTGGTAAAGGCGGGGAGGGTGACTCATTAGATCAGTCAACCATTCCGCTGTCACAAGATCAGATCAATACTTTCTTCGACGATCCATTGGCCGCAGCTCCACGTCTCCTAGGTAAGGCATCAACGAGGGTTATCAATGACATCTGGAGCTTCAGCACGAATGGCAGGAAATCGCCTGTGAGGACAGCTCAAATATCGCGCGAGGTTCATGCTTCCACCAGCGTCGAAAGTCCTGTGCAAATCGTGATCGACTACATCGATGGCTTCGGACGATCGATCCAGAAGAAAGCAATCGCGGAAGCGGCGCAGGATACTCCAAATATATCTCGTTGGCGTTGCACGGCGTGGCAAGTGCTGAACAACAAGGGGTTGGTCGTGGAGAACTTCGAGCCCTTCTTTGACAACTCTTCAGCTTTTGTGCTTGGTCGGAAGGAGGGTGTCAGTACACTTCATGCATATGACGCGATGAGCCGCGAAGTGGTTACTATATCGCCAAACCGAACATGGACTAAAAGCATCCCGACCCCGTGGGATAGCACCGTTTACGACGCTTCCGACACGCTCGAGTTACCGCTGGAGAAAGACGTGTATGCCATGAGTTTTCTCAAAGATCTCTCAGAAGACCGCCTTTCGCCTAGTTGGCTCGAGCACCGAATGACGTTGCCTGATGGTAACCGGGAGAAACAAGCTGCCAAACAAAGTCAGGCATATGGTTGTACGCCATCGACAACTCATATCGACGCCAAGGGCCGCCCCTTTCTCGTGCAAAAGAAACTGACGGACTCTCAAAATACATTTGTTCGCACAGTCTTCAATCATGTGGACAAACCTGCAAAAATCCAAGACACTGGGGGTCGTTTCGTCAGCGCCACCTCGTATGATCTGCTTGGACGACAGATCCATCAACTTGCATTGGATTCTGGAGAGTCTTGGATGCTGCACACTGCTTCAGGCGAGGCTTTCCAAACATTCAATGACCATGGTGGTCGCCTTCGCAATGTGTACGATAAACTTCGCCGGAACATCGCGGTATTTTGTCGGACTGCTTCCACATCAAAGGAATATATGATGACCAAGACTACTTACGGCAGTAGCTCCGAGTTCAACAACAAAGGCCATGTTGTCCGCAACTACGACCAGTCTGGACTTACCTCTACACCTCATTGGGATTTCAAGGGAAATTGCTTGTCTAAAGACGTTCAATTGGCAAAGCAATATTCCACCGAGCTTGATTGGCAGCGCGACAACCCTCTTGAGGATGCCATATATCGTACTGCGTGTCGCTACGATGCTCTGAATCGTATCACTTCTTGTATTGCACCAGACGAGACTGTGACCAAGACGACCTACCTCCGAGGCGGGCTCGTCGGCTCAACACAAGTCAATATCAGAAGTGAAAAAGATGTCAAAGGCTGGAAATGGAAATCAGTGACCAGCAACAAGCAATACGATGCTCATGCAAGACTGATATCGGAGACTCAAGGTAACGGTACTGTGGTCAAAGTTGAGTTTGATCCTCTTACACAAGCAACGTCGCGGAGACAAGCTCAATTGAAGGGAGTCGTTCTTCAGGATATTTCTTTCACGAGAGACGTCCAACAACGCATTACGTATGCGAGTCGAACATCGCAAGTTCCGGACATTGTTCGGCTCGCTGGGAGCGCTGATTCAGCATATGTGTACGACGCTTTGGGTCGATTGATCAAGTCTACCGGTCGCGAAGACATTGCTCAGTCAAAGGGCAGACCGGATGCCCCTGGTACCGAAGGGCTGAAAGCAGATTCCACTGGCATGAGGAGATATACTGAGGACTACACTTATGACATCTACAATAATATGCTGAGCATCGACCACAAGATCGAAGATCCGAAATATTCAGGCTGGCTGCGGAAAATGACTTATGCCGAACAGACCATCCTTGGAGAGACGTTCACCGGCAATCGGTTGGCGACATCCACGATCGGTAAGACTACGGAAAAGTATGAATACGACAGCGCCGGCAATACGATCTCAATGCCGCACTTGTCCAAGGTCAGCTGGGATATTCTCAATCATATGCGAAGTTCCGCAACGCAAATGACCTCATCCGGCGTGCCAGAGACGACCTGGTACGTCTACAACTCGGCAGGCGAACGGACTCGCAAAGTCACCGAACGATATCGAAGCGCGAACGAGCCTGTCCGCAAGCTGAGCGAGCACATCTATATCGATGGCTTTGACGTCTATCGCGAGTACGGAGGAAGAGGTGTCGAGACGAAATCTTGCGAGAGTGTGCGCGTGCTAGAATCCGAACAACCCCTACTGATCATCGAGCACTGGTCCGATCGCGGCAGCACGCCACTCATGCGATATCCGATCGCCGACGAACATAGCTCCATCAGCCTGGAGCTCGACGACACGGGACAGATGATCTCATATGAGGAATATTCCGGTTTTGGTGGCACAACACATCGGACCCTGCGCAAGAATATTCCCAAGCCTTTCCGCTTTGCCACCAAACGTCGAGATCAGGAAACGAGTCTTTACTATTTCGGAGGTCGATACTATGCCCCTTGGCTGTGTCGATGGATGAGTCCCGACCCATCCGGGTTGGTCGATGGCACGAATACATACATCTACTGCGGTGCAGATCCGGTCAATCACGTCGACCCCGACGGTCATACGAGGGAAGGCCAGACTAACCAAGAAATCCGACCGCCTGCCAATCATCCACTGTCAAATGCAAGAAGGAGACTGTTGAGTGGATCCAGTGACAGCAGTCCTGCCCCGCCCCAACCCGTGAGGAACTCTGTGGACCGTCCCCGACCTGCACCCTTTGGAGGCAATCTTCTCGCAACAACCCAAAGAAACATCAACGCGCATGCAAGGCAGCAGATGTTCAATGGCGGGAACCCCATCTACATCATCGCGCTGATGGCGAGCTCGAGGGCAGTCGGTCACCTCGATCTCGCCCTGGCGCCGACCCACAGGCGATTGACCAGCCCGATGTACCGCGCCGGGCCCGACGACGGCTTCCTCGGCCGCCTCGCGGACAACATCACGCCTGCGGACCTCGGCCAGACCGCGATGGTCAAGTACGCCGTGATCGCCAGCGTGGGCCAGCTCGGGAAGCAGGTGCTCCAGCGGCTGCCGATGCAGCGGAACCCGCTGATCGCATTCAAGATCGCGACGTACACCGGCCTCACGGGCTGGCTCCTCCAGTCCTGGGCGGACCGGAAGGCCGACGACTACTTCGGCAAGACGCCCGCGAGCAAGATCGTGGACCCGGCGGCGTTCGGCTACCTGGCGATCCGGGGCGCCGCGGACCTCCGCACCGCGATGCAGTCCGGCGACGGCGTGAACATCGGCCAGGCCCTGGGCAGCGCCAAGGCGGCGCTCCTCACCGCCCCGAAGGACGTCCGCGACCTCAAGGCGAGCCACGATGCGGTGAACGAGAGACATCAGGAGAAGCATCAGACGCGACGGTAGGGAATTCGGGGACGACCAGTCTGTGGCCGGAGGGGCTGGGAAGACAGATGAAGATACGTGACAGGAATCTATTCTCATTTCGGTTTGACCCTATCCATCATACCTATGCGAGGGGGTTTCCAATATAGAAATGTTTATGCTTTTTGGCCGTTCAGCTTTTCCTTTCTCTCTTTCTCTCCCTCTCTCTTCTAATTCTTTTTTCGGCATGTCAAAACACACCCTCCATCAACTCCAAAAGAGAGGAAAGAATGATGACGGAGCAGGACATCTACCCTCCCATTTTGTCCTATTCTTTCCATACCTCCTCCGTTCTCCATTTCCTCACCCCTCACCCCTCACCCCTCACCCCTCACCCTCGCCATCCCCTCCTACTGTAATTCAGCATCGCCCCTACTCCAGAAACGTGAAGAGGTTGGTGTGGACGACGTTCAGGGCGCGGTCGGTGTCGCGCTCGGCGATGACGCAGGAGATGTTGATCTCGCTGGCGCCCTGGGAGATCATCTCGATGTTGACGCCGTTCTCGCCGAGGGTGGAGAAGAACTTGCCGGAGATGCCGATCATGGTGCGCAGCTGGCGGCCCACGAGCGAGATGATGGCCATGTTGGGGAGCAGGTCGATGTCGCCGAGGCCCTGCAGCGCGTCGACCGCGCCTTGTAATGCGGCGGATTCGATGTGCAGGTCGTCGGGCTCCCGCTGCGCCGAGCCCGGGCTGGCCGGGTGCGGCAGGCAGGAGAGCAGGCTGCGCTCGGAGTGCAGCGCCATGGATACGTGGACTTCCGAGGAGGAGATGAGGTCGACGGAGAGGTGGAACTGGTCGAGGACGCGGAAGATGGAGGCGAGGAAGCCGTGGGCGCGGGTGCGCTTCTTGCTGTGCACGTTGAGGACCGTGATGCCGCGTTTGATGGTCACGGCCGTGGGCCGTTTGGGCTGTTTCCCGGCGGCGGACGATTTCGCGAGCAGGTAGCTGAGGCTGCGGCTGCGGAAGAAGCCTTTGCGTGGGTTGTTGATCACGCCGGGCGTTTCGGTCGGGTCCGGGCGCACGATGGTGCCGTTCCCGCGGGGGTTCATGACGTTCTTGATGCGGATCGGGATGCTGGCGCGGATGACTTGGTCCATGGTGAAGGGGTGGATAACTTCGGAGCCGTAGAAGGTCAATTCGGCGGCTTCGGCGGGGGTGACGCTGTCGAGGAGGCGCGCCGTGGGCACTTTCCGAGGGTCGGCGGTGAAGATTCCGTCGACTTCTTTCCAGATTTGAAGCTCGCGGGCTTTGAGACCGACGGCGGTCAACGCTGCGCAGAGATCGGTGTATCCTCGTCCCACCTCTTTCAGGAGACCTCCTGGGACGCAACCGAAATATCCAGTGATGACGGGGACCGTGTCCGGACCTAGCGCTGCGATCTTTTTGGCGATGGCTTCGCCGAGTTGTTGATAGAACGTCTCATTCAGGTTTTCGCCCATGGCCGGGCTGATCACATCGCTGAGGTCGACAAATGCTGCAGGCACCCCACGCGTCTGCAGTAACGCGGCCATGTATAAACAACTCAGCTTTTCGCCGACCGAGATGACCATGTCCTCCGTTCGATCCGTGACGGCGCGGAGGTACTGCGCGGCCTCGAGGATTTTGAGCAAGGTCTGACATTCCGCATTGACGGCCTTGCTGTAGGCCTCGTAGATCTCGCTGTGCGTGGCGGATCCCCAGATGTTACAGGCATCTTTGCCGGCCTGGAGGTGGTCGTTTTGGATGGTCTCGACGATTTCGCGGAATTGACTCGAATGCGGGTCGAGAACGTCATGGGCCGCACGGACGAGTCGGGTGGTGGTGCCTTCGCTTTTGATGGTGGAGCTTCGGGCGGAACAGACGACGGCTATTCTGTGTCCCGGTTTAAGGCCTGCTCTGCTGTATTCAGTACGATATTCATGATGGATGAGACCATTGTGGTGGCTTTGTTGAGAAGATATGATGTGAATGACGGAGTATGAGCATCGGTGGGGTTCGCGGTCCGTCTCTGCCGCGTGTTTCCAATGCACGGTTATGCGCCTTTGCCGAGGCGGTGCCGCAATTTCTCTCTTTTCTGCGCAGCCCGCCGCGAATTGGATGACTCTCATTCCGAATGCAGGACCAATTGTCTCAATAGCAAACTTACAATATAATGTCCTCTGCAATTTTCAAAGGGAATTTTCCTACACTGGTCCCGCCGAATTTCTGAACAATCCAATTGTTGGCTTTCGGCATGTCTTGTGGAGGGAGATATGGTTTCTGGTTGACGATCTTGGCGGGTCTCTGCGAGATGATGCCATTGATGAAGCGGGTCGCGTCGAGCTGCGGATGCTCTCTTCGGATGACTTGGAAGTCCATGGTGTATGTGTGATTGGGAGAAGTTGTTCTGACGAGCAATCCCAAAAAAAAAAGGGAATCACCGGGTCCTTTTCTTCCGTTTTGCAAGACGGGACGAGTCGTAGGAGGATGAGTGGTGGCGCGGGGACAATCGGGAGGAGGAGCGCCGAGAGAGAAATTGGAAGAGACGAGAGGATCGCGAGTGGATTGAGATCGAAGTTGGTATTAGTGGTGGAATTGTCGTATGTACAGAGAGTGGAGAGGAAAGGGAGGATCGTTTTGAGAGACCGTGTGAGTGCGTGAGGATGTAGAGAGAGAGGAAGAGAGAGCGGGAGACGCGTGATGAGTCTTGTGGTGGTGGTGGTGGTGGTTGAACGAAATGTCTTGCGGGGCCCGCGATGACTATATAACTTCACCACACACTGCAGTATTACATTCCAATGGAGTCACTCGTTCGTTCAGCCAATGCGAAAAGGAAGGAGACCAATGAGTCAATGCTATCCTGAGGGACAGTGACTGATTTGATCTCACATACCCACTCCTACAGTATGACAGTACAGCACGGCACAGCACAGTATATGCAGGACAATACTGTGGTGGTCTCTCCCTCGTCGTCGACGTCTGACTGTCTGACTGTGCCGAAAGACTCGGGATACTTCGGCCGTATTAACATTATTGAATTCCACCCAGGCGCGGCTTTGGGCGTCATTGCCGCCGAACCCTGCTCCACTCGACCTTTTGATACAGCAACAAATGATGACTGTACATGGTATTTCTGGCCACAATTCCCAAACAACGTTCTTCATCCACACAGATCGCCTGTGGTCCATGCGAAAAACATTGGGAAATACCATCCGCCTCCCTCATGGCGCTATATTACGTGTGACCCTCTCCGCGGTTTGTGAGAGAGAGAGAGCGAGGGAGCTGGCATTCCATCCTCACTGTCACGAGACAAAAAAAAGAGCCCTGAAAGAACCACCCAGTCCCCCCGAAGCTTGCACTAACTACCACTACCAAATAGAGAAAAGAAACAGTTTGGTCACTACGGAACAGCCGAGGCGCACTTCGCTCTGCATGAGAGTCTGCATACGAACGAAAAAAAGGCCGCCAGGGGAGTCATCATCATCACCATCATTGGGTGTGAGTGATGATTCGGGCCTGTGGGTGGTTTTCCTGACTGGACCGGGTTTGGGCCCTTTCGTCCACTCACCCTTGTCCTCGCGATCGCCATCATTTTGGTGTGTCGTCGGCTCGAGGGACGGCGGGCAGCAGCGAACGGGCCGTCGAAAGGGCTTTTCTTCTTCTCGCGTGAAGTCGGAACGAGGGTCATACAATATACAACACACAATGCTGCCGCTTCTCCCAGGTGTTCGCGTTGCAATCATGGGTGTGAATGTGTACTGGATGCATTGTCGTGCAATTTGGTAGTCAATGTCCTCCTCCATTTAGAGTCCAATCCGTGAAAAGGGCCACCGGGGCCACCACCAATGCTCCCTTGGTGTCAAGTCGGCCCCTCGGCTCCACATCGATCACTACTGCTGCTGCCGCTGCTGCTGACAGGGTTTTGGATTTCCCAACCGTGACTCGGGCTCCCCTGCAATCGATACACAAACCCTTTTTTGAAACCAACTCGGCGCGAGTGAAATTGCGCATTATGGATCTCCTATACAGAATCACAAGGCGACGACCATACTCTTCTCTTCTACACAACAGAGTATCGCCGTAGACGGTGAATACATCAAATGAAGATGCGACCAACGTCCGAAAAGTGAAATGGGCCGAAACTCCCGAAAGAACCATCTAGCATCCCTTGCCGTTGCAAAATCACGAAATAGGGCTGGTCGTCATCGTCACCTGCACGGATGGATCTCCATGTGGTGGGCGTCGAAATCGCGCAAAAGACAAACGGTCGGGAAGTTCGGGTAAGGTGAGGAAGGGACGGTTATTAGTTACAGTACAGTACAGTACAGTACAACGCCCAGGCTTTTTGGCGGCGTCCCGACGGGTCGAAATGATGAGCGGACATCACGACTTCTTCCGAGAGGGTCGCAACATGGGGCCCGTTTCATGTTCGTGTGTTGTAGGAATTGTCGCTCTGCATATGGTACTGTATGTCAGCCGACGACAGATGGGTTGACTGCTGCTCTATGGAACAAGTTTGTATGTAGCTATTTATCACATGCGCATTGTATCTTTCTTGTCTTGAAAGCGATTGTTTCGTCGTACCACTCGAAGGGAGGGGCCTGCCAAATCATTGGAGAAGCCATGCGTTTGAAGGATTTGTCTTCACGACCATGCGGCATGCCTTGCATATGCGGCATGCACTCATCACTACCCTGCACTGCGAATATTTCCTCTACCCCAGGAGACCAGTCGATCTCGAAGCCAGTCACACAGAGAAAGACGAGGCATGATGTCATCTTGCTCACATCCGTCGCACCAGCATCAAGATGGACGCCATGATCGCGATGGTATAGACGATGCGAAAATGCCAGCATTGCGACACGGTTGCTATTGCTGCTGCTGATGCTTTTTGCCCGAAGGACTGCGAGCGACTCTCATCACCACCGACGCCCGCGGGAGTGGCTTCTGCACTCTACATGCCGTATTCTGTGAAGGTCTTGCGGAGAATCGCTTCTGTGAGAAAAGCTGTGAGCGATTCTCATATGCGGACTGTCGCTTTGGTGGCAGCGGCGCGGGACCAATTTGAGCACTGTGTTGATCGTACCCATCGAGCGTCTCCACCAGTAGCTCACCTTTGCCTCGCTGCCGAGGTCGCCAGCCTTGGATGGCACGCTGGTAGGCGGCATCGAATTCTTCGCGGTACTCCTCGTGGGTGAACCATTCGTGCTGTAGGGCAGCGGAAGCAGTCAACCGTGCCATTTCATCGATTGTCAGACAGCCCCTGATAAACGATCTTGCCGCCTCGCTGATGCGACTCCATGCTTCGTTCCCACTGAGGAAGGCGACGTAGGCTCCATACCCGGACTTGCGAGATGCATCATGTTTCTGTAGCTCTTGCCCGGGGACGACGGGATCAGAGGAGATGAGTACACGCACGATGCAGCCTATAGACCAGATGTCCACGGCTTTGCTGTAGCCTATGTTGTCTTTGTACGGAAGCGTCATGGCTCGGTAAAGTTCGCTGAATTGTCAATATGATGAGCTCTCAGGCAATGAAGGACATATGAAACACACAACAATCACTTACGGTGCAATATACCCACATGTTCCGGCAGCAGATTGCATGCGAGCAAGTCGCCCGTCCTGCCTCGCTCGGCCATTGTCGAGAAAGCGTGCTTGGCCGAAGTCTGTCAGCACGATCCTTGCGCCGTGCCTCGACGAGGTCATCAGGACATTCTCGGGCTTAACATCACGATGCACGATCTTGTTGTTATGCAAATAATTGACTGCTTCAAGCAATTGCTTCGTTATCATCGCAGCGTGGGCCTCGATGAGGGGAGCACGCAATTCAATATACGAAAGCAGATCCCCACCTGTGACGAGCTCTTGAAAGATGTAAATGTTGCTCGTGCTGCAGAATACCTTTTCTACGTGGATGATGTTCGGATGGCTGAGATTCTTAAGCACAGTGTACTCCCTCGCGAGCATCTCGCGTTTCCGTCGGAGCAGTGTCATGTTTACTATTTGCTCGCTTGCATCCGATGCGGTCGCTTGCTCCGGAGCGTTCCTCACAATCTTACAGGCGAGTTGTTTGTGACTATTGACATTGGTCGCGAGGTAGACACCTGCGAACCCACCTAATCCCAGCATTCGATTCGTGACGACGAATCGATTTGCGAAGCGTTGCATCTCCGCTTGACGAAGCTTACTGTGTGGGAGATTCTTCGACGGGTAGTAACCGCTACATCGATACGTGAGGGAGATCCGCCGAGTCAGTTGCAAGCTATCACCATCGCTCAACAGGACATCTTCGTCGCCGGGCTTCACTGAAACTGCTGCTGAGCCCTTGCCGAGACCCGCATGAGTAAACATGATGCCGTTTGACGACAAGACTTGAACAGATACCATTGGCGGCACGCACTGTTGGACGTCATCCTCGTACATGACACAGCGCACGCGTGTGTGATGTTTTGAAACGGCTTTCGCTGTGATGCCTAGGATATCTTCGACGACATCTCGGCCTATGTCGATTTCTTCTCTTGGCCAGACTAGACGAGGCCGGGAAGATATGCTTGGAGTGTCTACTTCCGCTGATCGACATATGTTTGCGTCATGAAACACGAAATATCCTACCGGGTTCACAATGGATGCCTGCGAGATAGACATGTCCGCCGAGATGATCGTCGTGCTCTGCGTGGAAATATCGCGCATGTAGAATCGTGACCAGAAATAAATAACGCGTCTGCGAGTCGACCATCGCAATCGATAACGCGTCAAATTCCAAGGACCCTCGAATTCACTTGTCTCCCACGTGATTGCCGATGACGCTTCGCCAAGACCCAGCCCGCCAAGAAAGTGTCTGTGCACGCTCGCACCCACTACATCGTCAATTCACAGTTGGAGCTTGAGATTCTGCTTTGATCATCCAACATCATTCTCATCCTAGGCAAAGGTACGTCGCTCGATGGTGATCCGCGATGATTGCCACTGCGAAATACTAACAATTCAACCCATAGTCAGCTAGCCAAGATGAGAGCCAAGTGGAGGAAGAAGCGAGTTCGCCGCCTGAAGCGTAAGAGAAGAAAGACTAGGGCCCGCAGGTGAGTTTCCAATTGCCGATGCAGCATCCTCTACATCCAAGGGGCAACTCCGGATCAACAACGTACTGACATGATGCTCAGCAAATAAACAACTCGCCGACTTCAGATGAACGACCATGACGAATTCCCTTTCGCAATAATCATCCAGTCACGCGACCAATTTCAAACTTAAAGGCCATACACAAGCTCCGCGCTGAAGGAAGGACCACCATGCCTGACAGCGCCTTGTCGACCACACTTTGGGCACGCGGAAATGTTTTATGCATGACGACTTGATGAGGGTTGGATGGGAATGGAGGGCATGGGTCATCGCCATTTCACGAATTGTGCAAGGAAACGTGAATGGTTGTTAGACGGGGCGTTTTACTCGGGAAATGATCGGTCGTCGGTCGGTCTATTCGTCTGCTCTAACACCGGCTTGCGTGCACAGCCATCGCGGCTTGTACGCATCGCCTTTGAGGGAGGAGGATTGCTGGCGGCCGTCTCCATATCTGCAGTTCTTCAATTCGTTGAATCGAGAATTTTTGGTCTGGAAAGATTGTTCCCTGCTCATCGATCGTGCTCAAACACATGTGATGAAGATGACGTGCATGAATTCCGCTGATCTTCCTTCTCGCCTATCTTCCTCCACTATCAAAATGAATAAACAATGAATGGGTATACGCACACGCAACGCAGTAAGGTAACACCACAACAAAATCAAACAGCGAACGCACCAATCTGTCTTCGTCGACCACCGAGTCCTCCTCCAAAAGACTCCAGCGTCACAGCGCATCAAGACACATTACGTCCCCTGGCCTGCAACCTCGCCTTCGCCGCCGCCAGCCGATCCGCACCCACAACCTGCCCACTCTTGCTCACAATCCGCTTATTGTTCGAAGACGTCGCCGACATCGCAGGCAAGGACGTAATCTCATCACGGGGTCCATTTACTCTTACCGTCGGCGGGAGATTCTCTTTCGCGTTGAGACTGGTCTGTGGGGCTTCTGCGCCAGATTTCGTGTTGTTGTTGTGTCCATTGATGGGGAGATGATTGGAGGTGGAGAGCTCGGGGGAAGGGAAGGCGGAGTCTTGACGGGCGGTCGGGAGAGCGTAGGGCTCGATTGGTGCGCCGCGGAGATTGGTGGTGGTTATAGATGAATATACTTCTTGTGTTTGTGAAGTTGTGCCGAGTCCTGGGAGAGGCGTGACTCCGGTGCCGCTGGTGACGGCCCGACCGCTGAGATGTGATGATGGGGCTCCTGCCTTGCTTCGCTCGATATTGGGGTTCGAGGTGGTCCAGGCTTGGCTTTGGAGGCGAGGTTGAGTGCTGGTTGGCCTGGGACGTGATTTCGGAGGGAGGTGGGTTGTTGACTTATCAGCATCGGCAGGATAGCTTGTGAATAGAGCGGAGTCTTGCCCGGTCTCACGGATGTAGCTCTGATGGTCTTCATAGGAGCGCGAGTAAACCGGTTGCGGGTCTGTTGGCCTGAAGTCGTTATGTCGTCGGGAGACTTCGACAGAAGGCTGGCTTATTGCAGTTCGTTCTTTGTATTCCCTCAGCTCAGCTTCCAGCTCTGCCGCTCTCTTTTCAAGACGTTCTACCTTCCTCTTCTCCTGTCGCAACTGCTCCGCGAGCTCGGTACATTGCATGTCCTTATCTCTTGCGAAACTCTTCGCCGCCTTCTGTTTCAGCACCAGCTTCCTCACTTCGCGTGTCGTCCTCTCGCGATAGATGTCATACTCTTGCTTCCAGTATTGTCCTGACTCGGACTCGGGGTTGGTCAGGTCAGATGTGACCTCGACTGCCGTGTTTCCTTTTGACTGTTTGGCCTGCTGCTTGGCGTTGCGCTTCGCAGATCCTTCTCGGGCTTGCTCAAGTGCCTCTGTCACTTTGCTGCGACCTTTGCTTCTCTCCACGGGCTCGTCGTCGTCACTAGCTCCTAAAGTCGACTTCACCCATGGGCTCGGAAACTTTCCAGGATAATCATCCGGCAGACCGGTCCGTGAAGTTTGTTTGACCTCATTATCCACGACGCCATCGCCAAACGAAACAGTCTTCCTACGCGCCGCTGCTGTGCCAGGTGTCATAAGGATGCCTTTCGTCGGCGATACTGGCGGCTCGGCGTCCACGCCGTTGACATCCTTCAGGACGTTCGTATCGCTGGCCGTCCGTACAGTCGCCGCCGGTCGGTTCGCGCGAAGATCAACCTGTCGCGGACGGGCATTCTCGTTTGCCGAGTGTCTTCGTGGCTTGTTGTGGTTCGTCTGAGGTGTGCCGAAGATGGCAGTCCGGAATGCGCGTACTGCGAAGACGGGCGCCGGCGTCTGCGGTGGTTCGAAGAGTCCCGTCGCGTCGGGGTCTACTGCTCGATCAGGATGTGGCTATTGATACACTATGGGCTCGTCGAGACTCACCAATACTCGCTTCGCTCGACCGCGGGTTTGAGAGCCAATTCAACATCTTGTGCGCGAGTGCGCTGTCGCGCAAGTCGCGTTCGGGTGACGTGTGCGGTGGTCACGGTCGCTGGGACACGCGTTAAAGACGAGGTCGCGTACAACGAGAGGCAATCTAGCAAAGTGATGTTCAAAACATACTCGCATCGTATCATATGCATGAAAGTAGGTATGTATCACGGGACATGTAAACAACGATGAAGTAATTGGTTGAGTGCGGGGCAGCGGTTTCATTGACGAAAGGTAAACAGACCGTTGTTATTGCGACTCTTGTGTTATCCGCTGTCATAAGCAGATGGTATTATCTCATCAAGTCGTACACAATCGCTACGATCCTTCAAACATATATAATGCACCCATTCGAACGTCTTGCATCTCGCTGACTAGACAAAAGCGGTGCCTCGCAGTAGTCCCATCGCAAGTATGAATTCCTTGACGATAATGATGTGCAGCTGCATCACGCCAGTCGGTCGCCAGGGTTCGTCTGGTGTTGTTGGCGTTCGGATTCTGCGGGCCGAGGCGCGTTTTACACAGGCGGCACATCGTTCAAGGGACGTCAGTCGCAGCAGCAAGCCGAATGAAAACCAGTGCCAATGATGGCATTACCCAATTTCACCAGAAATTGAAGTTCGCCAAAGGGAAACGTCAGGCATTCCAAACGCACAGTTCACACGCTGACAACGATGTTGCTTTCGGCGCAACTTGCCGAGTAAAATATCATTACATCTACAGATACAGTCACTCCAAAAATCGTTCGGACAGGGCTGCGTCGTCCAGCATGGGTGACTCCAAGTCCTCCCTCGCGTGTTCTCCTGCTTGCTTTGGGAATCGTCCACAAAACTGCAGTTCCTCTCAATCACTGAGTTCAATCGCCTCCTCCTGCGTCCCTCCGACAACGAGCAAAGCAGGGTTCGGCGCAGGGAGAGGGTAGGCGCCGTGACGGTTCTGATGGTGCTGTGGTGCAGCACCGTCATCTTCGTCTTCATCGTAACCGGAACTGTAGTCTTCCCCGTCTTCATCCTCATCATCCTCGCCCTCTAGGTCCTCTTCGTCGTCTCCGTCCTGTTCTTCCTCATCGAAGGAGCCTTCTTCTTCGTCCGAGTATTCCTCCTCGACATCGGCTCCTCCTGCAAAGTGTTTGCGAGCACGGCCGAGATCGGATGTGTCTTCTTCGTCAAAGCCTTCGCCTTCTGCGTCGGACACTTCCTCGTTGGAGTCTTCCAAAGGCTCGCGCCTTTGCCCGCCTAAGGGGACCGCAGCTTGCGACAGGTTCCGGCCAGGTGTATCATCTTCAGCAGAAGCATCTTCGTCTTCGGAGTCGGTTTCCGGGACATTGTCGTCTTCAGATTGGGCTTGATCGTGTAATAGGACGTGTGAATGGTGGCCGGGCTCCTCCGTCTCACTCGTCTCCTCGCCATCAATGTGTTCGTCATCCTCCACCTCACTCCCGTCCTCTTCACTTTGCTCGTCCTTGCCTTCATCGACAATATCGTGATCATGAGTCACAGGCTGCTCGCGGGGCGGACGGGCCCGACGAGGTGAACTCTCCTCGCGAAGAGGCTTCACAATGTTTCCTCGGGCGAGTTCTGCTTGATCAACCCCCCCGAATGCATTCGTGCCGGATGCCAACCATTTTCGAGACACTGACGACGGCGACGCCGGCTCTGTGAGCATAGCATCATTGGGTGCAATATCACCGTTAGGTTCCAGCACCTGTGCGGCGTCCTCGGACCCGGGTGGCACGAAAGGCACATGCGTGACGTCGACCACATCCTGGTCAGCTTCCAAATACGAATCTGCTGTCAAAGGATCCACAGTTGCTGCCTCAACATCGTGTCGAACAGTCTCAGCAGGCCCGAAAGATGCAGAAAGTGCATTCGGAATATCCTCGATGTGAATTGTATGGTCTAAGCTCTGGTCAAGTAAGAGCTCCGATTGTATGTGGTTCACAAGCGGGGCAGGAGGTTCGAAGTGAGGAATGCCTCCTGTCGTGAAGTCTAGAATTTGAACTACTTCCTGATCTGGCATACCCTGTACAGCTTCCGGTATTGAGTCTCGATGGTGTTGAGGAGAGGGATTTTGGGAGGTGGCTTGCTCGGTGGTAGAGAAGCTCCACATCGGCTGTTGTTGAGTGTTGAAGGCAGAGAAGGACATGTCTGCGTTCAGATTGGGAGATGGAATATGTGCAGAGGGGTAAGCTTTCTCTGATGATTCGTGAGGAGGGTCGGCAGTCATGGTGTGATCTTCAACGAGCTTAGAATGATCTGTGATCTTCGTATCAAGGTTCTGGCTTTCGGCATCGTAAACGGTTGCTTCGTTTTGAACGTTCACGTGAGGGAGACCAGATTCTTCGTTCACTCGAGCAGAATCGGCTTTATCCGAAGTTGAAACTGCTTGGTCATCACCGATGATCCGGCCCTGGTAAGCGGAGAAATCGAGCTGAGGAGTAACAGGACTTCCAGTGAAGGAAAATCCTGCCCTCGATCCTGGTCTGCTCGACTCGCGCGATCGATTTGATCGAATCTCATTTGCGCGCTCGATCGCACGAGAATACTGCTCGCGGGGTACGAACCGGCTCTCGCGTAGTCTATACGCCGGGACACTACGGTCTTTGCTGTTCGAAGGAGGCGAGCCATACGAGAGTCCTCGGGAGGCACGAAGTCGCGCTTCGGCGCGGGCCAGAACCAACGAGGGCGAGGCGCCTGACGATCGAGCGCTGAGAGCTTTTTCAGGCTCTGGTGCTTGTGAGGTACTTGATCGCATGAAGGCGGTGTCGTCTTGGAGCCCGTCACGCGCAGCTCTGAGTCTGGCGAAAAGCGCTTCATCCGCATCGTTTGTGACTCTAGGGCCCTTGGGTGGTGGCGGAAGCATTTTGTACGCCTCAGTGGGTGTTCGAACTTGCTCTAGATGAGCAGCGGCCGGAGGCAATCGAAGTTGATTTGATGTGATGGATGACTGATGGTTGACGCTCTCTGCCCTTTGACGTTTCGTGCCGCGAGAAGGTACACCGTAATCGTCGTTCGGATCAATTCCCATCGCGACCAACTTGAAGTATGTCGTTTGTGTTGTAGTCCCTTTCTCGGGTGCGTCATGGGGAAGTACAAACCCCAGAAAAGCAGATCGTCGCTTGAGCTCAGCCCGAGGATCATCAATGGCCGACAACGTAGATCTCCGATCTGCCGCTGGTGTGCGCTCGTCACTTTTGGCGCGCTTGTGCCTCGATTCGCCAGAGGTATCGTTGTCATGCTGTGGATTCGTTCCAGCAGGACGTTTCTGACCAAGCCGTTCAGCAGAGTAACGACTGCCTCCATTTGTTGATTGGAACAATGCATCCACAGTGGCTTGCTTGTTGGTTGGTTGCTGCCGTGCTCTGCCAAGGTTGTGAGTCGATCCCTGATCTGTGGCGAAGGAAATGTCGCTGACACTACCAACATCAGATCCATCGTGCAGTCCAGATTCGCGCAACCTTCTTCGAGCTCTCTGTCGCCTTTCCTTGCCCTGTCGAGCAAGCCGGAGACGTCGACAAGTTTCCCGCCATTTCCGTCCATATCTAAAGGATAAACAGAATCTTCGAAAGTCAACCGCTTCTTGCTCGATCCGTTCATGGTACAGTTTCTGCTGGACTTCCGTGACAATTCGCGCGGCGTGGAATTCCACAAATTGTTTAACAATACCCCGGTAAGGGTCAAACGTAAGTTCGTGCGCGATTCGGGACAGCAATGTGTCTAAATTTATTGTGGGGGGTTTTGGAGTTGGCGCTTTGAAATTTGGTACTCCGGCTTTTGTCAAATTATCGTTATGTGCGCCAAACGTGATATTCATAGTTGGGAACGGCTTTTCAGATAGCGCCCCAGCTGTGGTATCCTTGGGTCCGGGGTTATCATCGCTTGCGCTGAAAGAATGTGATAAAGGACTCGGTTTCCGTGGCTTCGTGTCGGCAGAAGACCGTCTTAATTTCTGTTCGTCGACAGCCAATGATGACCCTGAGGCTGCCGAGCCGGTCTGCTGATGAGACGTCGAGGAAGAAGTTGGTTGGGCAGTTTGCGATGGGTTACCAGGTGTGTCAACCTTGGGTGGTGAATTGGTATTGTTGGCGGATTGAGGTTGTGTGACGGCAGGAGGAAACAAGCTAGGAGCCGACAGGACTCCTCCAGAGGTATGTGTCGTCGACGCGAGAAGGCCATCATTGGTACCAGCGGACGCTTTTGATGTGGGTGGAAATTGAAATGGATTCGTGGACGACGAAGCTGCGCTAGCAGGCGGGGACGTCGGCTGGAGGAATGAGGGCGTGGCATTACTTCGGGGTGTTGGCTGTAAAAATGCAGGCGTGCTGAAGAGAGAGGAGGTGCTGAAGGGAGAGGCCGGCGGTTTTGTCCCCTCTTTCGTGACTGGCTCGGGCTCTAATTTGCCCACTGGTTCTGGTGTTTTGGTCTCTTGTGCTTGAGCACCCCATTGGAAAAGCGAAGCAGGTTTTGGTTCGGTCTTGGCAGAGGTGCTATCGTTCTTGGTCGAAGCAAATGGCGATGCGAACGGAGAAGTACCAATTGGTGTGTTAGAAGCGGTCCCAAAAATAGACGCGGGGGGATTACTAGCTGCCGCCTCATTCGAAGGTGCGAAGAGCGAATTCAGTTTTGGCTTCTCTTCGTTACTTTTTGGTGCTCCCGTGAGGAAATTGAAGGCAGGCTTGCTTGCTGTGTCTTGAGCTTTTGGTGCAAAAAGGGAAGGTCCTGCTGTTGACACAGGTACAGCTGGCGTGTTGACGGCGAAAGGTGACTTGAACAAGGATTCGCCGCTGGACTTTGCTGCTGGCTCAGACTTAATCGCGAATATTGACTTGCTTGAAGGCTGGCCAAAGCCAGATGTGTCAGGCTTTGCCTTCGGCATGAATCCGTTAGATGATCCTGTTGGTGATGCCATCTCTGAATCGCTTGCGGACATTTGCTCGGGGATGAACAACGATTGCTCGTCTTCCTGGCCACCATCATAGCTATCCATGTCCTCTTCAGACAAAGTGATCATACCAGCATTGGCCGACTCGTCAACGTTCATACCACTGATGACCGCAGGAAATGATCGCCCGTATCGCTTGTTTGAAATTAGGGAAGTTCGCAAGGGCATTGCAGGCGTTTCCGCTTGGGGCAGAGGAATACCAGCCAAGGGTCCGATATCGATCTTGAAATCCCCATCGCTCTCTTGGAGAGTAAGACCGTAGCGCGCACAGAAATCGATCGTCTCGTCGTCTTCGTCAAACGCGAACAGGTTGCGAAGTACATCGACCTCGACTAGATGATTAGGATTTGGTCGTCCTGTCTGTCGTAGTCTTGGTGCGCTACGCACTATGCAGTCAAGCGTTTGATGTCGAACGAAATTGAAGAAAATCTCAGCGACGCAACCCATGAGGAATGACACCCGTGTAGATTCGACGACGTTAAAAAAGACCTGCCAGTCTTGCTGTGCGTTGAACTGTTGAATAGCTGAGGTCTTAAGAGGACCTTTGAGCTCGGTGATGCTACCTGCTGCCGCATACATTTCGAGCGCTGTCTGGACCCGACTATCGCTAGCGACTTCGATCGGCCAGGTCTGAACACGGTCCTCGAGATCTGGTGTAAAATCCTGGAGCTGAAAGACGATACAGTAAGCGCGGAATTCCGGCTCATTGGGCAGCTCGATCCGGCCTCTGCTGTCGTCGTAATACTGCATGAGGGACAACAGTGTCTTATCTAGCTGTTCTCTGTCCTGCTTGTAATCATACTCTGGATATGGTTTCACTGGTTGCGCCAGATCATGTAGCGAGAGGATGTGGAATCGCGCAATTCGCTCATAGCACTCAATCGCGATTCGCAAGTCATCTGGTTTGGACAATTGTTGGATCGAAAAGTCCCGTCGGACTGCGCGTGTTCGGTTCCAAACGAAGTTGTGCACCTTTGCAAGAGACGGGGAATTTCCGATCAGCTCGTCGAAGAGATATTCGCACGTGCGCAGGAGCACCCGTGGTGGTCGGAGGTCTGACGGTAGTTGCTCTTCATCTCCAGCAGCTGAACGTTTGAAGATCTTCACCATGCGAGGTTCATCCATGGGCGCATCAGTGCGTGCATATGCTGAGTGCTCCAGATCCTACATATCATCGTCAGATCGTTGCCTCGCCTTTTCATCTCAAATTGTATCACCTTCTCCTCGTCCCAAACCTCATTCCGCACAGCTCGCTCCACCCTCTCATACTCGGCACACATATCCTGACATGTTCCCACGGGAGTGATGGCATCTACCAGCGCACGGGGCTTTTCTGGATCTGCAAGAAGACCTGAGCGTATGGCATTGGCGCGTTCCTTTTCTCGGTTTCGTTTGAGCTACACAGGTCTGTCAATCCGCATTCTTGTACATATCCTTGTCACATGTCACTCACTCTCGCATATCGGTCGGCAAGATCTTCGTTGGAGTCCGGCTCTATCTCTTGCTCTTGCGCCCAGTGCACCGACTTTTTAGGTTTGACGAATCCTCCTTGCGTCACTTTGTTCATGCTCGGGGTCGATTTTTCCTCTGCGTTTCTTTGTGTTGATGCCGCACCTCCTCGTCCGCGCCCTCTAGAGCTTCTTCCACGGCCATTTGAGCTTCCTCGCAACGTGCTCCCCGGAGCACTAGTACCGCGTCCTCGCCCGGCAGCGGTTCCACCTCTCACAGATGACATGGTCATCGACCTGCGACTCCCGTGATTGACTCGTCATAGAGATGCGACAATTTCACATGCCGGGGAAGATTTGATAGCAAGTGAGTAGGCGATGGTGCAAAATCGACATTGTCGCGCGCAATTGTTGTTTCGTGAATTGTGAAGCTTTGAAGATTGAATGACTCGTGACGATGCTGCGTACAAGGTAGCGACGATCGGCAAGATCCGACGCTAACCACGACTTCGAGAGACGCGCGCTGTCATGTGAACTTCTGGAAACTTTACCCCAAGATCAACCCTAACCCTAGGCCGCATCGCCGCCCTCAGATCATGATCGGGAGCGTATTCGTTCGGAGCGTATTCGTTCGACGCATGATATTGCACGATATACCATGGTCGAGCTGAGTGGACATATATCACACTATCGCAACTGACGAAGCGTTAAGTCTTTGGTCAATGTCAGCACGACCGATTTGTGCCATAGCAGGTCGTATCCTGAAGTGAATTTCGCCATCTGTATATCAAACACGAGACCACGATTCCTTCATTCGATGTTTCCACGTCGTTGGAGCTCACGGTTTGCGAGTCTTCCAAAGGAGGAGTCCTTGTGTCTCCTTGCATCCACACGCGGCGCAAGTCATCGGCGCTATCATCAAATAGCGATGCCACAGCCGCGATAACAACCTCGGAGAAATCGACGCTCATTTCTCGGCATTAAGACAAGATAAGGTTCTGAACCGACATCCACGGACCATCTGATGAAAGCAGCTACTACTGCTAATGCTAGCTTTACGCAATTGCCTTTTGTCCAGAATAGGATTTCGCTTCGAGGTCGCAAACAAAACTCGGAGCAGAAGCAACGAAGCTATTCTAGGTGCAGGTGACCTCAAAACTACTCGAGGTGAGGCCAAAGCGCCAACGCAACGAAACGCCCTCGATTGCAGCAGCCAGCCGCCGCGGCGTTTTTCCTCTACCATTCTCTGCCTGGCAATGACATCAATACCAAGATAGTGTAAAGTTTCAGAACGCCTGCACAATGATGTCTTGGACAATATTTTCCGATGCAAGAAGAGTACACATCTATGTATAACAGCCAACGTGAGACCTCACGGGTAGGCACATGAAACACTTGCGCCGTCCTCCTGCTGTTGCTGTTCCTTCGCGCCGCACGACCGCAGCTCAAATTCCAAATTTCGCTCATGCAACCGTTCGGAGTGCGCTCCGCACGAGCGAATTGGGCTACTGAATCCCGCAGACGACGGAGGCGGGGGATGCGCAATCGGACCAAACTCAACTTCGCACTGCATCGCACTATTGCCGTGTCATCCTTTTCCTTCTGCTGTGCCCAATTTTCGTTACGGTGGAGGATTTCGTGTTCTCCACCATATGCAGCTATGTTGTCGAGCACATGCAGAGTGCGAGATTTTGTGCACATCGGTTTGTGTGTGTGCGGGATAAATTAGTGAGCTTCCTATTTGGCTGTTCGAGCGGGCTGTTGAGAACGCCTCGTCGCTCTCGGAAGGGAAGGTGACACGACAGTTCTGTGCGCGGAAGAATCATCGGTCGTTGTGATGACGATGGCTTTGAGATATCGCGACGTGCGCTTCTTTTGGGAAGGTGAGTGTGATGCTCGGATATGGGCGCAGTAGCGGCAAAGGAAGCAATATGATACTGAAGACATAGATGCAGAAGCACATCGTTGGGGAATGAACGCGGCAACTTCCGCTAATTCATGTATGATCTCGGGAGTCAAGACAAGGACGTGCAACTCAATGAAAGTCGAAGTGAATAAACAATAAAGAAAACAATGTATTGTATAATCCATCTAAAGTCCCCATCGCTAAAAAAGCCCAATCGTATGAACATGACTAGGTTGGTACATGCCTGCTCAACTCACCAGATCTAAATCCCAGAAAAACGAACTTGAACAATGTAAAATGTGAAACAGCAACGCCAAACGCTGGCCTAGACAGAACTCTAAACATGCCCTGAGTAGTAAACATCCTGCCAACTCCCCTGCTGCCCATCCTCCACCGAGGAAAAATACTCAAAAGACCCTTGTTCCATCATTGAAGCGGAGGGTAAGTCCTGCTGCTGTTGCTGCTGCAACTTCTCCCCGGCATGGCTGAGCCAATCATGAGACATCATCGGTGACTCGAAGCCCGACGCAAGCTGCGCAGGCTTAGAGTCGAGGCCGATTGGCATCATCATTGGCGAAGGGGAGTCGAGGGAGATGATAGGCCCGTGCGGCTGTTGATGTTGGAGATGGTGAGGTTCGAGCGAGGTCCTGCGAGGAGAGATGCAGGCCGTGGTGGTCTGTGAGTAGATGCTTGAGGGAGTAAGGCTGGGCTCGCGAGGGGTTTCCCAGCATGTGGTGCTGGAAGGCGCGGCTTGGGTGAAGGAGTCCCAGTTTTGAGCTGGGTAGAAGAGCTCTGCATCCTGGACTTGAGCTCGAGGGTCTATGGGGAGGGTAGGCATCGTGGTAAATGAAGTGGGATTTTGGAATTGATAGGATGGTTGTTGTGATTGTGCTCGCCACATCATGTTGTTTGTTGTCGCAAGGTTGTTGTGCGTGCTGTGAGGCGGTGCGGCGACGACGGCTTGTGGGAAATGGTAAGGATCAGGGTGATGAGAGATGCTGTGTCGTTGTGTCATGGTACCCTGAGAGAAGCTTGCTGGCATCTGAAGCGCAGATTGCGGTAGGCCAGAGCCGACCATAGACATAGATGCTGCTCGTTCGCGTGTTTGCTGTAAATGTGCTTGAGGACGCAGCATGATTCTCTGTGATGGATAAAGCGGTTCGCACGGGACGGACATTGGAACAGTCTCTTGGTGTGTCATCGGCGAGTCACATGCAGGACTACACTTGACCCTCTTCGACATGGAGCATACGCCTGGCTCCGAGCTGGCATCACGAGATCGCTTGCGAGTGTTCGATGAAATGGCACTTTCGACCTCGGCAGCGACCTGATATAGCTCGAGCAGCAAGTCTTTCCTTTGGGGATTGCGCTCGTCACTGGCGCCGTTTTCGCCGTTTTCGCCGTCGAAGATGGACGGTCCAGCGTGCTCCATCAAGAAGGCTGTCCAGCCCTTGTTGATGAGCGTCGGGTGTGATGGGCTACCTTCGTTCCACTCTTCGAGCTGTTCCGGTGATGGCCTCAGCGTGAGAAGGTGGAAACACAATGTCATTCGTTCTGCAATGAGACAAGTTAGCTTGTTTCGCGATAACAGGCGTAAGGACTAGATGTACCATTCTTGTTGATGTGATCGGGCTCCAAGAAGCGGCATTCATCGGTGTTCGGCCACCATCCTGGGATTTTTTGGACTTCTCCTTCCTTGATTTTGTAGGGGAACTTGGCTTGCTTCTTGGGGCAAATCGCTTTGATCCAGGCTTTGAGAATGGTCTTGAAACCAAGCTGTTGGATACCTCGAGCACGCTCGTTGAGTGCATCTCTGACGCGATCATTGCCAGAAGAGGAACTTATTGTCGCATAGAAAGCTCTGGGAGATGCGCTCCGTGACATTGATGATGATGGACCTATCGCAGAGTGAGCATGAGCATCTTCACGTTGACCTGGATAATATTGCAAGTACTTACTGTGATGTTGTGTCTTGATCTGGACTTGTGAATCCTCACGAGCATACATGCTCGAACGATGTCCTTGATTCATTGTGCTTCCGTGGGAGATGCCCTGAGGCCGAGCTGCAGTTGTGATGCCGTGTAATAAGCAGAGGAAAGATGATATGATATGAGAAGTGATGTGTACCAGGATGAAATCTTGTTGTTTGAGAGACAAAGCGATTGAAGGAATGGTCCGACTCCCGGGTGGGATGTTTCAGGATCTTATAGACAATGCTCGACAGCCGGCATGCAAGATCAATGTTTTTGGTGTTGCCGCGCACACACACACACCGGAAAAAAAGAATACACCCAGGAAGTACCTTGAGAACACCTGTGGAGGAAGATTAAGCGTGAAACGATACACATGTCCGGCATTGCCTGTCAGTCACACAACCCAGGGTGGCAGGGATTCTGGGAGGGAGACATCCCTGCTTGTCTGAGGCGCTTTCAGAGGCGCTCACAGAGGCGCTGTCGGTGTAAACATCACACAGCCATTCAAGCGCGGTGGTGATTGCCCTTGTAGATGTTCATCAGCGCGGTAACCGATCGGCATACCCATGCAATTTCGCAGCCATCGAGGCTATGTTTACGTCCATCTCCCATAAACCTCGCGTCTGCTCCTCTTCCACGTATGAAATCGCACACCCCGCCGGGCCGGTCGCACATAACTCGGCGATACATGAGGTCTACTTCCCCGAAAGTATAATGGCAATCTGATCACATAAAGCGCGACTACTAAGTTCAACGGTCGCTAGCGAGGCGAGGTGATGAAGAACTGGGGATGTGATGATTCGCGGAGGTAGACAGAGAGAGATGTCTGCGAAATTCCCGACGGCAGGTGAGTGAAGGGAAATTGTAATTGCCATACCTTAGCGCCGCAGGACACAGCATCGTGCCGTCGATTGCAGGGTTGTCCAGCATATAAAATCGGAACATGCTCCGGTACCTCGGGACTTGCCTGATCTACACGGGGCGGCCCATTCTCACCAGACTTTGTGGACAGACACGCTAACACCAAGATAGCTCTCCTCTGTCCCCTCCTCGATTCAAGCACACCCATAACTCGTCACATATTGCCATCCCTTGCTCGAGGACCGCCACAAGACGAGGTGATGTCGACAAACAAAACATCTCCTGATGTCGCCACTCTTCCATCTCATCTGACGTCCCTTCCGCCAAGGGATTGTAAGAAAAGCTGTGTGTCTTGTTCCGCCGAAGCATTGTCTCGATCTCGACGAGGCCATCGTTTCGCACTCGTTCCTCGCCCTGTGCGCGCGATCGCCGCGAGCAAGAGTACCGTGCCGCAAAAGCCAAAATAAGGGAGAGACCGTCGCAAGATTCGCCATCGTGATTGCGACAAGCCGTAAGGCCGCAACGCGAACAAGGTGGGTCGGCCGAAAGCGTAAGTCCGCCTTGCAGACCTCACGTCACTGCTCTCATCTTCGCTCGTCTCTTCTTGCAGTGTATGAAGAAAAAGGAAGGAGTGCGTTTTGTTTTGTTCGTGCATGTATATGTGGATGTACGTGCGTGTGCGACGCATGAAACATGCATGAAAATTCAAATCATTCATGCACGATAACCGCGAGCGTGAATCCAGGGACTTTTCACCTCCCACCATTCCCAGCAACCGAACAGCCTCGATTTTTTTTCAACCAGGGGTGTTTTGCAGAGGTACAGTACATCGAATCGCGAAATGTCACTTTGGACGCGTCGTGAAGACAGGCATAACCGTGAAGAGAGATCACCAGATCCAGAGAGAGAGTGTGTGTAGGTGTGTGTGGGAGGGATGGGTAGGCGGCGGTGGACTGAGGCGCAATACCATGCGCACACTTACCCTCATGACGCTGCCGAACGACGGTTTCATCACATCCGCAAATAGTCAAGGAGGGAAGCGAAGAGCGCCCAGATACGCGCCACATCCTCCTCTTGGCTGCATCCCATGTAACTATCTAGATAGCCAACAGACAACAACCTAGCTAGCAACAGAGACCAACTTGTTTACCCGCTGCCGCTTGCCGCACCTCGTGTCCAATCGAACATCACCAACCATCTGCATCACCGATGCACCTGGCGGAGTGCGCATCATCACTAGATGATTTCCCAGTGGGCGAACTCTCCAGCGACCGGCCGCATGCATATTTGCTGCGCCGCAGAGCAGAGTATGCAGTTGTGAATGTCACTGCACATCAATAGGTCGCCGAAAACCCTTGTCGGAAGGTCAAAGATACAAAAGTACTACCGCTCCTGCTGCTGCACGCAAGCGCGACATCGGAACCGAGGACAACAACCAAAACTCCCGTGCGCGCGAGCATCCATGGGAGATCCTGTGTACATGCAAGTGTACATGTAAGACAATCTGTCAGCACTCTGCAACCGCTGCAGCTGCCATAATAGTAACCGAGCCGTCTGTCGATCTTCTTCTTTCGGAGGTTGTAAATAGTCGTGCATAATGCAGGCAGGGTAAATTTTCCGGCGTTCGGGGGTATTTTTGTTCGTGGAATCAAGTGAAACACTCATCGGGCGATCTCGCTTGTTCTTGCGGAGCGATTCTTCCCTTCTGACGAAGATCGTTCCACAGGAACGAAGTGTCGCCCGCACGCATGCGACCGGATGTATGAATAGATTTCTCTTCTTTACGGCAGATACTGTAGAAATGTCGAAACCACATTGCGGACCTTCCCAAAATTTGGAATTCTTTTGTGTGTGGGTGTGAGGGAAACGCCTCGTGTCTGCAGACATGCATGATGGTATACGATCTCCTCGGCAAAAATATACCGTGAGCTATACATCGGGAACGAGATATGTGCCGTCATCCTACAGACCGCGATTACAGCCGGCGGAGGGTGCCAGAAATAACATCTCAATACATCTCGCACCCGATGAATCTGATATTACGTCCTGATAACCGCATGTCCGCTCGCCATCTCTCCATACAGAGCATCGCGAGAGCGCGTAGACAGCAACAAATGCCCAAAACTGTGGGCAACATCCAAATTGGAAAGACATGATCATAATGAGCAAAAACAATCTTTTTATTCTCCCCAAAAACTACATTGCATGCATGCATACAAAAAATCTATGCTATCCTATCCAGATCTCCACCTTCATCTACACTCACACACCCTTTCTCCCTCTTCTCATCCTCATCCTCATCCTATGAAGAAGATGGTTTACCCGTCTCCCCCTTCCCCGCCTCACTCGCCGCCGCAGCCGCAGTCGAAGAGACAGCAACATCCTTCAGCGATGAAGCACCACCTTCCACAGAACTGAGCAAGCCGGCCTCGCGGACGAGTTCGTAGAAGAGACCTTTGCTCTTGACGAGGTTTTGGGGCGTGTCGAATTCGCGGACGGAGCCGTGGTCGAGGACGACGATGCGGTCGGAGTCGACGATGGTGTTGATGCGGTGGGCGACTGTTTCGGGTGGTGATGGATTAG